TTGATCAGAGCGAGGGCATGCTATGGAGTGGAAGTGTGGGGGTGAGAAGATGTCACGGGAATTACGAAGATTCAGGACAGATACTGAAAGATGGCAATGGGAGTTGCATGTATTACACCCAAATATATCTGGAGGAGAGAAATTGGGGAGAAAACGTTGGAGAATGTTATTAGGGAGAGAGCAGTGAGGTACTTGGTTGAGGTAATACAAATGGAGGAGGGCAGATGGCCCAAAATATTCCTAAGAGAAGAAATGAGAGAGATACTGAACAAGAAGCCATTAAAATAAGAGAGAAAGGTAGCAAACATATTTAAAAAAATCGGGGTCGAGGAGGTCATCAAAATGATATATTAGAGGGAAAATTCGGGGAAAATTCAAGAAATACCATATGCTGGATTAAATGATATGGTAGGAAAGGATACATAGATAGGGAGATTTATTGTTTAGAGATTTAATCAAAACCTACATCAAACAGCAAAATAGATATAGAGTAAAAGTTACACAATAAAGCAGCTAAACAAGATCACAGATATTTTCTCTCAAAAATGAGTACACTAAGAGACTGCGTGACTAGAAATTGCCTAGACCAGGCATAAAAAGCAGGTTGGGGTGAAGCAGCATGAGCCTATTACTGCTTTGCCGACGAATAAATCGCCGCCAGCCTAGCAATATCATCATGGCTATTTACGACATGTGCGATATCCTCACCCTTGAACTTGGCGCAGACAATTGAGTTTTTGGCCCAGACATAATTAAAGCCAATCTGTTTAAAAGTAGCCTTCGCTTTCCTAAGTAACTAAAACGTCCTGGAGGGCAACAGCTCATTAACTGAGACCTCGAAGTCTCAAAAAGAAATCGGTATGGCATCCGGTGGTAGTTTTGCGCGGGTAAGCATGGATGAGGACAACCTGCCGAGCTTATGTTTGGCAGCAATAGCTGATTGCACAAGGTGAGCATCAGCACATTTCACAGCAGTAGAGACAGTAGTCTTAGGTTTGGATGTCCTTCCGATAGCCCCAAACGGAGTAGAAGTAAAGGCTGGAGAGGACACTGCAAAAGAAAGGTTTGCTTTGGACCATTTTCAGTTGAATTGCCAACCTCCCAGGCCGCTGAGGCTGCCAGATTAACTGAAACTCATGAAACATCCACCATGGAGAAATCCTGAAAAGGCCTAGCTCTTCTAATGGGCGGACCATCATTAAGGACATGCCAATTAAGATCGACAGCCAGATTGAAGATTAACTCACCGGATTGACATGATTCAGATGAACCCCGTCAGGGTTGTTTAACGTTAAAATCATCGTCAATAGAAGCCAACTAATAGTCAGAAAGAGACTTGAATAACTTTCTACACTGTTCAAATCCAAGTGAAGCCTCAAGAGACTTGTACACCAAGACCACAAGCAGGCTCCCCAACTCTGTAAGTAAAGTGATGGCAATCATTTCCAGTTGACCTGGGAAATTAACAAAATTAGGCAATGGCTCAAGACCGCGATAAAAATGCCTCCACCAGATTTTTCTACTCTATCATGACGGATTATATTAGAACCAGGAAGGCGAAATAATTACCCAGGATGCAGTCAGGGTCCGGAGAGAAGAATTACACCATAATTAGAGCTAGCTTGAATAAGATTTTCTCTTTCTTCTCTTACACTCTCGCAGTTCCATTAAAGAATTTTTAAAAGATTAAACAGATGGAGCCATGATTATTAATGAAGCTGGTCAGACAACGGAACTGATATCTGACCCAGGACATAAGTTGACCGTAGTCGATAAGGAACGGATTTCAATGCGGTCCCACACCACAGACATCTAATCTCCATCAGAACTACTAAGCATCTGATCTCTTCTCTAAGGAACTTGACGAGCTTACTTCACACATATTCTACAATAGTATCCGGATTGATGGCATCATGCAGATGCTTAATGTTAACATTAACTACGAATTCTCGATCTGGGATGGTGACTTTTCCTCTTCAAAACTTTGTGAAATCAGAAACAGCTTGCAGCAAGGCACTGTAAACTCCCCCCACTTATTCTCCATATTTACCAGCACTCTACTCAAACTCTTTGGCTTAAATCAAGCAAGCGGAACTCACGCCATAACATACGCTGACGACATTATTGTTCTTGTGGACAGACGGGCTATCAAAAAAATCAACAAGTTTTACCCCTCATAGAACTTGAAAATGAATCCCACCAAATACGACAGCATTGTCTTCAGAACTCTTGAGCGGTTCATCCTAAACAGCAGAAAGTCTAGACTCAAAAACTTTACAATCAAAATCGCTGAGTCTGATGGAACTCACTCTTCTATCCCAACTAAAACCTCGGTTAAATACCTTGGGGTTCATATCGACTGCTCCACAAGGCTTTACGCCCACATTGACACATAGATCTTTAAAGCCGTCAACAAATTCAAGTCTCGCAGTAGACTCTTCTATAACAAGCACGTTTCAAGCAGAGCCTAAATAATTCGCTATCTTCTTCTCGTTTGACCTCTAATCACTTACGCTTCCCCTGTCTGGTAGAGCTGTGTAGGTCGAACGCCTCTGTCTCCTCGAGCGAAGATGCTTATGTGCTTCTCTCCTACTTCACAAACATCGTGGTGACGGAGACACCACCAGAACCTGGAGTAGTCAAGAGCTTTACAGCCGTGCCATCGTTCCAAGACCCACCTGGGGTCTAACCAAAAGAGATTATTCCGCAAACACCCGGCTTCCTCGTGTTAGAGGGTAAGCCAGGACTGTAGCCAATTTCAGTCCGACTTCGGTGGACTGGTATCGTTCACAGCTCTGTCAGAAAACGTTACTCTAGAGAGTGCAAATCACCAGGGCTCTCACATACGCTCGATACTCTTAGTAGGCATTTCTTATGACCTCCACGAGCTCTGTCTTTTTCACTTTGACTATCTACTTCCTCACGTATATTCGTCTCAGCTGGGGCTGAGAATTCAATGGAATATACGTGCTCTTTGTTATACTTGAAGAAAGTAATATCCGGCTCATTGTGTTCAATACGTTGAGAAGTAGAAAACGGGAAATTCCAAAGAATTTTTACTCTCCCGTTTTCAACGACTGAGTCAATTTCACCGGGCATATAGTGCATCACTGGTATCTTGTCTATCCTGTAAGAGTGCCAAAAGTTGTAGTGAAGCACTCTTACGGTGTTATGTCAGTGTACGCAGACTGGGCGAACTAAAAAAACGGAAAATAGCGTCTCATCCACATTACCATGGCAAACTCGGCATATTGTGTTCTCGAGTTGCTCGTGCATAACTTTACACCAATAGGTGGGAGTTAATGATACACTAACTTGGCAGGCCATAAATATTCCACGAGTTCGTAGCCCTAACGTAAGATATGGGCACATATAGAATGTCTCTCAGAGGACACTATCTTTTTTTTTTTTGTATCAACTGGAACTCGGATGAAAACTGAGTTAATTAATGAAATGTTAGTATTTAAACGGAGGCGCCATATGATTTGTAGGGGTCTCTGCTTGATAAGTCTCCAATGATTCCCTCTTTCTTCATTTTAGTGTGAGCTAATATAATTGCGTTGGATCACTTCCACATGTGACTTTGTTGCAATAGCATAACTGTGTATTCTTTAGACTTTTTAGTAATAAATATTCCGTGTGTCTTTGAAATAAAACCAATCTCATTATTTAAAACTATATCCGAACCTCCAACATGAAAATCACTTATTCAAAAGCTGACTATTGTAAAATATAAGGTAGAACAAAAATGAAATTACGAGGCTTAATTTAGAAAATAATAAAGTAAACTGCCCTAATTCCAGACACGAAGCTACATCACATTCATTTTGATAATATAAAAATATTAAATTATTAATTTACAAAATTAAACGTGCTATTATTAATTTTAATATTTGGCAATTATTAATCAATCATCAAAATATTTTTTAATTAAAATTTATGTAAGTGCCATTGACCACGAACTTATATCTCTAATTCCCGACACTTCTGCGCCTAATTCCGGCCTATCTAAACCCGAAGTTTTTTCAAATATTTTTTATTTGAAAATTTAGGACTTCACTCTTAGAGAGAAAATTTAATAACATCTTTTGCATAGAAAAATAATTTATTTAATTATCTAACAAAAATAAAATTGTTACAAAAAACAAAATATATATAAAGTATTACAGTTTAAGGTAAATAACAAAATAGAAATAAAAGTCTAATTGTGTTTTACTTAACAACTTCTGTTTAATATGTATTAATTCTGGCACTTCATAGATTCCTCTACTGTTAATTATCTCTGGAGCTGAAATTTTTGATACCATATTTTTCTTCTCACAATTACAAATATCATCCCGATCAGGCCACTTCCAATTGTTGCCATTCATAATCATCGTTTTCACTTTCACTATATTATCGAATGTACTGATGTACGGACAACTGTCCGGAATTGGGAAAATTTGTAAATCCTATATTGTCTAATTCCGGACACGATATTTTAATTTTTTTGAAGAGCGATGATGTCAAAAATTTAAAACTTGAGTGGTTATTCACAAAATAGAAGGACAGAGATTAAGTAGTGACTAATATATCCTTTACAAATCGCTTGAAAGGAAAAATATTCGCAATTTATCACAATACTGATGTTAAGTATACGAGCGTTCTATAAATAGCGTCATGGAACTTTCTGACCGAAATTATTTTTTTTATAAATAAAAAATATTTAATTTAGAAATTTCGTAGCAGGATAAGAAAGTATATGGATGAAAATATATAATCACATTAATATTTGTTCGGTTGTGAGTAAACTATTGCTTATTGTTAACAAAAATAATGACTGTCCGGAAATAGGGCGGTTTACCTTAATTTAATTTAGTGTGATTTCAAATTCCTATGTTAATTACTATAGCGCGGGATATGTCGTAACATCGCTTTTTAAAACAAAAAATTAATTGTGAAATAGTTTCCGATATGATGGTGATAAAAGAACTTTATTAATTCTTAATATGTAATTTCAGATTAAGGGCACCTGTAGGATGCCCGAAATGCAGTAGTGTAGCATTTTGTCGAAGGAAATGCCGAGATGAAGCTGTAGCAACTTACCATAAATATGAATGCAAAATTATTGCTCTGCTGATTGGTAAGTTAAAAATATATTACTTTATAAAAGCGATGCAATTAAGGTGCGATCATACCAATTCACAAGAAAGCCCCTGAACAAACCCCCTCCTCTTTCTTCCTGTCGAACCATCTGACCTTCTTACACATTAATCCCTCAAAGAAACACAGGCTTTCTTTTAGATCTTTTAATTCATCTCTCTAGGACCGGGAAGAGGGAGGAACATCAGAACCTTTTGATCTCCCTAATGAAAACTGGCCTCAGCTTTCAGCTTCAATTATCTTCAAGTACTCTATTTTTGATACACCTTCCATCTTTTCATCACCCATTACTGAAAATCCATATAACCCGCAACTTATCCTGCACCAGGTCAACCTCTTAATCTAAACAATTTCTTAGTTGAAATTTCCAAACTTCTCTACAACCTTCAACAGAGCCTTTCTTCCTCTAACAGCAACCATTTTTCTGACATCTCTAAACTCTCTAACGCCTGCCATTTCCTCATCCACAATGTGAGTCGTTGCTTTTCCTGAAGTAAATCAGCTTGTGCTAGTAGACATAGAGATGAGATAAAACACCCGTACCTGACTTCTTTTCTACCTTTAGATCTAATACTGTCGAAAAAACTTAGAAGAGATTGCGAGAACAGACTGCACGTAAGAGTGCCTCCTACTTTGCCAACTTTTTCAACTCCGCTCCAAAACCCTGATTCCATGGCCTAGCCTTAGAAAAAAGAGAAAAATTGATCATCAGTTGTATTAGAGGTAATCATTACAATCTTAACTACAGACTCTCTCATATCTACCTCTCTCGTGCCTCCCGCTGCAACTGTGGTGATCCCTCTCAAGATATCTTGCATGTCACGGTTGTACATTATACACGGTTTATGTACTTTATTTAAGTAAAAGAAAAAATTACGCATTGGAAAAACTCAAATATATTGCATAGAACTTGTTTGTAATTGTTTATAACAATTTACATAAACGAAAAGTAGCCTATAATGTTTCTGACAATGCCCTCTACAGATCTGCAAAATTTAGTCGCAATTGGATTAACGGTTTCGGAGATTACCGCAAACAGACAGACAAACAGACACCAAATATTTATATAGCAGTATAGATTATACTTTTCTACACTACAAAAAGTGTTATGTCTTATGAAACATATTTTTCTTTATATTGTAGGATCTGGCATGAGCATTCTAAGTATGCTTGCTTTGAGGATGGTGACTCAAATTGGTTCGAAAGCTTGTGTGGAATTACGTGATGATTTGAAACAATCGAATAAAATTATTGAAACAGCAGTAAATACAGAAAAAAAAATCAGCAAATCATCGCGACGACGTTTAAGAAAGAAAAAACTCAAAGAAGGATGTGTCCAAATTGATAAAAGAGCCTACGATCTCGTTACTTTATCCGAGAAACGAACCCCAGTAGATTTTTTTGAAAGATCTCTCATGGCAGCATTCCTATTGAAATGTTTAGAACTTGTCAACTTCTTTGACACGTCATCAGTAGTTACAGGTAATGCCAGTATTTGATTGTAAATATAGAATTAAAAATTCCTACGATTTTTATCATGACACATTCATTATATTAAAAATTTTTGAAGGCCATTATTGTTTATTTAATTTACTTTAACAATTTCGAATTTTCTAATTGTTTGCTTGCTGGCTGTGATAACTATTCAGAAGTGAGTTTCAATAAGTATTGATACTATTTTACAATGATTTAAAAACTAAAAGTGAGTTTAAAATAAAATTTAAAGCTATTAATAGCTATAAATTTTATTAAATTTGATTAACTTAATGTAACAACTCGCGTTATGTAAAAATAATAGCATTTGTAGCAACCAAAATAGAGTTAGGATATGAAATATATATAGATATTGTGATACGACTAATAAGGTTATTGAGATTATTTAGACTATTAAGATTCATAGTTACGAAAAAATATTTCAATATAAAAAGGTGGATAAACATATTTTCATAGTGTTTTGAAATCGAAATGACAACAATTTATTCGAAAGCGATTAAGTAATAACAAAGTAGTGAATGAAAGTAATTAAATGCTTTTGTTTAATTAATAACTCATTTGTTGCGACAAAAAATTTTGGAACATATTTTCAATGTTAGTTGAAAAGTTGAAAATGTTATATTATTAAAGCAGGTTTTTTTTAATTTTAGATGCATTATTAGAAGAGAAAATTGCAGTTGGTTCAATTCTTCTAAGAAATCTGCAATTATTGCAATTCAATGCCCATGAAATTTTTGAAACTCAACATGGCAATGATCATCGATTTCGTGGGAGCAAAACTGTATACCTTGGAATAGCAATCTACCCGAGTGCTTCACGTTTTAACCATGATTGTTATCCTGCTGTCACCAGGTAACAGTTTGAATAATTATTACTTCAGTAACGTTACAATAAGCTTATTATTATCATTGTATTCTCGTGTAAGTTCTGAAATTGTATAATTATTCATGCATGTCATAGTGTTCTAACTTACAATTAATTGAATAAACTTTATCCTATCAGGTTTTTTTGTTGGTTTAATTAATTACATGTAGTTCGATTTAATTAATTGATAGTAAATCACATAGCACATTATATTTCTACGTATATAGGGTGAACTACTTCAAGTTTATCATCCACTTGCTTATCACTTTTTTAAATGTAAAAACTTCCAACAGTTGAAGATCAAATTAGTACGATTAATAGAGACTTGAGTGTGCTTAAGAAGCTAACTAATTTGATAGATATTATAAAAGAAAGAATATTAAAATGGGTGAAGGTCATCAAAAATATGATCTAGACATGAATTAGTAAATATTGCATAAAAAGAATTTTTGTTTTCTAAACGTAGATAAAAAATGACAAGTATAATAAAAATACTACTGTCTAACAGTGAGTTCTCAATCTTTGATATACTAAAAACCAGTGCTTACCATAAGTGAGAGTATAATGGCTACTACAATAAATAAGAAAACTTGAAAGTTACAGACCTGGACTAAGGATGACTTAGACAAATAAATGGTAATAAAGGTGCGTAACAATTGGGCGTACTAACATAAAGAACAAAGCTGCAATTTAAATGAATTTCTTGAAAAGTAATTGTATAACCGTATTTGTGAATTCAGTTTTATTTGAAGAGTCGTTGCCCCTCATCAGACGCAGTAACAGCTAGGCTAAAACTACATGTAACGTGAGGAAGTATCCAAAATCTTTATTAGGGGTTAACTTTGCGGGTCTCAAAATTCAGTTGGATTGGAGAATCTCTCTTGAGAGTGGGAGAGAAATCCTCACTCACAAAGAGTCACCTGTTCACTCTTAGAAAGGTCTAACTCTGAGAAGAGTTCTACTGTAATAGCTATGTAAATAAGTTAAAAAAAACATCGACGTTGTTATGGATCCAAGAGTAACAAGATAGAAAAATTTTCAGAGATAAGTTCTTTATTGTAAGTTCGAAAATTCTAACGTCAACTTTCTTACAATGTTCAAAAAATAAGTACTAGGTTTAAGGAAAATGCATCCTTTATATACTGTGGTGGTTAGGAAAATGCATAAAGAGAGGGTTAACTGATAACTGATTTCTCCGAACGTATAACTATTTTGAAACTTATGCCAAATATTTTTAACTGATTCTTTCGTCGATAATTTCATTTTATTATCAAAGTCTACTTGACATAGAGTGTGATTGTAGATTTCGGAACCACGCCAATTAGTTAATCAAGAGAAATCTTGATATTCAACTCATTCTGTTACAAAGTCTATTATTGAAGATTTCAAAAACTCTGTATCAGACTCGTGAAAGGGCTAGATTTTTGATCGGTGTTTTTTCTTTTTACGATTGCAAAATAAACAAATTTTACGATTGTCTTCAACACTTTATCGCTTTTAATAGGAATGTCTTTTAAAGTTTAAATCGTGTTCCATTAAAATTGATATAGTAAAACTAGTAAGTTGATTTGATGACGTTGATACCTTTAAAATCGTATCCGTGTCTTTTTCAAATATTTTCATTACTACGGTAAATGTTTTATAACACTTCCTATGATAACCACTGTCGTAATTTTTAACATATTTTAATATATTTTGACATTTTTTAAATGTTTCTTTAGAAAACAAAATCACATTTTTACTAGTCTTGTTATAAAATAGAAAATTTATATTACCTCCTATAATTATGAGTTGGTTTCACTGTATTTTTATACCGATTGCAAGATTTTAAGTCAAAATACCATCTTGAACTTTTGAAGTTGAGCGTATACTGGTCTCGGTCAAACTGAGTGCTTTGAAAATTTATCTCGAATCTTAATCTTGTGTTACATGTAAAGAGATTGTAGAACCTTCAGATTTGTCCAACTGTTTAGGTACTGTTTTGAAATAGTTATTTACCCAATACCTGTATAAAGTTCATCATCTGAAATTCCACCAATATTATGTTACCCGCATTCATGCAGACAAATCACGTTTTCTCGCTTGCATTCAACCTTGTACTGTATGTGTCTGACGAGATGTTATACCGTTTAGATGGGTCTGGCTTTATAATACTGTCACAGTATCGTTATTCAAATAACACATCTAAATTTTAGCTTTTATGCTTTGATGACTGTCTAACTGGCACTGGCTCTCACTCTGTTAATAATTATTTGACTATGTTTAAGCAAATGAATGAATTTTAACTATTTCGCATTGATTTGTAATACTCTATTTTTAAATAATATAGGTTATTAATTCAAAGAAAACCGAATATTTTGTGCAGATATTTTGCTGGAAGAAATATCATTTTACGGGCCACTCGTCCTTTGAAACCAGGAGAAGTTGTGGCAGAAAATTATGGACCTATCTTCACAAAGCGTAACTTAAAAGTTCGTCAAAGATGTCTCGAGGGGCGTTACTGGTTTCGATGTGCATGTAGAGCATGCACTGAAGATTGGCCAAACTTTGACGATTTGATTAACAAACAGCCACGGATTAAGTGAGTCAACATTGATTAGATTATTATGATAGAAGCTGTAGAATACTAAAATTCATAGTTGAAAGATTTATCAATTATAAATTGAAAATTAATCTTCTCTATACACAATTCATTAATAAAACTTACTTATTCCAACTTGATAGTTAGATTCACAATAAACGTACTTCTTCTGTTTTTTTTTTCATATTTAAAGTTAAAACTATAGAGTGAATAGTTTTTAAACCTTTGCATTTTAAAAGTTATTACTCTAAGCTAATTTACATTTTCGTAACTATCATAAAATAAACTGCACTCCATTTTTGAGGTTCTACTTGAAAAAATTTCTCGTCACCTTAATTCAAAAGTATCAACAATTTTCAGTGTTGGTACCTTATGATAGGATCATAGAATATGATATCAGTCCAAGTTTCTTTTTTATACTGCTATTATATTCAACAGATCATTCTATTTTTAGTTGCTTACTTCAAGGATTACCCGGGCAACAAATTTTACCTCATGAAAATACTAGACATACTCAGTATATTTTTATTAGATACATACTACTATTACACTTACACACATTGAATTAAAGTGATAAACTTATATTTACACCAAATCTGCACTTCACATACACACTGCGTTTTTTTGTACCATTACATTGGGTTTACACTTGGCTGCACCGAATTTACCGTCACACCACATTCATACTTAATGCACGCTAAATGGGCAAATATAATGTGGGTGTTGACTGAATGTCAAAAAAGCCCTGTTTGGTTTTTTTTACACTTCTCTTTATGCTAACAGATAAAATATGTAAGTATTCTTGGTTTGTCGCTTTTATTAGTTGCTACACTGCAAATCCGAGATGATTCATACATGTGTAAAATTTATCATTTGATGCGTGTTACATGTATAACGCCATTAATAAACTATATTACGTGTGTAAATTTTTCACACACTGTTATGTGTAAAAGAAGTGTTTACAAAATTGCTATAGTTCATTTATGACGTCATACATTATCTGTATGGATTTCAACCATATGTGACGGGATTTTGAATTTGCAATGCAATGATGATTGGTTTCATTGTTCACTTAAAATAATTTTTAACGTATATACATACAAATATGTTTGCGATGTTTAATATTGAAGAAGAAAAACTGCTTGTTTCGTAAAATGTAAAATTGTTAAAATAATACCGCATTTACTCCAAGGTTACAATAGAGAAGTACCATCAACACACGATGTAAATACTGTTTACAGGATAAAAATATGCTTTAAGGTAGTTCTAGCATATACACGGAAAAAAACCGAACTCGAAATTTCCCTAGTTATTAATCAAAATAAAACGAAAATTAGTAAGCTTTATAGTAATCGGGAAACAGTTCGAGTTTTTATGAGAAATTTCGAAGCTTTTTGGAAAAATTACGATTGAGTGAACATTAATTTTTAAATTCCCCATTCCAAATTTTTACAAAGTCGATATTAAAATAATGAAATTGATATGTTAAATTACTCTAAAAGGTTAGTATATTTTAAAAAGACTGTATCATTTTTATTACTAAGAGAATTGAAATTTTTATAAAGAACTATAAAAAATGATAATAATAATAATAATAATAATAATAATAATAATAATAATAATAATAATAATAATAATAATAATAATAAATATTAAATACAAATATTAATAAATATTGAATACAAATATTTATAAATATTGAATACAATTCACAGTATTTTCTACAATCATTTATTTTATTTTTTTTCGTAAATAATATAATTCAATAACACAAACATAAATATTGAGGAACACCATAAATAATATTATTATTTGTTCATTCTATACCCATCTTTTTGCTATATATTCAAAACTTTTTCCGAAGCGAGTTTTATACGTGACTAAACTAGTTCGAATTTGAGGCCATGTCAACCAAATAAATTTTGACACTTGTGTGTTAATTATTTCATATGCTCTGAAATGTTCATTTAGGCAACAAAACAACCGCTTTCCTATAACTGATATGGTACTAGAATCGTTTACAATTAAATAATAGACTTCATAAAAAATTGGTTTATTGTCACCTGGTATAGCTAATATCATGTTGGGTTTTAAAACATGTCCTTCATAAGATACCCATTTTGTGACTGATAGCATATGGATTGATTGTAATTCGTTGCAATTTTGATATAAATCATGCCCTATTAGATCTTTTACAGCCATTTTTTTGATTGGACCAGTAATTAATATTGGAATTGTTTGCGGTACTAAAAATGTATAATTTAAAATCAATTGATGCTTCAATGCTAGGGTATAAAATATATTACGACGACTAACAGAGACATGAGAAGTTATTTTTGAAGAACGATGCTTTCGTTCAAAACTTATGCAAGCTATGTGCCACAAAGGACCAAGCATATTCATTGCTCTTGGATAATGGATAAGAAGATAGTGCTTAGGGTTTTAAGAATTAGGGAATAAAGTTTGCAATTGGGATAAATAATCAGAAATTAAATCAGCAAGATATTCATGGGACTGGAATTGACAAAATTTTTCAGTGACGAATAGTACAATTTCTTGTAATATTTGTACAAATTGCCATTGATCATTGTTTGGAGGTATTAAATGACCTATTATTAATGTAATATTTCGCATTAAACAAAGCATTTCAGCTGCGCCCATAGAGTATTTTTTATTTTTTAAATGTGTTTCACTGAATTCTGGCGGTCTGTATTGTCGATCATTGAAGTTATAATTAAACCCAAATAACAAATCATTTAATGTTTTTATAGAAAAATATTCACATTCGATAATGTAATAATAAAAAATTAAACCAATGTCGTACTGACATACACCCTCTAGTAAATCATGCAGCAAGTCTACAGAGTAATTAGTTGTTAAATGAAAATCTGATAGAGAATGGAAGATACACAGCTTCATAATTCCTCTCGATTGACCATCGTCAGCTGCTAAATCTGTTTTTTAACTTATTTTATCACGAAGAACACAGTTTTTATCATTAAATACTTTATCAATATCATTTCGTTTAGTGTAACAGAAACGACAAAAGTAAGTTGCATTAAAATTTTCAAGTAAGCCAAACATTTGATGCAGACCCAAATTATCACCAACAATGCAAATTAATTTAAAATAAATCTTTTTAACTTCGCGATCAATTATAACTTCAATGCCATTGACCTCTAAATGATTAATTTCTTCAATAGCGGGATAAAAATCTTAGAGTTCTGATGACCCAGTGCATTAAACAATCCCAATAAAAAAATACTTGATTCTTTTGATTAGTACTCAGGTGGAAGACAAGCAATTTTCACATATAACGCACAACATTTTTGTAATTCTTTGTGGGCAGCTTAAGGATTATTTGTTTCATATTCATCACTATACAACAACAATGGTAAAATAATTTTCTTTTCAAAATTTTTAATTTTGAGTTTCTATAATTTACCTTGAATTACATTGTGACAAAGAGATGAGCAGTTATTCAATTTTTCAATATAAATTTTTTTGATAATCAACTATTCTAACAATTGGTAAAATCAAAGTACCAAGTCTTTCAAATTTTTTAAATATCGTATGTTCTGAGTTTAAATTATGGAACGGTTTTTTAATGTGATCGAACATCTCTTGCATCTCATTTAATCCATTCTGACTTTCGCCAAGTGCCAAAAATCTTGTACATACTTTTTCTTTTAATATGTCTAAACATTCGTCTAATAATAATAATCGGAAGTCTTCAATTGACATAGCAACTCGTTTTCTTGGTAAGTCTTTAATACAGTACCACTTAATTACAAATACATCATGCTCTCGTTTACGATGTTTCCAAAAGCTGTAATATAATAAAAAACTGCGCTTGCAATCACTTTCCATACATCTATACGCGGTTAAAGTCCTATGAGCAACTTTAATATGTAACAAGAGATCTAAATTAGTTTTTAATTGTTGTTCACAACAAAAACAAATATTCATTTTTACATAGAATAATCAAAAACAAACTTGGATGAAATTTTTTTAAATTAATTTGTAGAATATTCTTCCACTAATTAAAAGACAAATACTGAATATTATTCTTTGATCATTTTTGATAAAAATAAATTTTAAAATACCATTAACATAAATAACTAATAAAAATTATAAATGCTAAATTAAGTCTTGAAAATGCGTTTTGAATTAATTTCTTACAAAACATATTAACTCTTGTACTGATTGTGAAAAATGTTTTGTTTTCATAGGAATATCATAACAACCAGCTTGAATAAATAACCACGAATTTAGTGCAGCTTCTGGATATTTGTAATCGAGAGCTTGATAAATTTTTAACGCAAGATCTACTGCAGTTAAAAAATCACTAACGCGATATTTATTATCATCAACGATAACATAAACGTCTTCCACTTCTCTGAGAGTTCCAATGATCACTGGAATAGGCTGTAATGTTAACTTCAAATTTCGGAGATGCTCCCTTTTTTCTTCAATTACACGATCTAAGTTTGCGATAGTCTGAAACAATTTACAATCATATTGATGTTTTGAAGCATGTAATATAGAAATATCATTGCAAATTCATGTGCAAAGCTTTAACTTAAATAAACTGGTAAGAATACATATAAACATCACATGGATATTTACCGGTACAATGATGAATAGCCCGTCTCTACTTTCTTGTAAAGTGGCGCGACGTTTTTTGATCTCTTGTATTTTTTTAACTGGAGGTTCACCTAAATCCTTTGTTACTTCATTTTGTGGCTTTGTAACATATGCAGTGCTCATTAATAATGGCAGTAAATGGAGAAATACAGCATCTTGTTTTGCTAGAAGAAATTGTTATTCTTAAAATTCTGATAGTCCTCACAATTTATCCTGAAAAAAATAAATGAATAGTTACCTGCAGGAAGTGTTGCCAATGAATCTACTAGTACCTGGTCAGATGTACTTCTTGCTTTCCTACTTTGACGTAATTTTTGCAATAATTTCAACTTGATGAGCGGCCAATTTTGAAATACACGGAGAAAACTGAAGCTCAATTTTTAATAAATTTTATATAAAAATGTATAGAAGAATTACTAAATTTTTATTGTTTTCCAAAACCCACAGAATGTTTTGTTAATTACTACTGAATGCTGTTTGAAATTATTGATATTACTTAGAATTATTTTTACATAAATTTTATTATTAAAGTTATTCAAAAGTAGTAGAAAATTTTCTATGTTGTAATTTAATTTTTATTTTATATAATTAAAATTTTATGAAATGTTGAAAAGAAAAATTACAAAAGCTTACGAATTGTTAATAATAATTCTTATAAACAAATTTATCTTTTAAATGTTTTATTATATATGTTTTATAATCATGTCATACACTAGCAGCTTACAATACTCTTGAGTAAGATTTAGTTTATAAACGTGGATCATTATAGATTACTCAAATCCATCTTTTTGCAACGTATTCTTTACCATCACCAAGTAAAATTTTATAAGTTATTATATTATAACGTATATCAATCCAATATAATGGTATAAATGAGTAAACATTTTTTTCAATCTCGTACGCTTGAAAATGATGATTATAATATGCAATTAACTTTTGTGTAAGAGCGATCAATTTATGTGATTCACATAAAACTAAATAATTAATAAAAAAGAAATTTGGCCCATTTTCAGACGGGACCATCACTATCATTTCTGGTTTTAATGTGAAACCATCATAACAAATCCAATCAGTAACAGATACTTTTTTTTCTGAAGCTATCAATAGTAAAGTATTATAAAAATATTTGTAGTTATTAAGTTCATGTATCAAAACTTCATTTTTCGCACCTGATATAAACTCATATTCTTCATCATGTGCTGTTAAAAAGTAATTATTAAGTACTAGTTGTTCTTTTAAAGCTAAAGTATAGCAAATATTCCGATGACTCATACACGGAGAGAAAAATCATATAATTTTTGTAGAGAAAATTTCAGAAAAATTACCATGCTCTCTTATAATGCGTGCGCGATCGACGACCAAAGTAAAAAGTATTTTACGATCATGTAAATATTATTAAATTGAAACGTAAATATTATCAAATTGAAACATAAAGAGTATTAGTCATAGCTTCATAAAAATTGTTGTGCTGGCATGGTAAAATTTAATGTGCTGTATTAGAAAACTTCCTTATCGATTTAGTAAAATTTCTAAGTATGCTTAACAATATTTATATATCAATGTATTAATTTCTCTACAGCTTATTATTTATTTTTGATTCAAAAAAAGGCTGTAACGTAAAAAATTAATAATGTTTTTTTGATTTAGGGAAATTAAGGAATCGCGGTTGAATTTGATAATGATAAAACACTTTTATGAATTATTAAATATATCTTTATTTAAATTAAAACCAATTTTTGAGAATAAATTTCGCACCATTAGATGCTCTTACAAGATTCGTAATCTTAAAGCTAAATAGGTCATCCAAATTTAGTACATCCCACGTATACTGATCGTTGTACAATCGATAACATTCAGTTTTTTCGTAGAGGAATGTACTTATTAATTTTTTAACCATAAGACATACTTTAATATTGCTACAAACTATAATATTATCTACTTTGTAAAAAATAGGAGCATCTTTATGTGGTACCATAATAACGTTTCCAATTTCTATAACATTGCTATAAAAATTAATTTTTTTTATGCAATTGATATAAATTAAATTACTAACAGACGCTGGCAGAAGTTTTGCGTACCCAGAATACCCGTTTAAATGTATTAATTTTATATTTTTTATTGTTTTAAATTCATAAGATAGACCCTCCGGTACTTTATTTATCAAAAAACGATAGTTTTGGCAAAGTTGATGCTTTATGGCGATAGTTTTGCAAACATTAACACGGCTTACAGCAGCATGAGAAGTAACTTTACACTGCCGATGTTTGGCTTCAAATCGCATCGTTGATATTTTCGATAATGGACCGCAAAGATGCATTACTCTTGAATAATGAACCATAAAATGATGTTTCGGTTTGAACGAATCAGGAAAGCATGTTGCCAATATTTCTAAATATTCAGTTATTACAACACCCAAGACGAGATAAGCGTTCTCGTCAACTTCATAGCTCATTAGTATATTTATAATTTTTTGCATTGATAAGAGTAATTGCCAGACTTCATTAGAATCAGGGATTAAATGGGATATTATTAAAGGCAAATGCAATGACAATGTTATCATTTCTGATGCATACATAATTATTTGTTTGTTCTTTATATGAGATTCAAGAATTTCTGAAGGTTTATTTTTAATGGGTCCATAATCAAAACCCTTTATTAAAGTATTAAGTTGTTCGAGAGTGAAAAATTTTGCATTTATAAAATAAGAAAGAATAAGAGCTATATCATATCTGCAAATACCTTCGAATACGTCGTGAATAATATCAACAGTGAAATTCTTTAGTGGATGAAAACCACCTATACCTTCCAACACACATCGTTCAACAATGCCAGTTTCCTTCGCATTATTTTTCAATAAATCTACTTCATAACTAGATTCAGATCGTATGATACACTGATCTTCTTTTAAAACACTATTAATTTCAGATCGATTTGTTAAACAAAACCGACAAAATTTTTTTTGATAAACACTTTCTGTAAACCCAAGTAAATAATGTACCCCCAGAATATCTCCAATTACTAAAGATAAACGAAAATATAATTGTTTATGTCCGTTCGGAAGATCGATAGTAATACCAGTGTGTTCTAACAATTCCAATTCTTGTTTAACTTTAGAAAAGATGATATTATTTTTTATATATTTTCGATCCAATGTGTTAAATAATATAAATAGAAAAATATTTTCAAGCTTGGATTGAAATCTTGGTGGCAAGCATGGTATTGATACATAAACCGCACCACATTTTGATATTCCACGATGGCTGCCCAACGGATTATTATTTTCATAGTCGTCATAATATAAAAAAAGTGGAAGAACTATTTTATCACCGTCATTGATAGTAAGTGTTTTCCACAATTCTCCTTGAATAAAGTTCGATATGATAGCAGTATTGTATTTTAGTGAATTTATATAATTTAATGTCTCATCGAAAATAGTTGGCATTTCGAAAAATTTTTTAAAAACTAAATGAAGTGGTATGAATTCTGCAGTTACCGGGATCATCTTCAAGTTTATTGTTTCATGTCGTCGCCGAAAGTCTTGCCTTTCACCTAACTGATATGATTGCGGAGGAATGAAATTCTTTAACTTTTTGAATTCGGCAAAAATATTGTATTCATTATTGAAATCATCGAGTTTATTAGTATAATCGTTCATGGTTTTTGCAATTTTGTTTTCGATTTTTGATTGAACCGATGAATCTTTATAGATTGTTTCGGAATTAAAAGTATCTGACACAACTTTAACCGTTTCAGTTAATACATTTTTCAATAACGTACGTACGTCATTCAAAATTTCCAATGATCGATTTCTAGAAATGTCAGGATAACTATAGATTTTCGCCGCAAAATGTACCCAGTCTTTAGAATTAATAAAAGAATTTGAGTCTACAACGAGTTGTGAGGTGGATGGTTCATTATTCAGTATTTGCGGATCAAACGGTAAATCATTGTCGTTAATTATTTCTTTTTTTTCTCAGTTGTATGCTCTGTAACACGCTGCTTTCTTTTTGGTGGAGGTTCCATTATTTTATCACTATGTTTTTTTTCTGCATGACATCTCATAGAGTTTATGGATTTAAAAATTCTTAAGCATGATGTTTTTCCACATGGAAAACTATTTAAATCGGAATGACTTCTATTAACATGACTAATATAATTTTTACAGTCTTTTATTGATATTTCACACATTTTGCATTCAAACGACATTTTTGTAATTAATTTGGGTTAATGTTTTCGATTCCAAGTTCACAATTTTTCAAAATACTTGCAATTAAAACTTCTGTACTTTTGCTGCACTTTTCCGCTGCGATATTTATATTATAAAAAGATTTTTGAATAAAAACCCAAACTGGATTTGCTCTAATAGGATAAGAACATTTTAGTGCAAAAAAAATTTTGAACGTTAAATCTATTGCATGTAATACAGATTGCACTTCGTAAATAGTAGGATTTTCGATAGAGTTATTTAGATATACGTAGAATGATTCTAAATTTGCTAATGGACCGACGAATATAGGGATCGGCTGAAGGGTTGTTTTTGAGGTTATACAAACTTGTCGCTGTCTTTCTAAAGCAATGTGAATATCAGCAGATGTTTCAGCATGAATAAAAAACGATTCTTGTTTTTCGCGTATGGTTATTCTTTCTTCAGTAGAAGGATTATTTTTCTTATACTTTCGTGGGGGTGTGATGAGATAAGGCAGTAAATAGAGGAGAATAGAATCCTTATTGCGCTGGGATAGAGGTGGCAAAGCGTGGTATAACCCAAAATCTTCACCTGTCAGTTGTTTACAATTTTTCAGGTTAGAAGCGATGATAGTTCTTGCAACTTCCCAGCGATCAAAAAATATGTTTTTCCGATTAGAATAGAGGGTGTTGAAGTCTGATGATAACTGTAAAGAATTGACATTCCATGTAAGACATTAAATCGTACAACCAACTATAATTACAAATCTTTTATTGATAGTATGAATATTACCAGATCAGCACCCAATGCGCCTTTCAATGCAGGAAATTTCTCAAAGTAATCATCGACTGAACACCCGTTTTTCAATAATTTTTGACGTAGAGAGTACACAATTTTCCACTGATCTCTGACTGTGTTATGTGGGATAAGATTTACTTTTAACCATTCCACTGCATGCAGTTCTTCTTCTAAAAAAGGAAGTTCTCATGAAAAATAGTTTATTTCAATGCAATAATTTCAAAATTTGCATTTGATTCCTTCTACAGTTTATATGAGAAATATTTTTTAGTTATAAGTACTGTAAAATATGTCTAATTATACCAAATTTAATTTTTTTTTGACAAAAGGTTTCTACGATAAATGTCTGTGATAAACATACACGCTAGTAATTTTATGACGGTTGCATTTTCCGAAGGTGTGGAACCCAAAAAACAATAATTTTTCAATATCCTCGGACCACTGAATAAATCGTTCACTATTAATGCTAGAAATAATAAAGTCATTGATTAATATGTTTATAATCATGCCCAATTTTTGTGAATAATTATTATAGTTTAGTATAACTGCACATCTTAACTTACTGAAATTTTTCTAAAATATCTTTATTTGGCACTTGGAGAACTGTTTCTAATTGTCTATCTTTTTCAGGGCTGAGTATAAGTCTGCTGAGTAAATTTCTTAAGGTTTTCTTCAAGCATCCATTATCTCGATAATATTTTAAAACACTTTTGCCATCAGCTGAATTTAATAAAAGTTGGTATATAGGCTGTAAAAAAAATTTTTAAATATAAATTATTTGTCCTTTGTTCAAATAGTTATTGATCATAAGTTAATGACACTCACGTTGTTGATAATTTCTGGACGTTCAAAATGCCCTTGTAAATCCTGTAAGATAAAACTATCTAAAAATTGAGAAAGAACACAATTGACTAGTAATTGAAAAAAATGACAACGGTTAAAAACACTGGAAAATGACTACTTTACTACAAAAACCATCATCTTTTGATCACTTATAATTAACGAAAGAAAAATTTTTCAATTTTAATAAATAAATCCACTATTTCACTAACACTGTTAACACTTTTGCACTTTACAAAAGTTGAGTTTGAACAAAAACTGATTCGATATTTTTAATTGTTGTCATTTTTTCGACAAGAAAAGGCTTAGAAGTTGTGTTGTGGGAGTTAGACTATTTAGTATGAACTACTTACCATTTTACTGTAAATAAAAAATAATACCAAAATCAGTTAATTATTTAAGAAATGAATAATAGATATTATGAATGTTAAATATTAGTTGCTATTAAAGTTTGTGAAAGATTACTCACGTCGTTACAAAATGACGCACTTTTATGTGTCACTGTATAATGTATCACTCTCTATTGATAACACAGTCAATTACGCACTGAGGAACAATAAACGTATTCAAACCTGCTTCGAAAAACTTCGAAGATGCCCGATCTTTTCCGACCTTCGATTCTTTCTTATGTTAATAGCAGAATGCACGTTGTTTTAACTTAATAGTAGAATATCTCGAAAACTATGAATCCGAGATCTAGACATAATGCGTACAATTTTTAGAAAATCGCTTTACGAACAAAATGACCCCTTATAGGCTTCTCTACGATTAATAGTTAATGAGATATCATTTTTTTGTTTAAAATAATTCTCATGCTCAACAGCGTTGATACCTTCTTTCTCTTTCTTTCTTTCTACTATTAGCAGATAGCATTTGAAAAATTATAAGACAGCATGGTAAAATATATTAGTTCGTCTAGGACTCTATGGCAGCTTAAATCGTAATTTTTGTAAGAAAAACAATTAAAAAATATTTTTCTGTCGGGAATGGAACTTTTTACTGTGCTGTTTTACAAATTTTACAAAGCTGAATTTTAAGAAAGAATATTTTATCCTTTAAATTTTCTATGATTAATTATGATTTTTATATTTTTGCCGTACAAAATTGACTATGTTCGGCTTTCACACGTCGATTGTAGTGCTGAGCACAGTAATTTTTCTATGAATTTTCTCTCCGTGTAGAAACACGAGCCGTAACTTTACTTGGTCTATGCTTTCTTTCGAAACTCATACAAGCAATGTGCCACAAAGGACCAACTAATTTCATAACTCTTCCATAATGCGTTAAAAAATGATGTTTTAGCTTAAAAGAGTTAGGAAACAATTCTTGGAGAGTACTTAAATAATCACTTATATAACTTTCTAATAAATAATAATGCTCAAATGGACAGTATTTTTCTGTTACACAAAATATGATCTTTTGTAATGTTAATATTAAATTCCAGTATTCACATTCTTCAGGAATTAAGTGACCTATAATCATTGGCAAATTACGAATTAAATTAAGCATTTCGCTTGCAGTCATTGTAAAGCACTTTTTTTTAAATGATTTTCGGTTAAGTCAGCGGGCTTATTTTGTTTATCATTGTAATTGAAATGAAAACCTCGCACAAGTAAATTGAAGTCGTCTAGAGAAAAATATGTTTTTTCTTTTATATAAGGCTTTCATAATTATCTTTTGTACGTAATGTACATTGACTGTCGTCAAAAACACTATTTATATCTTCATTTTTTATCAAACAAAATCTACAGAAAAATTTGGTATCAAAACTTTGAACTAAACCGAAAATTTGATGAAGAGCTAAATTGTCTCCTATAATACTATAATTTGAAATAAATTTTACGAGGTTGATTATCAATATGTATTGTAATTCCATTATTTTCTAAATCATTTAATTGGTCTACTGCCGGACTAAAAGACTTTGGATTATCTATATCTGTAGCATTAAATAAGCCAAATAAAAAAACATTTGATAATTTCGATTGATATATTGGAAGAAGACAGGGTATTTTTAAATATAAAGCACCACATTTCTCGACTCCCTTGTGACTCCCTAAAGGGTTGTTCCTTTCATATTCATCAAAATACATCAATAAAGGCAGTACAAGTTTATCACCAAATGTAGCTCTTTTTTCTTTCCATAGATCAGCTTGAATTATATTCAACAAAATGCTAGAATTATTATATAAAAAATCAACATATTTTGTGACCTTAGAATACACGTTAGGCATACTAAAAAATTTTGTAAACACTTTATACATAGAAATATATTGTATTGTTATCAGAGCCTTCTTAATAACAGTTTTCCCTTTTTCATCGCAATATTCGTCGTAATATCCTATAGTATGTTGAACAGGCAAAATTAACGTACCTTTTTCGACAAAATATTTGAATTGGTTATATTCAGTGTTTAAATTTTTTAATGGATTTCTCAAGCAATCAAACACTTGACGAATTTCACATATATTTTGAGGTGTATCATGAAAATATTCGAATCTACTTAAAACTTTATTCTGTAAAAAAGTCATTGCTTCTTCATATAAAAAAGTAGTAATATCATTTAGTATCATTTGTACTCTTTTTCTTAGTAAATCATTTAAACTATACCACTTTGCTATCATACGAGAAGTTATATTATTTAAATTACTTTCAAAATTCTCAAAATTAATGTTTACATTTTTAAAGTTAGGCATTTCAATTGTTTCTATAATTTTATCTTCTAAATCACTTACATCAATAGGTAATGATTCATCGACTGCATTTGTCTCTGCATTGAAAGTACTCACTTTATTATTATCAATATTACACGGCTTGAGTAATAACGCTACATCAAATTTGTTATAATAAGGTTCATTTTGATTACATATCGGATTTGAAACACATTCAGTAAACGATTTAAAAGTAGTGCTAGAATCATGCTCACGATTGCGATGTCGCCAAAAACTATAATATGACGAAAAACTTCGTCGACATTCAATTTCACTACATCTGTAGACTTTCAAAAAAATATGTACTGTTCGAATATGTTCTAATAATTTTTGATTGCTAATTAAGCTGTCTTTACACTCAAAACATATAAACATAATGAATAAAAAAAAACGCAATTACTTATACGTTAACTTCGTTAGAAAAACTTATAATAAATAATAAAGAAACTTAATTAGATATTTAAATGCGATAATTTATACTCTAACTGCATCAAACAAAGCTGTCATTGAAGTCGTAAATTTGTCAGTCTTCAAGAATATATTGAAGCAAACTTGCTGTATAAATAACCATGAATGTAAAGCTGGAGCTGAATATTTACCATCGACGGCCATACAAATCGCAAATGCAATTTCAATTGCTCGCATAGGTTCTTTAGCTCGATAAATAATATCATCTATGATGACATAAGCATCTTGAATATTATCTACTTCTCCAACAAAAATGGGCAATGGTTGTACAGATAAACCTAAAGTCTTATATTCAGATCTTTTTGCTGTACAATAATATCCAAGTTTGCCACATTCTGAAAAAATAAACAAATTTTATTGTACCTATAATGAAGGTATATCGAGCAAGAACAATTCATTAGCAAGTTAATTATTTTATAAATTCATAAGAAATGAACATGGCACGAATGAATTTTTATTTAATTACCATCAATAATATCAAAAAATTACTTACAGGTACAATTAGGAATAATCCTTCTCTCGCTTCTTGCAGAGAAGCTGGTCGATGTGTTATTAATCGTGGTCTTTTTGTGCCTTTGCTAAGTTTTTGCTGATTTTCTGGAATATCTACCTGAGAAGATGTCTACCTGAACAGATATCACTGTTGAAGACAATTTAAAGTTAATATCAGAAAAAAATCATATTTAATTTTTTTATTAAAAAGCAAAACTTTATTAAAAATAAATGAGTGAATTATTTTTACTAATTGTTAATTGATATTGTACTAATTCATGTTCACGGAGCATACTTCTCGGTCGTTTAAATATCAAGTTCAATACGTACATGGGTCACTGCGATGTAATTCCTGAAGAAGAGCTGAATCTCTTAAATTTAATTTTTTTGTACTTTCTGTCAAAACTTGAATAAGTTTTAATTTAATTAATGGCCAGTTAATTTGCAGCTTATTATGATTATCAGGAAACATTTGTTTAAAGTCATTTTCCAACTGTAAAAAATTTTGCAACGCATAGATACATTGTCCAACAGTAAAAAGTACTAAATATAATGCTACACTTGTAAACCATACCAATTGATATCCTATTTCACTTTGTAAACAAGGAAATCGTTGTAAATAGTTGTAAATTGATAGATGTTCTTCTTTTAAGATTTTCTGGCGTTTAGTAAATGTATAAAACCACGAAAGACATATGACGTTTATTTCTTCTTTATTTTCTTCGAGTATTTACAAATGCTTTTCAATAGCTGAATAAAAAAAATACTAACATAGTTTTACAAGTCAAAATATATTTTAAATTACTATCATATTAATACCTTCAGTAGTTAAAGAATTTCCAACTGACTCTTCAACAGAAGTAAGATCTTGACTTCCAGTTTGAACCTTTGTTTGATCTTTCAAAACGTTATCTTTCCGACATTTACGTTGTAAGTAACGATAATGATCATATAATTTTCCAGTTGGTAAATATTTTGGAGTATTTGTTTTTGACTCATATGGTTTATAATATACCCTACGAGGTTCTAATTTGAAAAGCTTCCTTATCGCTTTTGTTATCGTGAAGAACCGTTTTGGAGTTATTCTGTTAATAGAAAAATTGCATGTAACAAAAAATTTTTATTTATAGTTTTACGATACTGATCGAAAAATTGTAACTTCATAGACAAATATTTTTGATTATGCTAAAATTATTAAAAAAAGTTAGTTATTAATTACATAATTAATTATCAACTGATTAATTTATAATTAATAAATAGACATGTAACTCATAAATAACAAAAATTGATTATTTGATATCGAGAACATTATCATGAAATAATTATTATTATTGATTGTAAGTTAAATATGAAATCAATTTTTCCATCAGTAAAAAATTTTGAAAAAATGTCTACATAAACTGTGATACTGTCAAATCACAAACATATTTTTCTATGGAATTTTGGAATTCGCGTCCTATGACTTCTCTAGTAAGTCTATTTCTTAATGCATTATTTAGTTTCCCATCTTGCTCTCCTATTAAAACCGCACGACCGTTAGAAGTAGAGTTCAAAAAATCTCTCAAATTCTAAATAATGAAAGGAAAAAAATGATTCTTTGAACATACAGAAAATAACAAATTATTATAGAAGCATGATAGTAAATAGTTAATAGAAAGAAATAAGGTAAAATAAAGATATGAAAAATGAAATTATTCAACAAATCCGTACAAGTGAGTCGACTTCTTCATCCGTTATTATCTCGCCTCCATCTTCGTTGTCAATGTATGGTAAATTTTGTATTAGTTGAGGGTTATTTGATGTGACAATTGATAATTGTTCACCACAAGCGATATTATTAAAATTAGTGTCATTGGCATTATTGTGAACGTTTGTACAATTATTAGTGGAAATATTATTTATATCATGAGTTGTTGGAGTTTCATGAATGTGTGTAGGAGCAGGTATATCTACATGAATAGGAAAATATAATTTACATTTAAGAAATTGAGTATAAAAATATAAATGAGCTTAAACAATATAAAGTATTTTTCATTAAAAAAAAATAAAATGAAATAATGAAAAAATAATTTTACATTTATAATTATTTTTAATGAACGAAGTGTACAGTATAAACAAACCTGATGTGGACAACAAAATCGTATCGCATTTTTCACGTATCTGAGTCATTGAGGGATTCTCGATTTGAGTATTTATTTGAAACGTTTCTGCTGCTGTGTTTATATTTCGAGAGCTTAGATTAGTATAAATTACTTCTTCACTTTGTTCATACGGAGCATGAGGCGTTATAGCAATTTCGCTTACACTAGGAGCCTCTGTTATAAAACCAATAAAATTCAAAAAATAATTTTTTCTATTCATGATTTTTTTTTGAAAAAAAAGTTATTTAATGTAATCTAGCCTAGGTAAGGAGAAGAAGAAACGTACAAATATGTATATATACATATATGAATGAACTTTTGACTCATCTTATTAATGTATAATATTCATTTTACTATTAAAAAAAGGAACTTATCTCTTTGCTATTTCTAAATATTCATAAATAATAGTATCAAAAAATACAATCTTTATTCGAATTTTAAAGAATAATTGATAAAAACCTATTTTTATTACTTTCGAAACGACTACAAATTTAATTCATTTCATCAAAAATTAGATACCCAAGTTCTTTTTACGACATGATTATGCTAAACGAGATCAATTCATCAATTCCACAATAAAAAAGAATTAATAGTCGAATTATTATTTATTTAATTAAAATTTTTATATTATTTACGTACCTTGGAACGCCATGAAAAACTGTGTTAGATCTGGTAGTTTTTCTGATGTATCCATGTTTCTTAAAACAAAGAAGAATCACAACACTAGAAATTAAAAAAACAGTCACTACTTTACTACGTGATATTCTCAGCTCAACTGAAGAAAACTTAACCAGCCCGATCCACATGACAACAAGAATTACTAAAAGTATAGTAAAATTTGTGATCAAGTTGATGATGTTATTGCCAATTTCTAAGAAAGCAAATTCCTTAGAAAGATATTCTTTGTTTCAACGATTGTAGAAATGAATTTTTCTTCAGCATGGAGTAATTTTTCGATCACGTTAAGTAAAAAAGAATCAACATTGAATAATATTGATAATAAGGTAGTAAAATCTAACATACAAAAGTTTATAAATTCCAAAAAAATTCATCAGCTGTTTTTTCGTTAATTGAATTGGAAAATAATGTGAATCGTCTTAAAAAATTTACTAAATATAACGTAAAATATGAGCTACTTGTAAAAGACCATGCTTTTTTGTAAAAATTACGTGATCTATATCACTCATATTTTCTATTGTACTTAGTAAACTTTTCAAAACAATTTACGAGCTTTTTTAATTTAATTAGCATAAGTTCATTCTAATTATTGTAAAAATTCTGTCGTTTTACATTGTAAAAATTAGAAAATCATTGATACGAAATTCTACGATACATTCCGAAAATTTTACTAAACGCAAAGTAAAAAATTAATTATAATAAATATTTTTTAATAACTTTATTATGATAATTCTGATATTAGAGAATTTACCATCCTCTTTGCTTGAAATTACCATATAGTTGCGTGGCTATTTACGAGTTCTAGTATTTTTTTAATTGTGTATTGCACTGTGTACGATATTATTGTAATTTTTTATATAATGTCGAGTGCCAGTTTTCTCCGTGTAAATGATTTTCTTTTCCAGGAAACAGTTTTTGAAAATCAAGCGTTAGCTAAAAAAATTAGACACGAATGATATTCAAGTAATTGAATACTATAAAAAGACAAAATCTTCTCTGTGTTAATGCAAAATTATCGAATGATTGATCGACTTTAAACTAATCAAAGATCTGGCAAACTTACATTTCCATCAATTCAAATTTAAATAAAAATTATAAAAAATCCCATGTGTACCTGATTATTGTTATAATTAAAGTCATTTTGCCATTTATTTAAATTAAAACGAAATTTAGCAAGATCATTTGGATCTGTGATAATTGAAGATAGTCGATTATCATCAACTGAAAGTAGATGTAAATTGATCCCTTTTAGAAAAAAATAAAAAATAGTATGAAGTAATAGAAGAGGAGATAAAAAATAATAATTTTTAGTTATTAAATATTTAAAACAGTAAATTCTAAAACGCTGGGCTCCAAATATAAAAACGAATACTTTAATTTGTTACTATTTTCAGGTAAATTAATATCTAAACTATATAATATTTATACACATAAATGTGTCATACAATACACAGAAATACGTTACCTTCAAATGCAATAATAAGATGAGGTAAATTCCACACATTTAATAATTCTGCTGTATTCATAATGTCCATTTATCACGTTTTCACTTTTTGCACTGAATTACACAGATGTGATCAAGGCGACACTTCTACAATAACTGATTGGCGTGAACATCAGATCGTATGCGACGAATGAGACACTAAATATTAAAATTTAGTAACTAATTTTTATGTAAACGTTAATAGAAATTCCTAATTTTTTCTCAATAACTGTTGTTGAGAACAGAAAAATTGATAGGCAGTTTATATTTACTACTCGGTAGATGCCACAAATTACAAAACGTACTTTTTAATTTGCTAACGGAAAGAACTTCTAAGAACGCACGGCGTAAGAAGCACTTCCATAAAATGACAACAGAATCACCAAAATAAATACGATCTACACAACGCAAACGTTGAAGATTAAATGCGAAATTTAGAAGCGTGAAAGAGATTCTAAATCTATCGCCTTATTACTTATAAATGTAAACACATTTACTTATAAATATATCTCTGTAGTACCTCAAGTTGCTCAATAGTTTATTCATAAATGAAAGAAAAATTATGTCAAGACATCTTTGGAGAACATTGTATCAATTGGAACACAGAAAAAATTTCCTTTTTTGCCTTTTTTTCACATACTTTTATCATTCAGTCAATGAACAAATTAATCAATTAACGCTCGAACCTGCAGTATCAAAAATATTGATATATCAAACTAACTTTTAGGGGTTGGCATAATCACGAGTTTATCCTACCTAAATTGAGGTGTCCATATGGACACAATAGGGATTAATGGGTTAATATAAAAATCAAAAACTGATTTAATTGATAGCAATTTTCAAATAAAGTATGAAACAGTGAATTAATTTTATAACTAATCTAAATATTTTCAGGTGTACAACAGAAAGATGTAATGGATTGCTTGTTCTACCACAGCCAACAAATTATATCATAAAATGTTCATCATGTAAAAACAAAGTGAATTTAAATCGAAGATTAGCAGATCTAAAAAAGTGTGAAGAAGATTATTCGAGAGGATTGGCATCTGTGGAAGCAGAAAAACCTCTTGAGGCTATGGAAATATTAATTAATGCATTAGAGAACTTTCACAAAGTAGCCGCTCCTCCACATAGACCGACTCATTTGGCAGAAATAGCATTAGCATCATGCATGGCAAGTTCTGGAAATGTATGGAAACCTTTAATGATCAACTGAAATATTCATCATAAAGGAGATGGTCACATTAATGCATATGACTTTGAATATTCATCTTAAATGATAGTTCAGATTTCTACCTATTAAATGTAATTAATTAATAAGTCCGATAATTAGTAATGAAAACATTTATAAATTAAATAATAAAATAGAAGTTTTTTTGAATTTTAATAGTTTTTGAAGAGAAAACCCATTTTAATTATAAAAGTAATATGTTTAAATTACTATGAAATCATTCAATTATTTGATTACTATGATGATAAAATTTTAATCTTCATTTACGAGGTAAATATTGATAGAATCTATGTAATACATTTGTTCCATTTACATAGTAGAAAATATTATATCACAAGATTTCCAAGCTGAAAGAAACTTAAAAAATGAAATACATTAGAGTGTATACTTTTCATGAATTATATAATATTATGTGTCAATATTATTAATTGTAATCTATGGTTTGAATGACATTTCAAAAGATAAACTTATTCAATAAAATAATATTTGATGCAAATAAATACCTATGGGACTTTATACTCACCATTTTTTCATGCAAAAGAGCAATAGTTAAATTCTCAAGGGAAAATTGGCATCGAACAAATCATTTTCATTGGGAAAGAATTGCATTTATTTATTTACAAAGGATTTGCATTTAGAATGTATGTAGTTTTAGTTCAAATTTAAATGTAGATTTAGTTACTAGTTTAAATTAGCTTATTATTTGTTTTTAAGTCATTTATTTTTTTTTAAATTGCACAAAATTATCTGAAATTCTTTTTGTAGTTTTTTATTGTTATGTTCTAGAGAAACAAATCTATAAAGGCTTTATAGATCTTTGTAAAATATCGTAAAAATTGATTAGAGAAAAGAATATACTCCTTAAGTATATTTTAAGATCAGAGCAATGAAAATATGACTTAAAAAGCTAACAAATACAATTTTTATGAGTCTGAGTTGAAATTACCTACTCGTGCTGCAATATCACGATGAAACGTTAAATAATAAAAATATCAACAAAGAAAAGATATCAAAGAAAATCCAAATAACAATATTATTTTCATGCCCTCACCTTTAGTAAATATCCTAAGAGTATATACTTAAATAGTCGTCTTTTTGAGCTTATTAAAAAATACTTTTTAAAATTACATTTGAAACTGTAAAATTCATCAGTAATATTTTCATGTTAATTTACTGCTAATTTCTTGAATTTTATTTTTTTACAAAGTTTTATGTTGTATTTTTTTGTACGTAACTTTTATCCAGACAAAACTTGGTTGTTTTTTGATTTTATGAATATTAAGTAACATAAAAAAAAACTTTTAGATTAAAAAAACGATGATAAAATATTCATATGAAGATTTCTGAGATTTAGAATTACCGAAGATTACTGAGGTTTTCATGATTTAAATCTCATGCTCTTTTTTTTATCGAATACTCTTTATCCTATCCATATTATAAAATATAATCAATTTTCTGCTGTAACAATCATGTAATTTACAGTCATTAAAAACATTTTCTAATAAATCAATAATAATTATTAAAAATTACCAAATCTCAAATTATGAATGCCGTAATAATTTTTATTTTTTTATAATAACAATTTATGATACTAATGAATTGACGTATTGATTTCCTACCAGGCTTATAATAAATGGAATGATACATATTGAGAGCTATAATGATAAAATATTTAAACTTTCATTTATTGAGTAAGTAGAGAATTTAAAATTTCACCAACTTACCTTTTACTACGAAATTATATTAATACTGTTTTTGTACAAATGAAAGTTTATTTATAAATATACTGAGTAATATGTTGAAATACCTACAGCAATGTTATTATGTTTTATTTTCTAAACAATTTGAGATAATAATTAAGTCCTTTTCAAGAATTACTGAAATAAAAGCAGTAAAGAAGCGAAGAAAAGAAGCTTGGTCTGTTATTGTACGAAACGTAACAAACATTAAGCTGGTATAAGTTTTTTTTTGCTTTTTAGAGATTTTTAATAGTTATTTTATAATAAATTTTATCATTTTTAACTTCAAATAAACTCAAATATAATCAAGAATCATCAGATTCTTCTTCATAGATTGTCAATAAATTTACCCTAAAATTATATTAAATAATTAATCGTCAATAATAGATAATAATAAAAATGTTCCAAAATTGATTTTCTTGTAAGTTGATTCGAAAAAACTGTTAGAAATTAATAAAATGTTTATTATACGATATTTTTTCCTGAATAAAAACATCTAATAATAAGAATTGTTAGTAATAATAAAATATACAAAAAATGAGAAGATAAATTGATGTAATGTTTATGAACTAAATAAGTAATAAATGTAATGAAAAATTCACTGTATATTTAATTCTTAATCATGTGATATTCACAAAAATGTTTCCTCATGTCTCAATAATTGATTGAAAAAAGGCTAAGAATTTATTCAAAAAAATATGTTGATATTTTTGATTAAGCTTGAATTATTTAAATAAATCTAAAGAATTTTCGAAGTGTTGTTTTTAATATGTGATGTCTATTATTTTCGTTGAATTTCAATCATGTAAATATTCCCTTTTTTGTACCTTTCTTTTGATGTGGAAAAAGCTGCATAGCTTACTCTGGTGTGACGCCTTCGGCACTTGATGAAAGAATTCGAATTTTATATGAAGGATCACAAAAGAATAAAAACTCATTTTTATTTTCCAATTTTTTTGTCGAGTTTATTTTTTATAATGCACATGTTTCGTGAAAAAATTAAATTCCATATGAAATTATCATTTAGAGCTTCACGTTTCGGTACAAAATTTACTGAGCAGTCGATGATCAACTATACCATGACACCGGTATAAATAGGCGGCTGTAATAAACCGTGTGGCGTAACGTGTATAGCCTGACAGACATCTCACCAGCCCGCCGATCTTCCATGTAGTAAAATTTTATAAAAAAAAAAGGTACACTATTTAATCAGCATTATTACCATGTCATTTGTGTCTCTCGAGTACACACTGTCGCAAATGGTTATTTTCAATTAATTATACGAGAGCCATTGTCATTCTTTAAATAATTGACTGTTTTTACTTGTTCTTTAACCAGTTATTTTCATTTTATCTTTTTTTATTTTTTATTAGTTTTTTCATTGTAATTTTTTTTAACGAAATTACCAGTATGAACATATAAATAGCTTTAATAAGGACTTATTATTTTCTTCAGATGGTTCTCTTTTAGCATTCTTTCAGTTTTTGTTCAATTTTTCAACGAATTGTGATAAGTTGGATATGAAAATTTGAATGAATGTTTTTGTTTTGCTTCTTTTAAGAAGAAACGATATTACAAAACTCGCTTTCTCACGCATCACTGAGATTCATTTAGTAATTATTAGTCTCAAATGTTGTGATGTAAATAAAAGCGGCGTGTTGAGTTTCAATAATATTTGTAATCTTCATTCTCGTTTCTCCTTTTAATCATTTTTTTAGTTTCTTTAAGCTTTCACCTTTAATTCTATTTTTCATGATTTTATGTTGTTTTGTTATTATTTTTTGTTTGCAAACACCACACCTTTTATTGATACATTAGCTGACTGGCATATTTTTTTTAGAAATACATGACTCTCACTTAGCTTCCGGAGCCAAGTGAAACCCTGCGGACTCGATCGGGCTAATTGATGGCTCATGTTATGTTTATTTCTTTAACTTTAATTATTATATCATTGTAACTTCTCAACTATTTCAGTCAACACATGCATTGTACATTTTCACAGTCAGTATTACATATTTTTTGTTACGATTGTTTTATCAGAAATATGCTTTTTCCTTTAATCCTTGCACCCTGCTGCAAGTTTTCATATTTGTTAATGAATGTTTTCTACAGTGCATTACATTGAACTTCGCGGTTACGTTAATCAGATAATCGATTCATTATCATTCATTCAAAAATTTATTTATCATATAAATATTATGAAGAGTATAAAAAAATGTCTATAACATTTAAGAATCATCCAAATTGACAAGTAAATTTAATTTTGTTTATTTATTTTATTATAAAATACAAATGTTTTGCGTCATTACTTATTAATCATTCATCGATTTTGTAACGTAACCGCGCGTTACAATTAGCTCTTATTAATGTTGCATCGTCTATAGTTATTATGCATCCATTTGTTCTTATTAATAGTTTTTTCTTTGAAGTTTGATTTCAAATTATTATAAGGATACAAACAAAGGTATTATGCAAGTTACAAGGATTCCGCGAAGATTGCCACGAAACTGCCACCGTACAAAGATAGAAGATGAAAATTTACCTGTTATAAAGCATGTAAATTTATAAGAGAGAAAATCATTACTAGTACTTCCTACACACACTCAGATGTTAATTAAAGCAGACAATGTTTATGAACAATTGATTACAATATTCGCTCAAAAATTAGTCAACCAATTATTGCTTGAGTATAGATCAAAAAAATCCAATGAAATATATGAAAGATGCTTACATGTTAAAAAAAAAAATACAATATAGAAAGAAATTAATATATTTTATTTCGTGATGTTGCTACAACCTAAAATTTAAAAAATTTCATGCAAAACTATATAAACTTTGTTATCATCTGTCGCCCAATTTAACGAATATTTCACATGAAATATTGTGCATTTAGTCCAATGATTTATCTGTCAAGGGTAGAACCTACTATCGGTTCCTACTATATTGGAATCATTAAAGATATAAAATAAAACTAAACAGTGATTATTGCTTACAATGATTTTCGCAGAAAATTTCAATAATTTACATACATATTTTCAAAGAAATTAATCAATTATTAGAGTTGTAAGTGGTCAAAGAAAAATAATGCATGTCTAAATTATTATGTTTCGTGAACAGGTAAACACTTTTTATAAAAGAACAAATTATCTTTTATTAAGATAATTCTTCTTCGTGGTATTATTAACACAAATTTTATGGTCAAATAATACACGATACTCACAAAAGTTCATTTTAACTTAATAATATATGAAACAAGAACAAATGTGTTATAGGTAAAAGGGCCAAAACAAAATATCTGTAAGCTGTGTGACGTTTTATATGAAAACAAATATTCAAAATAAAATTAATTTATGTATTGTTAATATTGAATGAAGAAATAATGTGTTATTCATTTGAAAATTGACTATGTTTTCATTATTATTAATTGTCAGAAATTAATTACGAGCTCAGATAAAAACTATGACCCTTCAGATATGGAACTCAAATAAATGTTAGTTGTGTATATTTTTATTTACCCGTTCAACGAAACAAAATGAAGATTAGAAAAATCATAATATATTAATGTTCATCACTCTCACGCTATCGTTTAGAGTTGTAACGTTTAAAAATTTTTTTCATTTATCATTTCTATGCACACCACGAAAAAATGTTACAGTAAAAAAATATTTAATCGAATTCGTAAACATTGAACATTTGTAATATAACTCCAACATGAGATAAAAATGAACATCCAATTGTAAATGACAAAGAAAATCTTAATAACTTCATGATGATTCAGTTGATTAATCCTGAGTTCTATTTTGTAAGTATCAATTTGTTGAATTTTCAATATCAGTCTGTAGTTTTTCCTTACAAATTTTTATCTTTCCTTCTTGATGTTCTCTCTTTTTTACATACCTTTTAATTATTTTTGTGGGAAGTGTTGAATAATAATTGTAGCTTTTTGAATTATTTTTTTTTTTAATTTTTAAATATTATTTTTGTTGTTGTTGTTGTTGTTGTTGTTGTTGTTGTTGTTTTAATGTTGTTGTTGTCTGCTGCTGCTGTTGGTGATGTTTCGTTGCCGCTGCTGTATCTGTGTAACGGGTATTGGTGTTTTTTATTCTGAAAGGAGTGTTGAATGGTGGTAGCATCGGTTTTTCTAAGCAGTGCTCTCAGTAGTTGTATTTTGCACAGATTGGCTTTCCTAAAATGGATACAAAATTTCATTTAATTAATTAATAGAATTAACAAAAAAACTTCTACATTATTTATCTTATAAATACTTTTACGTACTCTCGAATAAAGTATATTTTATATACATTGTTTTATTTTATAAATATTTAATTATGAAATCGAGTATAAATTACATGATAATTTTTTTATTTTCAACAATATCTCTTCGAAATGAATTAAATTTTCAATTTATTGTAGTAATAATAAAAAAAAACCTATCTCATAGAAAATTTTGTTAACCATTTAATGATTAATCAATTATATGACGATTTTTATGTTTTATGAGTTTAAACAGCTTTTAATCGACACTTATCTCTTTGTAAAATTGATGTTATTTTTATTAATTACAAAAAAGTGAAATTAAATAAAAGCTAACCATTAAAACAACCAAAGCTCAAAAGTGCTGTCCAATTAAGCTGAGGATACGCTCTGATGCTGTAAAAGAAGTGTTGGTTAGTAAGATCACTACAACTCTCAACTTAATGCAATATACAATTAATAAACTATATTATCGGTAATAAAACGTTTTTATAAATTTGAACAATAACAAGCAATTGAGTAATTAAAGAAAGGAGTAAATAAAAGTTAAAAGAAAGAAAAGCAAGAAAGAAATACAAGGAAAATATGAATGAAAGCACAGGGCAAGCAGACCAATAGATAAACGCAAACCAAGAGATAGATGAACTGCTAAAATTAGAGAAAGTTTAAAATTGAAGTGATGCAAATGATATTTTAGCTCTTGAAAGAAAAACCTCTGAATAAAGAACGGAGTTTTGGTGTAAACTCATTTGAATTGTAAAAATATTTATTTATGGTATACCGGTTGAATTTAATAGTCTATTCATTGATCTATTTACCCCAAAGAATTTACCTGTGTAACAACAACTAAAGCAGATGATGTTTCTTGTTTTGTACATAAATCCATTTCATGCATCTTCGTTGACATGTATGACTTCTGGTATGGCTACAAGTAGTACAGAGAACGTGCGTAGTATGATCTAAATATTTTACTTTTCGAAGATAAATTTTTGGCAAATTTACAAATCTATGCTAATATTAATATGAAAGAATATTATAAAATTTTTATAACACTTAAGTTGACTAAGCCAAAATTTCATGATGAAAAATAAATACGATTCTTCACTGAATCTATTTTGAAATTCGATTCTTTTTTAGATAAATAAAAATAATTTTCAATAGTATCTATTATATTATTCACTAGTGTAATAGAACCGATTTTAGAACAGTCCGTTTTCAATCAATAATATATTAGAGAAATTTTGTGATGTCTATTTAACGGCAAAAAGGAATGATTCTAAAATTTTTATGAAATGATAAAAGTCCAGTTACAAGGTTTATTATTTCTTTTGTTTTGATATGATAATAAATAAAACAATTGAGGTGGTAGAAATGTTAATTTTCTGCGACGAAAATAAAGTTTTTGATTTTCCTCTCTAGCACTTACCTGATTATATAGATCACCGTAAGAATAGTAAATAGTAAATAGCATAAAGATGAAATAAAAGATAGAACAGAAATCGAGGCCAAGGATAAAGAAATGACTAAAGCATAACAAAGCATGAAAACTTAGAGCATTCTTAAGCACGCGAGAAAATTGACTTACCTTATCTTGGCTTCTTGGTCGTCGAGATGCACCACCGCCTCTTCCTCCGCGGAAGTTTCGACGGTAAAAGCGACGGGATGGTCCACCACGTCCACGACCAGAACGTTGATTACCACCTCCTTCGCCATCAGCCTCATCACCTTTATCATAACGAGCTGCTCCACCACCTTCACCTCCATTTTCGCCATGTTGTTGTGACTGTGGGCCAGACCGACGACCTCCACGGTAATAACTTCCGTCATAATTACGTCGAGGTCTGTAACGTCTTTGACCACCGCCGCCACCTTCATTGGTATTGTTATCGTCTCCTTGTTTTCCTTCTCCTGAGAATAAATAAAATAAATTAATAAATTAATTGATTAGGTCATGCAGTCTATTAGAATTTTTTTATTGTTTTATGTGATTGACTAATAATTTTAGAGTTGATATTATGGATGGAACTTTATAAAAATTATTATATAAAACTTTTAATTTTAATTAATTAATTTTATTTTAAATTAACTGAATTGTTTCGTTTTACCTTCTCGCGATCTACGCTGAGGTCTAGAGACTCCACGTTGTCGTTGATACCATGTACGGTAACCACGACGTTTATCAGCGGCATAAGGTGAGCCCTTAACAGGTTCGCCGTCAGGCCCAGTCACATTTGCTGCCTCGTGTCCTTTTTCACCTACAACTACGTCAAATTCAACCACTTCTCCATCTCCTACACTTCGTACAGCCTTCTTTGGATTGTTCTTAACAATAGCCGACTGTAAATAATGATATAAAAAATTATGAAACTCATTCATTATCAATAATAACATATATAAATGATAAAACATGTATAAGTATGAAAATATTTATTTTACTTTAATTGTAGTATTTTTAAAAAAAACCAACGTTTGATAAAATGTATTTGCATAATTGAATAACATGGAATAAAATTTATTTGAATTAATATTTAACTTTATAATAAAAAATTTTAATTTAGCTAATACGATTTCGACATCACTTATCTATGTATATTTTTTTATTTAAAAAAAGAAAAAGAATATTTGTATTCGTTTACTTACTTGATGAACAAACACGTCTTCCTTGATGTCATTTCTGAAATTGATAATAGTTATAAAAATGAGTAATGTTGAGTGAATTACTTATTATTAGTAAAATAGATTAATCAAATATATGATTATGTAATAAAAATATAATCAAGTTATTATATGAACAGAATATACAACCCTGATGGTAAATTTTTTGTAGATAGGTAAGGACGAAAATGATGAGATATATATATTTTGTCTACAGCAAAACTGCAGAGTAAAGCATAGAGTCGAAAGGTCGTTGAACTTCGTCACGTCCTCGGACTGGAGGAAAACATTCGAAATACCAGCTGCTAGATTGTACTCATGTCAACGAATATCTACCCTACAAACTCTCCCTTTTTCCCGTTAAACATCCCCATCACGTTCTAATTTGTGGCTTCATTGTCTGGTTAACTTTTTATTCCTGATTCTTCAAATTTTTTTTTACCTATTTTTTTCTTATTAGAATTTTCTGTGATTTTATTAACATTGACAATAGATTGCATATTAAATTTTTAATTTATCATTAGCAATGGTGATCATCAATTGCACTTAATTTGATTATTCAATACAAGAAAATTCAGCAGAAATACTGAATAAGTGTATCTATTACAATGTGGTTTTTTGAATAATAATTGCTAGCATTTGAAATTATTATACATGCAATGGCTTCACAGCTTAAACTGTGAACTTTATTAACAACATAATAAGGTTTCACAAATCTCATCTAATTTGTATTATTCAAAAGAAATACTTAGCAAATACTTTTTTTTTAAATTATTGTTAAAATGTTTATAAAATATTGGTTATTTTATTAACAATGATACTAAGATTATAATTATAAATAATAAAATAATTTAAATTCAAAAATATAAATAAATGGTAATCAATATTATTTTTGTCAAATTAGTCCATCTTATAAAAGTAATAAATTTGAAAAAAACTTTATGATAAAAATATAAATACAATTAAATAATTGAAAATACTAAATACTCATGGAATGAAAGTAAGAAGTTAAATATTAAAAAGTGATAAAGTTCGTTTATCTTCTGCGGAAATGTGATTAATTAGCAGTCTCTAGTGATCAACTATAACGGTACAATGATTGGCCAATTCATATTACGTGACAAAGAATATCCTTTCTAAATACTACAAAGTAATAATGGCTATAGACAAATTGATTTTCTAAAAACAAAAAATGTCTGATGGTATGAAAAAACATGTGAATGTTCAAAAGCAAAAAAAAAATTATCTAAGAAGGATAAAAAGCTTTGTGATAACTAACCTGTTGATAAACCCGTAGCCACTCTTTACGTTGAACCACTTCACAGTCCCGGTCACTTTGTTAGCTGAAATTGAGAAAGAGAAAAAAATTTTATTAGTTGTTTTTGTGATGGTTTTCACCTATTATTAGCTTTCACAAAATCTTCAAGTTTGTGATTACAAATATTTTCTGAGGTTATATTATGATTCTTGGTTCAAGATAGAATTCATTGACATTACTTGAACAATAACAAAAATAATTAGGGCTATTGGATTATTAAGTAATTAACTCTATTTACAGCTGAATATTGTCACTATAGTAATATTTAACTATCTCAACTAAGAGTTAGATTACAAAATGTAAATTATTAATAATTTGTTGAATTATTCATCATCGTTATTAAGTTTAGTTGGCACGTTTTCAAACGTATGATAAAAATTGATTTCAGCATGATTTCACCATTTTATTTTTTTTTTTTGAACAGATGAATACAGATATATTTTATCTATAAATTTAGATGATGCATCATAATATGAAAATTATAAAGCAGTTATTAATCGAAGTTAGTGACAATTCTTAAATAGTTTATAAAAATATAAAAACTTTTTCTCTAAAAAATGTGTGTATTTTTTTTTATTATTTATAATAAATAACTAAAACCAAATATAAAAAGAAAAAGTGGAATCATGTTGAAAATTATTCATCAATAGCTGAACGCTCAATCAAATAGAGAACGGCCGGCATTTTATTTTAGCCGAAGTACGCCTAGTATCTTCCGGTTAAAAATTTGGCTTCGAAGTTGTTCAAACTAGACAAAATTTCATTTGTTACCATGACACAATTAATTTTTACAAATGTCAATAAATAATGTTTCTGATATACATAAGACAAATTTGGAATAATAGTACAATTGTAAAAGCCAATGAACTAGAAAAGAACAAAGAATCTAAACATTTAACTTAGTTTTTACCAAAGAGCCCGCCGATTACTCCAAAATTAATTAAAGTTCAAATTCATTTACAGTCATGATAATTTTTTTTTCAATTGTTTTCCAGCAAAATAATCAATTAACTAGTCTAGTAAATAAATTAACACACGATAAAATAAGAAACTAGTGTTGAGAGCACGCCGGCCACATGGTCGAAAATGTAATAAGCGCCATGATGATCAAATGGAGGAAAATCCAAACGCAATAGGAAGCATTGCTCAGAGTTGACAAAATAAAAAAAATTAGAAAATAATTTGAATAGTAATAAAATTGAGCTTACCAATGACCATTTTTTGCTGGTTAACCTTGGGTTGTTCGGGCTGTTTTTCCGGGTCAGCCATGGTGGTGGTGTTAGGTGTTATACACGCCGCTACCGAACCTAGATGTTCCCGTCCTTCTAGTTGTACTGTTGGTTCCCTTCTAATTTTCCCAACATGGCTGCAGCACCAGGCGACCGAACAAACATTCCCCCTCTAAGACGATTTACGCTATTGGTTCTCTTTGTCTGCAATCACCTTTCTTAGCCAATCAAATATCCACTTTCATCATAATGTAAGTCATTGCGTCACAGAATAGGCTGCCTGCAAGCAGTTTATATTTTTCAGAAGCCACCGGCTCCAAAAAAGTAGCGCTAATGTATCTTAGCGCCAAAATTTGAAATTTTGTGATGCAATAATTTATGGAGTCATTTTTAATAGTATCAATTTATTATGATTCATCATGAGTAATTTATAATAGACTAAACGTGAAATAAGTAAATATAATTTTTTTTAAACTAAATATTTATTCCAATTGATAGATTTTTTAAACCAAAAAGTTTACTTAACAATTACAATCGCTTCATTAATTATAAAAATGTGTGCTTTGAATAAAATTTATTAATTAAAAACTCATATAATAATTGATAACAATTAAGAATTTTTAAACAGTCCAATGGTTTTTAGAAAAATTATTTTAAATTCAGTTATTATTTAAATAAAACGAAACAGTAAAAAGCTGTCTTTTAATTTGATATAAATAAAGTTACAAGACTATTTTTATTTTTAAATTATCATTATTAGATGATAAATTTAAAGTTATGCATAAATTTTTTGCGATTAAACATAAATTCATTGATAGTTAACTTCAATAATATCATTGTAATTCAGACCATTTTAAGAAAAATTTCAATGAATTTTTTCATTAAAGACAAAAACTTTTGCATCCTTTATTTGCAAAGTAACTAAAAACGTTATAGAAACAGTTTTAAATTATAAACAATTACTTTTTACGTACATCGTTTACAAATTATTTTGTAACAATTATCGAAAAACTTTATAGATACGAAATAATAAATTATCGGAAATAGTTTAGTATTTGAAATATCATTACGATTAAAAATTTATAATTAATTCATTTATTTTTAACAAAATTTGATATGATTTTTATAATCATCATAATTTATACTTGATTAATTATTAAAACCTGTGCATTAACAAAGTTCATCATTCTGTCTAAACATTCTGTTAACTATTTTTTCAATTTTAACTATTACATTGAATCATCCGAAAAACGCTCATCAAAGTAATAAGACTTTATTATCTTTTGACTTTTTACAGTTGAAATGTTTGTGTTACAGAGAAATCTTTCGATCCATCTAATTATTATTTTTTACCTAGCAAAAGTTTTATTAATTTAGTAGAAGGATAATTGAATTTTGGTTGTTAATCTTGAAAACTATCTTTTATTTCAATAGTGTTTATTAGTAATTCTAAGATTATTACTCATAGAATTAAAAATAATTAGATATTTTCTCCGAAATATTTACCTAATATTTAATATTTTTAAATGATGTAAAATCAAAATTTAACTAACATTTGCAGTTGAAAAACATTTAAATATAAAATCAATTCGAATAATTTAACTACATTTCATTAACATCTATATTTTGTTACACTAACATGTTTTTTTAATGAAAAAAACCTCTAGAATTCGTTCTAATATGAAAAATCTAAATATGTCATTCATTTTGTAGTTGAATTTAGTCGAATTGATTGATATTACTTCGATTGAAAAAACATTGATTCAATCTTTTAATACATTCTGTCTTAACTCTATTTTTTGATAAGAAAGCTTAGCAAGCATTTCTGATTGTGATAAAAAAAACCAAAAAAAAAAAAAAATAAAAGTATTCATTTAAATATATTACATATTAAATATTAGTTTCTGTTTATCATTTAAACTAACTAACTAACTGTTGTTTTAATTGTTATTATTATATTTAATTACTAATCTTTTGAAATCGACTCAAGTTGATGTGATCATTTAATACATGATATATATTTGTAATAATATTATCTTTTAGATAAATTCGTTTCAAAATAAGTTGCTTTTTTAAAAGCACACTCTATATCGCACTTCTTATTCAGAATTATTACGATCGCACTTTACATCATTAATTAAACTATTCTCACTATATTCATATCTATGTATAAAATTAATCATGATCAACTTAAGTACTTCCTTTTTTTGTAATTTTTTTTCTTCTCTATAACATATCTAAAGTACATTTAAATGTTTTACTGAGCATTAATTATTAATATGTTAAGCATTAGATTTCAATCACCAAGATCACATCGCACCAGACGACAATTTTTCCAAATATTGATGATACTTCGTAATTGAAACATATTGTAGACCCACTTTATTCATAGTATAAACTCATAAGATATTAATTTAAATAAAGTAATGAAGATTACATTCTCCATCATCTTTGATGCCTTCGTGAACGTTGTGCTCTTGATTTAGGAGCTGTAGAGCCTGATCCAATGCTAAACATACTTCCTTGGCTGGATGTATTGAAAGATCCAGATAGCTGAGATCCACCAGAGAAATTAAAACCTCCTATAACATAAACAAACTTTATTGTATCTCAAAAAAATCATTATACTTCTTAGAATGAGATTTAAAAATATATTTTGATTTAAAATTAAACACAAAAAAACCATCATTTTTTTTACTTCAAAGAAAACAAAAGAATAAAATAAATTATATTTGTATATTTACCGGTTTGAGAAGATGAAGCTCCGAATTGAAACGGTGCTGCCCCACTTCCACCACTAGTACTTGACCCAGAAGCTCCAAAGTTAAATACAGAACTTTGCTGTGGCTGAGATTGATTTGCTGTATTTCCAAATGCAAATGTACTGCCTGTGTTATTACTAGTCGAAGCACCAAATGTGGGAATAGTTGTGGATGATCCAAATGCTGGCGTACTTGAAGAAGTAGAGCCAAAAGGTGTAGTTGTATTTGTTGAATTCGATCCAAATCCGCTAAATCCCGAGCTACTACTTCCAAACATCGGTGGAGCTGTATTTGATCCACCAAACCCACTAGATGTTGATGTTCCAAAAGTAGGCGCTGATGTTGTACTAGAAGCAAACGCTGGTGGAGCCGTTGATGGAGTTCCAAATGATGGCGTTGTTGTATTGAATGTTGAAGTCGTAGAATTTGTATTTTGAGGTGTCCCAAATAATGGAGTAGCTGTATTAGAACTGAATGCTGTTCCAAAACTCGGTGTTGTAGTAGTTGGAGAAGTAAATGTTGTAGTATTATTTGTAGATCCAAAACTCGCTACAGTAGTACTTATAGCTTCAAAACTTGGTAATGGTGTTACATTAGAAGTTCCAAAGCTTGGTACTATTACATTCGATGAAGTTCCAAATGCTGGAGTTGATTTAGTTGTTGGAGTGATTGTACTAAAACTAGATGACGGTGTTGGTTGAGTTCCAAATGCAGTAGAACTCGTCCCAAACGTAGAAGTAGCGGTGGTTCCAAAACTAGAAGTAGTTTGAGTATTGAATGCAGGAGGTTTTGTTTGACCAAAAATATTACTTCCTCCACTAAAAATCGGAGTAGATGTAGTAACGGCTGTATTTATACCGTTGAAAATATTTGATGATGTAGTGGCAGAATTTGTGCCAAAAGATGAAGATTCTGTGGTTTTCGGTGTACCAAATTGTATGGCGCTTGGATTTGTACTCGGGGAATTTGACGCTGTTGAAAATATAGACGGTTGAGACATAGATCCGAAAATTGAGGCAGTAGTAGTACCAAGTGTTGATGTGAGATTTGCTCCCGATGATAGTGTTGTAGCGAAGGACATAGTTGATTGAAGAGGTTGAGAAGTTGTTACAGGCGTAGATCCAAACCATGTAGAAGATGGTTGACTCGAAGCTCCAAAAGTTAAAGGAGTACTTGATGATGCATTTGAAGCGCCGAATGAAAATACAGGTTTAGAAGTTGATGTAGACGCAGATGTAGTTGATGATGCACTGCTAGTTGTAGATACAGTTGTAGATATTGATGAAGATGATGTTGTTAATCCAAAAAGTGGTGAAGTTGTATTTAAACTTGAGTTAAAGGAAAAACTTGGTGCACCACTTGGTGGTGGTGGCTTTGCTTCAACTGTTTGTGCTGTATTTTGAGTCAAACTCGTGTTCTTTTCTGACGAAAGAGCTTTTGAAGGTCCAAAAGAAAATGCCGCTTGAGGGGCAGGTGGTTTTGCAGGCTGAGTAGAAACTGAAATACTACTAGTACCAAAAGAAAATGTAGATGCTGAAGAAACAGCACTTGCAGAAGTAGTAGAGTTACTAAACCCTCCACTAAATAATCCTGATTTATTAGTTGGTGTTGAAAGATTATTTGTAGATGCTGCTTGAGTAGTAGAAGCTAAAGAAGAACTAAATTGGAATTGAGGCTTCGATGTTGAAGAAGTTGTAGACAGTAAATTTGGTGTACTAACAATTGCAGGACTACTAGTTTTTGATTCGAATGTAAATTTTCCTGAAGATTGTGGAGCAACAATTGATTTTTGACTCGTGGATCCAAAACTTCCAAATGAACTAGACTCCGATTTTGCAGGTTGTGATACGTTGATTGTAAAACTGTTTGTTTTTGGAATATTAGTTGATTCTGACGTCGTTGCTAATTGAATAGTTGGAGTATTAGACGGCGTTGAAATGGTTGATGGTATAGTTGAAGCATGATTTACTGGCTTAGTTGATATAGTTGAACTTAAAGGACTATTTGTTGTAGTACTAGCAAAACTAAAAGCAGGTGGTGATATTTTATTATTGGCAGGAGTGAAAAATGACATCAAATTAGAATTATTTGCTACAATTTCAGGTTTCTTTGTTCCTTCAGCTTTTTGCATTTGTACCTCTGTGGGCAAAGTAGGTGTATTTATATTAGCATCAGTAGTAGAAACATTACTCATGGAATTAATAATTGGATTTGATGGTGTTGACAGCTGAAATGTTACATGCTTTACAGGTGTTGAACTGTCTTTAGTTTTACCAATTATTGGAGTAACAGCTGATGTAGAAATTGGAGAAGTATTGATAGTAGTTGTTGAAGTGCACGAATTTATAGTTGTAGTGTTAGGTGGTGGAGATATCGATTCATTTAATAATGAAGAACGTGGAGTTACTGATTCTGCTTGAATTACTACATTAGGATCAATTTGACTTGAAGATTTACCAGATATCGCATCAAACATACTTCTTAATCGCGCTTTCATACTTGTTTGTCTCATATTGACGACATCTGATTTTTTAATTTCTTCTCCATCATCTCCGGAAAATTTACGAGTTACATTTCCATGTTCTTCTATAAGACTCTTAAGCTTATCAATATTCGGAGGTTCTGCTTTCATAAATAATCTATCAGTATATTTAATAGGAGAATTTTCCACAATTACTCGATTTTTGTCACCATAAAGATTGAGATCTTTAGGTGATAATGATTTTAATGATTCTTTTGGCGAAATACTTTTTTCTTCTTTTTTCGAATTATTACTAAAATCGCCTTCTGAATGATTTTTACACATTTCTTTAGTTATTCTGACAAAGTCTCCAGAATTTCGAGGCAATATTGGAGAACTTTTACTCCGGTTGTTATCTACAGCTTTAAAATGTTTGCCTAATTCAGGTGTACCACTTCTTGAAATATCAGCTTTTCTCTTTACACCAGAAGACAATGTACTAGGACTGCAGCTTAATGAACTGAGAACATCGTAACAAGGTGTTTTCGTTCTTTTATATGGTCTAGATGTATTTTCTACTGAAATTTCTTCATCTGATCTTGAAGAATCATCTCTAGTTCGCTTTTGAGTTCCTTCATCATAATTTTCATATTCGTCGGAATAAATTCCATCAGTTTTCTGTTTTTTAATTAACTCTAAAGACATATCATCTCTAGAAGCATGTCTTTTCAAGGATATTTCTTTTAATACTTGAACTACACTTGGAGATTGAGTACTCCCAGATCGACATATACTGGACAAAATTTTTTGTTTTTCCGGTGGAGAATATTTAATTGTTTCTGGCGGTGCAATTCTAACAGTGACTGGAGTTCTTGTTCTTCCAACTTTCGCGTTGATTAACGGAGTTGGACTACAATTCAAGTTAACTTTCGGAAACTGACCAATACTGTATTGAGACTGATGAGTTAATTTATTAGTTGCTTCACTGGCATATTTTGTCAATCGTGACGTTAATCCTGGAGAAGTTACGTCACTATATACTCTGTAACCAAAATACAAAATTAATCAGATAAGAATATGAATGTATTGAATTTGAATAAATTTACAAAAAATTATTTAACAATACTTAAAAAATAATTTATTTAAAGAGTTTAAATAAATTAATTCTATATATATATAGATATGTTCACAAATTAATTCTATATATGTACATATACAAGAGCTTTTAAATAAATAGAATCATTTTCTGGTTATTAATATGCACATCTGCGATAAAAAAAATACACTTTCATACTTACTTTGGATCAATGTTAAATCTCGTTGATGATAAAAGAGGTCCAGCAACGGTCTGGACTATATTAACCTCTTGATTGTTTGATTTCATTTTAGGGCTAATACTAGTCCCCCAAGGAGATCCTTCAGGACTATACATTGTACTTTCTCCTCTCAAAAAAGGATCGTCACTGAGATATGAAGATGATCTTTTCTTCCATGATAACCGTGTTGAATTGACATCTCCATAAACATCTTCATTACGTGATTTTTGATTACTCAATCGAACTTCATCGAGTGATCGAGTATTATTTAAAATTCGAGAATTTTTTTTAGGTGATAAACTATTATTTTCTGATTTTGAATCATTTAAACGTTTAACTTTTGAAATTGGACTGGATCCACCAATAAAACCCAATTGCGAAGGACGATTGGAGTTCATTAACGACTCACTGCTGAGTTGATAAGTATTTCTTCGATGATTCATTCTTGATACTATTCGCTCTTGATAAAATGTCTTAACAAATTCTAACGAATGATGAAAACTTACTGATGCTTGATAATAAATATACTTGGCCAAATTGTGAATGTTTTCACCGGCTCTGTTGAAAGTTTGAAATGTGAATGTAAGCGTGGATAAATCGTCGTTGATCAGCAAGGAAATACATGCGTATATCACAACAAGACAAAGTATTGTGACCCCGATTAATGACTCCCAAATATTATAAAGGATAATACACCCACTTAATACACTCACTAATACAATAATAACCCGATTTCCTTGTCCCCACATATTATTTCATAAAAATAACCTCCCCATGTTTGAAAACAGCACACTCACCAAAGCACCGGAATCTCGGCATTCTCTCAAGCTTCAACTGAATCACTGCTACCAACTACTGAAGTTGATGAACACGGGCAGACATATTGAAAAAATTGAATATCAGTCATATTGTTATCCGGTAAATTAGCTAGTCAAGTAATTGCGAATCAACTAAAGTCACAGCTTGCAGATTCTACTGAAAGTAAAAAATAATAAAAATAAGAATAGAAGATTACAAAAATTTTTGTTAGATCTCGCTTGCAAAACAGCCCAAAATCCACAGTGCGTGTTACAACATAATCAGCCGATTGGTTAATCGACCATGGTCCCGCTCTTAATCTTCTCCTAGATAAAGATAGATGGCATTCATGTTCATATCCAAAACTTTTTTTCTGCTATATCGGTTGTCATCATGATATTATCAGATAGTAAATATGACAAATCTGATTATTTAAAAAAAATGCGCAGAAAAACACGAAGATTGTTGATTTCAAAATTTTTATTACTAAATTTAGCTTATTTAAATATAAAACCAAATTTTGAAATGTAGAAATAATGAAAAAAAAATTTGTTTAATAAAATGAATGAGACAAAATGGGTATTATATTGGCATATCAATTGATCGTAATCCACAATAACAGAAACTTGTAAAAAATGTAAACAAAGGGTCTACTTGCTTTTTCTTTTAAGTCAACGATAATTGACGGTAAAATCTGTATTTATATATCAATTGTGAAGTGGTATTTTAAATTATTCACTGTTATAACCATAACCTTACGAATACTATACGTTTTCGCAGTATTAGTGCAATGACATCGAGTGAATTTGATTAAAATTAGCTATATTATATAAATATAAAATTGCAACATTGTTTGATAGCTAATACTCAAAAAATGTCAAAATTAGACAGTAATTATATTCAGCTTCGTGAGGCAATTAAACGAAAAGATAGACAAACAGTTGTGAACTTAATATCACAAAATGTTAAAGTTAACTGTCCGAGAACAAGGTCTCATTCTCCTCTTCATTGGGCGATTATTCAGTTTGACGACTTGGATATTATAACCATGCTACTTAACCCTTCGTTGGTCGCGCTATGAGGGAATCGCCGCACTTTTTATAAGTAATTGTATAATTATCATGCAACTAAATGTCATCAATACAAATGCACCGAGGTATTCCTAAATTACACTTTTTAGAATCGAGTGTTGCCAAATGTTGAATCCGGTAGGAGGCGCTCCAATCATGTATGATAGCAGAGAGAAGTCTTCTCTCTGATGATAGTTTGAATAAACTAATTTAAAATAAGCGCCAAAATGTTGCTTATATTGTGACACCGTCGCATTAATTTTAACATTGCGGCGCGACCAAACTAGGAAGAAATTTTGACGCGACCAACGAAGGGTTAAAATGAAATTTCACTGTGTTCACCGAAATTGCAAACGGCTTGTTTTCGTAACCATATATCGCCCAGCCAGTGGTACTTTTACCGAAATTCACCTTTTGGTGACATTTCTGATAATTTAGAAGGATTAACATGTTTACATATCGCAATTTATAATAATGATTCAATGATGGTGAAAATTTTATTGAAATATGGAATACAAATAGCTAATGATCCAAAATTCTTCAAAATTACTGTTCTTGCTATACAAAAAAATAATGAAGAAATAGTCAAAATATTTCTGGACCACGGTGTTAATGTGCTTGACATTGATTCTGAGGGAAAAACTCTTCTACATCATTGCGTTTAAACGCAGAATTCTTTTAGTTCTGATGAATCTAGATACAAAGTAGCTGAGATGACTTTGAACCGAGGAGCATCCATCTATGTCCAAATTCCAAACAGTTCACTTCTTTTCGATGCGATAGAAAATGATCATCAAAATATAGCTCAATTATTCTTACATAATCATGGCGATGTTAATTACATTAATTCCGATGGTAACACTCCACTCCATATGACCATGGCAAATAATTTTAAAATAGATTTTATAGAAACTTTGCTCCAAGAAGGCGCTGATCCAAATGCTACAAATAAACGAGGTAAAATACCTCTCCACATTATTTGTGAGCCCCATTACAATAAATGTAATTTTCGTTTAGTCTTATGTACAGATGTAACTAAAAAAATAGAATTGTTGCGTTGAAATAATGTACAAATTGATGCTATAGATGCAACAGGACGAACTCCACTTTTTCAGCTTGTGATTCTGGCAATCTTGAAGCAGTCAAATATCTAATAAATAATAATGCTAATGTTCATCATACTGATTTCGAAAAGCTGAAACTCTCTATATTACTGCAATGAGAAGTTATCAAAACTCAAGTTTTCAAATAATGGAAAAATTATTAAAACATACAGTCAATGTTCATTGTATGAACAGAGCCAAAAAGTGATTAATTCATGTAGCTGTTGAAAATTGTGACTTAGAACTTATCAAACGTCTTGCTCGCACGCAAATCAACTTCAATTCTATCAACATAGAGGGAAACGCACCTCTCCATCCTGCGGTTCAAAAGGAATTTCTAAATCTTACTACAGCTTTAATAAAACATGGCGCTAATGTTAATATTGTGGATAGAAGCAAAAAAACTGCCCTTGATATTGCTTTGGAAATCATAGATTTGATGCAAACCAAACACACTGAGCATCGTGAATATGTTGAACGTGGAAAAACCTACTCAGGTAATTCTGATGGGAGTGTTTACAATTCTGAGGATGACATGAGAGACATAAAAAACTGTAAAAAAATAATACAAGTTTTGAAAATACAAATAATAAAATTAAAGGCCGCAGGATTACACGTAAATAAACGAAATTATAATGAAGTTTATCATTCTCAGATTGATAGGAGCGATTATAGTCCATTTTCTGATCCACATGATTATTATTATATACAATATAACATCCTATAGAGATAAACTTCTTTCCGGTAAATCCTACGCTTATAAATGGTATGACAGTTTGATATCTTTAAAAAATTTTGAGGATAATTGGTCGATCAACAATAAAATACGAAGAACTTAGTTCTATTTTATTTAAAATTAAAATTTCAGAAAGAACCTTCTATTATTATAGACTATGCATAAAGAAACTTTCTACTAATTATTTCTATTCGAATTCCGACTCCCCGAGTAAAAATGATCAGTTTTTGGGCGCGCCTAAAGAAGACCCAATTCGAGCCCAAATGATTTTTCAGGCTCTCAACGCGCCCAATCCAAGCCCAAAAATATTTTAAAAATCTAGAAAAGAAAAAAAAATTCTCATAAAAACTTATCATCAAAGTAACTTTTGGTGCTATACATTTACATTTGTAATAATTTATTGTCATCATTGTCGAATATGATCTTAGAAAATGGGCTTGAATTGGGCGCGTTTTAGGCCTGCAAAATATATTTGAGCTCGGATTGGGCGTGTTGTGGGCCTAGAAAATATTTTTGGGCTTCAATTGGGCTCCTTCAAAATTTAGGCCTGTAATGGGCTTGTTTTGGACACTGAAAATTTCTCTAAGTCAAGATTGGGCTTCAATTGGGCCTGTATTGGGCTTATTCTTCATTTTGGGCTTCTTTTGGGCCTATTTATTTTTACTCGGGTCAAAAAACTTTTCAACTTAGTGTCTAAATAATTCTAAAAGTTATATTTAATAAAAAAAATCATCGAATGATAAATAAAAATGAATGAAGACATAATATTTTATGGTAAAATTTATTAAATAGATTATATAAAATGGCATATAGATTAAAATATACACATGAAGTATATTTTAAAATCTACTTCTTACTAAAATTATATTATTTACAAAGTTATATACAAATGTAAAAAAATATTGTTAAAATATTGATGCCAAAGAATATGAAATTATTAGATTAATTATTGTCTATAAATCGTATGTCTGAAATAAGTAAATATTGTCTGGCAATGGTTTTGTTGCAGGCTAAGTGCGATGATAATTTTTCATTGAACATCAACGTTGGTTCTAGAACAAAAAATAAAATGAAATTATTTATTGTGAATCAACATCTTGAATTATTAAAAAAAAAATTAACTTTTTTGAGTTAAATTCATTACTTTGATTTATTTAAGACAGAAATAGAAATCTACGTACAAATAATAAAATCCGACGAAATTACTTTGAATCACACTTTTTGCTGTGGCTTCGGTAGATGAGATGAATAGCAAATGATGAAGTACATGTGGTCGAATTCGAACAAGAACTAGTCTAGTTCAATTATCTTCAGTTTCTGCTTGCAAAGAGATCTTAAAAAGTTTTACTTGATGTCACTTCAATGTATAACTGTATGAATAGAGTTTTGAAGAAAAGATTTCATAGAAATATTCCCGCAGACAAGACGAAAAACTTTACTTTTGATCCGTTAATCACCATCAAAATATACACATGATAATAAAATGCTAATACCATCTGTTTATGTAGGATTTGCATTCGTTCTAGTTCTCTCCATTTCAACTAAGGCAGAGAAAAAACTTTTCTCTAATAACTAACTATGCATGATAAATTAAAAATTAATACAATTTATGCACGATTTTACTGAATGTTCATATCAGAATAGTCAATTTTCATCTTCTCAAAGCAATAGATTTGTAGTAATATTTTAATATCTATCTTTTTATCAGTGAGCTTTCTAGTCTAGTCGATATAGTTTGAAAAAGGGTGAAAATTAAAAATCCATTAAACATTAACCGATTTTTCTCATTAGGTTATTTTTAGTGACAGCAGATCGAGACATGATTCATATAATTTTCAGAGCTTCACATGGAAAAAAATGAATGTACATAAATAAAAAGTACCACTGTTTTTTTAAGAATTGATTATAGTCCATCAACAAATAAACTTTTTGAATTTTTTTTTTAATTAAAGGCCACATTTATACTAAATGTATAAAACAACTTAGTATTCACTAAGTGCCATTAGTTCCTAATATAAAAAAAAACTTATAATGATAAATTATGATAAAAATAGAAAGTGTAACTGAAATAGAGTTTGTTTTTCCTTATTATTTTTACTGTTTTTATTTTTCATTTACTTTTTTTTGTTATTTAAGTTGATCTAGTTTTTTTAAACTAATCCACCTTGTTTTGTGGTAGCTTTTATAATACTTAAATAGATAAATAAATGGTACCAATTCATTGATGTGGCAATAAATAATATGTATTTTCTTTCAATGAATTTTTGACCAAAAATTTTTACGCACAATGCTTATATTGAATTCTTAAAGAAAGTTGAAATCCTTTTCGATTTACATGTTAAAATATACATGGTTTTTCCACAGAAACAGTAGTGTTTAACAAGAAAAGTTTCAAATCATTAAAACATATCAGTGATTATTAAATGAAATTCAAATATACAGGCAGTGTATAAACTTCAATTACACTATAATTTGATCAATTCAATCAAATAATAGCACACATTACTACTAGACTAGCATAATTAATAACATTTTTTAGCTCATACATTTTTTTATGCTTTCCAAACTGTCTAAATAAAATAATACAACATATTTGAGATAATTAATAGCAATGTTAGTACATAATAAAGACTATCATAAAAATAAAATATAGAAATTTTTGAACATCAAGAATAATTGTTTCATCGTCGGTTGTTAATCTTAAATGTTCAATGTTTATTGTACATAAATAAAGTCAAAAAAATTCGAGAGATTTTTATATAACTAAATTATTATTACTTTCTTTCTAACATTCCAAATTAATTATTATATGATCGCTCTTAAACTTCATAGTTCATAAAATAGACTATTACACTGGATAGTTGCACCAGTAGTTGATTATTCAAATTCAGCATAATCAAAAAACTATTCTGTACATTTTTTACTTATTAATCAGTCAACTATTAGTGTATTCATCCAATGATCAAGTAAATTTCATTCACATTATATAAACCAAAATTTTTTATCATTCACATCTTAAAATAAACTCGAAAGCAACTAAGTTGTTTAATGATTTGATAGAGTCAAATCATCGATACGCAGAATTCTTAATGAAAAATATAATTTGAATTTGAATAATCTTAATGAACATTTTATTTTATAGTTTCATAATTTATCATGTAATAATATCTTAAACTTATATTTATATATTGTATTATGTAATTTTTGCGTTCTTTAATATATCTAATAAAATTTAAGTATTGCTATCACTAGAAATTTGGCTAAGATGTAATTAGAATTCTATATAAAAAGCATTCTTTGAAAAATGTTTAAAACTTTTTTTACATAATAAATGGTATGAAAAATTTCTACATATTTATCAATTATTTGGAAGCTTTATGATAATTTTTATAATATTATGATGATACAAACTAGAAATCTCAATATATTTTTGACAAAAAATTGCAAAGAAAACTTATAAAAATATTTACTATCTCATATACATATAAAATTAATAAAGTAGTGATAATCAAAGAATAATTTTTCATTATTTTGTAACTTTCATATTATACATATATAATTTTTTATCATATTGATGCAAAGGCTTCCAATCGATATTCAAATAAGTATTCTTTAACTTTTTTTTTTGCTAATTATCTTCCAATTTTACTCCATTATCGCTCATTAATTAATATAAACTATGAAGTTAGTGGTGACATACCGATTGTCCTAGGATCGGGTTGAACTGGTTGAGCAGACGGTCCTGTTTGTGGTCCAGTTTCTAAATTTTTCAAAAGCTGATTCAACCAATGCTTTGTTGATTTATCTTCTTGAAGACAAGTGGCAAATGTATTATCACGAAGTTGATCAGGTAAACATTGTCTTAGCGCCAAAAGTGCCCTGTAACAATTATTTTGATTATATTTTTTTTACATTTTTTATAAACAATAAAATTGCATAATACGTTATCGTTGGAAATACTAACTATTTTGAACTACTTATGAACAACAAAATTAATATTGATTATTATTTTCATAATTTATTACAATATAGTATTATGAATAATTAATAAATATAACCCATTATTACATGATACAAAATATAAAAATCTCAGTGAAACAATAATAAAAAAATTTCTAATATAATTGATGATTTAATTTTGTTTTTTTTTATTTTCTGAGTAACAATTAAATTTGTATGCTACTTTTCGGTGACTATCATCGCCGATTTCAACCAAAAACAAACTACAAAAAGTATTTTATTGTCATGATTTTTATAAAATGTCGTTGTACCAATTAAAAACTTTTTTTAATTTGTATGATTTTAAAGTTTTAACTGGATCGTAAACTCTAATTATTATTAGTTGAGTTTTAAAAACTTCATTAACCTGTCAACAGCTTATTAATATTTAATGCACAATCAATTATTTATTGACTATCTAACAACTAATCTTGAATGAAACCTTATAAATTATAAAATAATATAAATACCTTGGGTTATCGGAAAGTCTCAAGTAACATCTGACAACATGTTTAAGTAATCTTGCAGATGGATCTTTTGCCAGTGACAAAACCATTTTTCCTAATATCATCGCAACATGGCTAAATCTATCATATGTTTGACAGATATACGATAAACCACTATCATCAAGAAGAATTTTTTGTAAAATAAATGTAGCTACAGTTTTACTAAGTTCAGAACCACTTTCCATTATCCTCAAACACAAAGGTATTATTTCAGTTGTTAGCAAAAAAGTAATAACTTCTTGTTCATCTGTTTTAACAAGAGCACCAATTACTCCAAGACTCGTTAAACGTAGGTACTCAAAAGGACGTGTTTTGTTTACAGTATGCAAAAATGGATACAAAAATAAAGGTACATGTGCCTGAAATAATTAAAAAAATATAAATTTAATTGTTGAACATAATTGATTATAGCTTATGATAAAAATGACGTGATAATCAAAATTCTATATTCATAAAATATTATATAAATTTTAAATTTAATTGAACCCTAATGACCAATTGATTGAAGTTAAGGTTAAGTTGTGATTTAAAAACATATATTTAGAACCTGTAAAAATGCTGAACGAGTCTCTGGATGACTTGCAACACATTGGAGCAGAGCAAGAGCATTGCAAACCCTATTACTTTGATGAGCTGTAAGGGTAGCAGGATTAATCGCTGGATAAATATTAATTATTTCTTGAAGTAATGATGCAGCAGTGCCGAATGAATGCCACAACATTGGAGCTAAGTCTGGTACAACTTCTCTCTTTTTACTCAATTCTGACAAAGCATTTTGTCGGGTTTCAGGATTAGATAATTCAACGATCCATGTGTATACTTTTTCACGATCAACACTAGCTTGAAGTGCAGCTGGACTTTGTTGAGAGCTCATGTTTTACAGATTTTACGTTAATTTACTAATAATTGTTGAAAAATACCATAACCATTCCCATAAATCCTAATTTCATTCTTTTTATTACAACTAATCAAGTATTATAATGAACTATCAGTAAATATTTATGTACAAATAAAACCGAACTTGTGTTATAATCGTTTTGAAGCGTTCAAAGTCATAGATTTATTTTATTGCAAAACATCAACTCGTACGCGTAATACAGCCATACACCCTAGATGGAAGATTCCCGAAGCTTAAAAGTTTAATCGATAAGTTATTAATCGAGAGTTTACTACACTACAAAACCATACTATGATAAAAAGAAATTACAGTGCCATTTTAATCAAGAATTTACACTGTAGGCTGCGTAACAGTTGCAATGTTGCTGTTCAATATCGAATCGAAAAACTTGTGTCAAAACTAATTATCACATCCTAATTGCTACTTCAGTAATAAAGAAAATTAAATTTAATACAGAATATTTAATAAAATATCTCAATTTAACTGTTAAGTTATTAAATAATAGAGGTATGAATTCCGCGGCTAAGTTTCAAATTATATTGAGCTTAGGTTAGGTGCAATTAAAACGGAGCACAGTAGCGTCCTTTCAACTGTCAAGTAAGTTTATTTAATTAAATGATTTATTTAGTGCCGGATAAAATTAATCTTCAATAACAAATAATTATATTACAATAATGAAGAATAACTAAACATAATGTGACTTATTTTTTACAGCATTAAATACTACAGTAACACTCAGAGAACAATCTGGAATTAATACTCCAATTTCAAAATGAGTTATAATAAAAAAGTTTCGTATTTCTATAATCCAGATGTTGGAAACTTTCATTATGGACCAGGTCATCCTATGAAACCACATAGACTTTCAGTGATTCATAGTCTTGTTTTAAATTATGGCCTTCATAAAAAAATGCAAATTTACCGGCCGTATCGAGCATCTACTCATGACATGTGTCGCTTTCACTCAGATGAATATGTTGAATTTTTACAAAGAGTAACGCCACAAAATTTACAAGGATATACGAAATATCTCGCTCACTTCAATGTTGGCGATGATTGTCCAGTTTTTGAAGGCTTATTTGATTTTTGTTCTATGTATACTGGAGCTTCCTTAGAAGGTGCAACAAAACTTAATAATAATTGCTGTGATATTGCTATAAATTGGAGCGGTGGATTGCATCATGCCAAAAAATTTGAAGCCTCTGGATTTTGTTATATTAACGATATTGTTATAGCAATATTAGAACTTCTGAAATATCATGCTAGAGTTCTTTACATCGATATTGACGTACATCATGGAGATGGAGTTCAAGAAGCATTTTATTTGACTGATAGAGTAATGACTGTTTCTTTCCACAAATATGGTAATTATTTCTTTCCAGGCACTGGAGATATGTACGAAATCGGAGCTGAAAGTGGGCGGTATTATTCTGTAAATGTTCCTTTAAAAGAAGGCATTGATGATACATCTTACGTTCAAGTATTTAAACCTATTATATCTCATGTGATGGAATTTTTCCAACCAACTGCTATTGTACTCCAATGTGGTGCAGATTCACTAGCTAATGATCGTCTAGGTTGCTTCAGTTTAAGTACTAAAGGTCATGGTGAATGTGTTAAATTTGTAAGAGATTTGAATGTGCCTTTATTAACAGTTGGAGGCGGTGGATATACTTTAAGAAACGTAGCTAGATGCTGGACTTATGAAACATCACTACTTCTTGATGAACAAATAAGTAATGAGCTTCCTTACACAGAATATTTGGAATATTTTGCTCCAGATTTCACGTTGCATCCCGAAGTAGTAACCAGACAAGATAACGCTAATAGTAAACAGTACTTGGAAGCTATTACTCGTCATGTTTATGATAATTTAAAGATGATACAGCATTCACCAAGTGTTCAAATGCAAGATGTACCATGTGATGCTTTACCTCCAGAAGCAGATCGACAACCAGAGCCTGATCCTGATTCAAGACATAATCCACAAGATACAGATAAACAAATAGAGCCGGCCAACGAATACTATGCCGGTGATAAAGATCAGGATAAAATGGATGGATCTCAATCGTGATTTCAAAAAATTTTTTTAATATTTGTAAATAGTGATGACAATGTTCTAATGTATATACTTTGACTTATTACAATAATTGTAAAATAAATTATAAATTTTTATATATATATATAATAAAGTCATAAATCTTTAATCGTCATATCAATATACATTAGGTAAATTAATTACTTTACAACAGGTTGCTTGATTATAATGGGCTATAGAAGTTATTAATATAATATTATTACTACATTTACGATAATTAAATAACGATGGACGATGTCAATCAAAAAAATAACTGCAGCAAAAACAATAACACTGTAACATGTACTTTTTATGGTTTACTTTACACTATATCACAGAGTTCTCAATTATTATATTGGATTACCTTTTTTTCATCGTTTAATTATTTATTTAAGTTATGCGAACTGACCAAAATGTAATCCAATAATCAAATATTATCGAACTCAATTATTCTCTGCATAAAATACTAAATGTGACTAATGAAATAAATTAGATATCTTAAATTAATCAATTCAATTCCTTTACAACATTATAACTTTACAAAAAATTTGTCAAAAAATAATACATTAGAAAAATACTAATATATATACATATATCGAGTTACATAAATACTTGAACTTTGATTATTAAAAAAGTACAAGTTTTTTTTTATAATTCAACCATTCAAATAAATTGTTTAACATCATTTTGTTTTTTTTTTTACTTATTTTCATTTGCATAATTGCATGCTATATAGTTTTAATAAATTATCATCGCAATATCTGTAAATATTTATACAATACTCTGTTATTCAAAATTTTAACTCGTCGATCGATGTTGTTTATCAGTCTCATAGTTGAGTTTAATTTTTACTTTAATATTTTAATTAGATAATTAATGGTTGTTGCCTCTAATAAATTCTCAGTTGAATTCTATGATGACACTCTTACTAGTCTGCGAGTGAATTCGACTTCTAAGTAATTCATTTCATCAAAAATTTGATTGACTAGATGCCATCGTTCTCTACGTGTCAAGTAACATTTCTTCTTTCCACACCTAAGTCTCAAAATGCTTGTAAATACTTGTAACATACGTCATTACTTGCTGCCAATCTGGACGTTCTAGTTGGCACATGTCTCCGATATTCTAAAAGAAGAAATACACATTGATACTAAATAACTAGTGATATCTATTTCAAAATATTTATCAACATTAACTACTTTTAAAACCCGCTCTCAAATCTATGGAATTTAATTACATGTTAATTACTAACAATTTTTGTTAAAGCTAGGGAGCAATCCCATCTATTCTAGAAAAATTTTTAATTTTTAGATTTTTAATTTAATTGAAAGTTTATGCTTGTGTCAAGTATAATATTTTTTCAGCTTATTCATAAAGATTAAAATAAATAATAAAATATATAGTTATTTATTAGAAAAATTCTAGTGATTTTCAATCAAATTTTTAATTAATTTTTTAAAGTCACATGTAACATAGCATAATATTAAAATTTAAAAGAATAACCTGTAAGAAAATTTAATTTTTTTTTGTACAATTCATAAAGCTACTGACCATCCTTAGAATTAAAATTTTTTATCGATTGAACTATTTTAATTTACGATACTCTAAACATTCTTTTTACCATCATTTAATCAAAACCAAAAATTTTTCATTATTTCGAAATAACAATGGGCAAAATGAATAATTATAAGAGAAAATAAATAAAAAAATGTTCAACTCACCAAAGTCGTTGGAATACCAACACTTTCAGCTGCAGAAAATGCCAATGAGAAATTTCTTCTTTTCTCAGAAGGAGTCAAAGAATCATAAGGTATTTTATCAGGTAAATATGAGTGCAGAATAGCACAAAGTGCCAAACCATCATTCCAAGAACTACTAAAATTTGTAATATCAATATTTCGGTAGCCTTCTGTCTTATTTTGACACCACTTTAATAATGCATTCCGTTTAGAACCGCCATTCTTGACCAGTCCACAAAGAGGATCCTTGCCAGAAAGGTCAGTCACACTATTACGTCGTACAAAATCAATTGTTTTTACATTCAATGCTGCTGTGTCCAATAATTCTCCTGGACTCAAGCTGACTACTGGTACTGACACTTTTTGTGACTCTAGAATAAAGAAATACAGAATTTATTTAATTTTATTTGCTATTCACTAAATTACTTATATATATATATATATATATATATATATATATCGTTTAAAAAATAAATTTACCTGAAAGTGTTAACTTTTTATTGCTCACAGACTGAGTTTTATTGTTGTTAGCCGGATTTGCAGCGCAAATCAAATTGTTGAATTGTTGCTGATCTCTCAGTGGAGTCTTCAAAGACAGAATATCATTCGTTCCAATTGAATTTAAAGAAGAGGTTGAACTACTTCTACTACCAGGCCCTGTATAATTAATAATAATGTTTAAGAATTTTTTTTAATTATTCCAAAGATGTGAATAAAGAAATCTACAAACCAGCTTTCGCCTGTTTAGTTGCATTCTCAATACTTTCAATTAAACACTTAACCGATAGTCTGGAATCTTGACGAGAAATGTTGGCTTTCCGCCGAGCAGCTATTTCTTGTTGAACACTAGTTAACACACTTTGTTGCGTTTCTGTTGGTGTACTAGGTGGTCTTTGAGCTGAAGGTGATATATTTTTTTGATTAACTGAAAAAGTAATTGTTACGTCCTTTAATAAATATTTTGACTTGCCTTTAATTAAAACATATAGCATAGAAAGCAAAAAAAGTTTAAAACAAAAATAAAATTAAACACATTTAGAAATAATCTTACGAAACATGACATTAGAACCTCAAGCACAAAAATAATTTTTTAAATTAACATCAGAACTAAAAAAAAGTTTTTAGATAATTTTCCTCTCAAATAACAAAAACATGGAATAAATTCAATTAAATATAGATATCCTATCGCTCTAATAATCTATAAATATTTTCATAAGCTTGGTTCATAGTTCGTAATTCATTTTGAAGGTAAACATTATGAAAATCAATAGATTTTCAAAGTTGATACGATAAAAGCTTGTAATTTTAAATGAAATATAACAAATTGCAAAGCATATCTGTAAAAAAAACATTATACAATTACATAAGCAGACAATTTAATAATAAAAATGATTGATGATCCATGGGCGTACATGTTAGATCAAAATATAATAATGAATGACCGAACTATCTTGTCACATTGAAGATAGAAATAACATTAAAGATTATAATAGTTTCCCATTTGACCCCGCTTTCAAAGCATACAGGGAGTTTTATCTATTGGCGACGACTTACGGTCGCTTGCTCTTCCGGTTACTCGTCCTCGACCCGATTTAAGTTCCTTATCTTCCAAAATAGATTCAAATTTCTCTTTCAACGAAAGAGTTCTCCCTCGAAATGAAGACCTTGGACTAATTGGCTCCCAAGAATGTCTCATTTCTACTGGTTGTTTATTTATTTTTTGAACGTGAGTAGAAGATTTTACTGGTGAAATCTCCTCATTTTCTGTTTTTGTTTGTTCATCATTCTGAAAACGTACAAATTTTCTACATGCTGGCACAGGATATTTCATGACGTTTTTATCCGTATTAACATTTTCTTTATTATTATTATCTAGAATATTTTTGTGATTGGCTTCTTCCTTGAAGATATCATCTTCGAGAGTATCATCACCATTCGATGGTTTTGGTTGATAAATGTTTGGATCAATAATTATATGATGCTTAGAATTAGTTGAATGCGTGGTTGTATAATCATTATCTTTTGGAGATTTGTTAATCAATATTGATTTTAAAGTTTTATTTTCTGAATTTTCTGAATCATCGTCACTTTTTTTGTATCCAAGACTTTTTTTTTCAATCACATGACTCAATTTTGAAGAATCTCCTTCTGAATCTGCTTGTTGAACACTGTGATTATCATCGTTTTTATTTTTATTTATTTTTTTAGATTTCTGTTCTATACTTTCTCGTAATATCTTTGTCATTTCAGGATCAACGTTGAATCGTAAATCATCAAGAGATCGTCCGATGTTTGAAAAAAAATAATCTCTTGGTACAAAAAATTTACTGTTTGACACATTGATATGATAAGAATTATTATTATCTGATTCAATGCTTCTTATATCATTCAATTTTAAATTATTATTCTCTTTGGCATGTAATTCAACTAATTTAATAGAATTAATTCTTTTAGACGTATTTTCATCATCAATATTAGGACAAGATAAATACCGATACATTGGGATGTTTTTCATCTCTTCATCCATCACTTTTTGGTCATGTAAATCTTTAGATTCAAATTTCTTTTTCACACTAAGTTTTAAATCATTTGGTTTCTTTTTTAGAATTGTCCGTCCACGTGTGAGAATGACATTTTTTTTGTCTGTTTTTGATTGCGGTGAAGCAATCTTCTGACATTCACATCTCCTTGATTTTTCTTGTAGAATTTAATTTAATACAACGCCAAATAAAAAGAATAAATAAAAAAAACAAAATGAATAATAACTGTAGCGATAACAATAGTAAAAAAATATCGACAAAAAGAAATTGATTAGAATTTTTAAATTAATACCTTTATTGAGCTTTTCCAGTTGAGCTTCCAGTGATCGCAATCTATCTCGTTGTGTTTTGTTCTCCAAAACTACACGTTCGAGTTCAGATTGGGCTTCTGTTTTAAAGTCATTCGCTACCCGCACAGTCATTAATAAATCATTTTGAAATTGTTCCCATTCTGCACTTTCCTCTTGACGTAACTTTCTTTCTTCAGCAAGCGCTCGTTCTAGTTCGTACTGACGTAATTGAGCTTCTCTTTCTCTTCTTTGAGATTCACTCAATGCAGCTTTAAGTTCTCTTTTATCCTCTAAATGTCGCTGACATTGAGCTTGAAGTTCTGCTAGAGAATCACGAACCAGTTGAAGTTCCGCATTTACGGATATTTTTTCATCTTTGAGTTGACTCAGACGATACTCTAAATCGTCAATAGCTGATTTGGCATTGTTTCGGGTAACCTGTAATATATTTAAGAAATAAGTAATAAATTCAATTACACAAATATATTGCTAAAAATATTAATAAAGTTATTTGATTAATGATAAGAAAAATTATATCGAAATTAAAATTTGTTTTTTTGATTTCACGCTTGAGAGAATAATTAATTAGAATAATAGTGAACCTTGACTTAGATATAATTTTTAAAGACTTCATTAATTAATTTTTCTACACGAACTAGGTTAAATGTTCCATGTTTACTTAGTTTAACGACTTAACGACTTATTCATTAATCAAACACATCTTTTATATTTAAAGTAACAGTAGATAACTATAAAATATAAAAAAATACTTTATATTCCTCTTGTAATTGTGAATATTGATCTTTAAGCCGATCATGATCACAGTGTGAACGGGCTAATTGTTCTTGAAGAGCAGCTGCTTGCGTTTCAAGAGTATCTTTTTCTCTTCTAGCAGCATCAAGTAATTCATCAGCTTCACTTTTGGTTTCCAGCTGCCTTGACGATTCTAATTCTTCAATTTTAGCACGTGCATTTTCTAATAACGTTGCAAGTCTACTAATCTCAATATTTCTGTTTGCACTTTCTTGTCTGGCCTCTGCTAATTCAATGTCCAACTGCTTTCTCTCAACATTACTAGCATCAACAGCTGATTCCAGGAAATGAACACGTTTTGCTAACCGTTCTGATTCATTGGCACTTGTTTCAGCAGATGCACGTAAACATTTTAATTCTGTTGTTAATTCTTCTTGCTTTTGGAGCAACGATTCTCGTTCTTCTTGAGCACTCTGATCAAACATAAATATATTTACATTAATATTTCATGAAATATTTCAAATAATTATTATTAAAAATATTAGAAAAAATGGTATACAATCATATTCATCTTCAGTTCTAAAATATGTTTACTAGAAAATGGACACGTTAAGTTTCAAAACAGTATTACATAACATTTGTCATACTGCTTAAAACCTTTATCCCTACACTGCCACACCTGTTAATGCACTTTTATCTCACATTAAAAGGTCTCTTGAACCTTGACATCATTTTTTATAATAATATAATTACTTTGCTACTAGTAATTAATAACTTAATGAAGTTTCACGGTAGATAGTAGGTAATAAACTTAAGCGTTAAATTTAAGGTTATTTTCAAATGATGCAGAACGTTAAATTAAATATTCAAATTAGTTTAACGCTTACTAGATAATTATTGTGTCAATAGAGTGCTGAACAATAAACATATAATTTACCTTTAATAAATCTACAAGTTTTTGCTCTCTTTCGGTATTATATCCTTTGGACGAATCTTGAGGTTTTTCTTCTCTCAATAATAAACCTTGAAGAGTATCAACCTTAGATCTTGAGTCTTCTAATTTTTCAGTTTGTCTACAAAGTGATTCAAGAAGGACACCTTTTTCTTCTGTAAGTCTTTCATTATCAGTTTGGAGTTCAGTTAATTGAGCTTGTAAATCACTAAGTTCTTGTATAGTTGCTTGTAATTCTTCGTTAGTTGAATAGTGAGTTTCTTCCATTTGTAATATTCTATCTTGAAGGCAAGCAACAGAAACTTCTGAAAGTGAACTAGATGAATGTTTATCCCATTCTGGAGTAGCACATCTTGGGTTATCGGGAATTGCGTTGGATGTAGCTGCACTAGAGTCGTTATGAGCCATAGCAATGGGAGCAGAAGCGTTGTTGTGTAATCTGGAAGCATCCAGTAATAATTGTTGTTTTTCTGAATCTGACAAGGGAGAATGAGCAACATCACGAAGACGAGCGCGCAAAACTTGATTATCTTGTGTCAGTCTTTCAACTTCTAAACTGTGTTGTTCCTGTGAAATAAATACAAATAATTAATAAATAAATAAACACACCGAAAGCGTTTGAATGTATACATGGTTATCATCACTAATATCAGTCACGTAATAATCTAGTTTAATCTAATAAATGGCCGAGTTAATAGTAAGCTGTCACGAAGTCAGGGTTATGTTCATACCGCGACGTAACAGTTTCATCGACATTGGTGCCTCACACTTGACAATTTTCACAAGTTACTGACGAAAATAGCGGTACAATAGGTTAAAAGAAAATTCCATTAGATTTACCGTTGCAGTTGGTGATAAATAACGTTTTTTCATTTCGCCTACATTCGCGATCACGCTTCCAACTCTCCTTCGACGACGACGCGGTATGTAGACAAATGTATACCAAACTCAACCGGTAAACATTGTCGGTAAACAGCATTTTGACGCAATCCAATCTCCCTTCCCGTGCAGCAGCTGCTTTTCGTGCAACCGTTGCTTCGTTCATCGCCTTGGGGTGAATTCAGTGGAATGCGGGGAAAAAAGGGGTCCGCCATGCAATGAATGACTGGCTACTATTCACTCCAACGGCATTAAATATACGTTCTTGTATTCACATAATAATAAACAGGTGTAAAGATTTCAAGACTTTTAAATCCATAACATTTTTTCTTTTATCTTTTATCATCGAACTTCGATTTTTAAAAGATTTAATTATTTTATGTGAAGAATGTAATTGTTAGAAGAAAATTCACTGATTCATGCTTGGAATTAAAAATGAAAAAAAAAGTAAAGTCATGAAGAATAATCTGATAAACTCTTACTTCGATATAGAAGCTATGTTTCATGAACTGATAACTTTCATTAAGAAAAAATAAATGAGCACAAATAAATGGCAGATATAGTGAGAGGCAATTGAAAAATAAAGAGGATGGAAGGCTATCAGAAGGGACCAATAAACGCAATACCTTGAGAAAGGCGAGTTCTATGCGCAGTTCATGAAGTCGTTTAGCATCAGCCGATGTTTCTCGCAAGTTAGCCTCAAGTCTCGCACGTTCTTTGCGTAAAAACTCAAGCTCGCGCTCGAGCTCTTGCATCCTAATGATAGAATGCTTTCCACTATTTTTCATGTGAGTTTTGGAGCTGCTTTTCGTGGTGTCTTTATCAGCTGGCCAAGCACCCGCCTGCAAATTGTCTGCTTTGTTCTCCAATGATGACACACTCGGCGCCTGACGTTGAAGTCCACTTTGTGCCATCTGTCCCTGATGTCCGGTTGACTGTTGCTGGTGCTGATGATGTTGCCCTGAATTTGATTGCTGGTGTTGCAGGTGGCTTTGCTGTCCTCTTCGAAACAGCGATTTGAACTTCATCATGGTCACTATCTACTCTAAACCAAATCCTGTCCCAATCACAATGTCAATCATTCGTCAATGAATTTTTTCACTTTATTTTTTATGAAAATTGATATTTTTCTAAATGATAGAAAATTATTATTATTATAATTTAAAGTATAAGTTAGTCTAAGTATTATTACCAACAGTTCTATTTTTATCCTCTTTAATCAATCATTCATATAACGATATGTGATGTCAATGTACTGATGTTTAATCTCTAATGAATACAATTATTTTTGTACCAATTCATTTTAATCACTACATATAACGTACTCACTCCATTACAACTTAAATTTGTCACTGACGAACACGTCAACACCAATTTCTTATCGCTCCATTCGTAAAGAGATAACGAGAAGAATCGACGCCGCACTGTGGAGGCGGTTGTGAATGCCAACTGCTATTTCATTCCTTGTATTTGATTTCACTTAAGGAAATTTAATATACTCGAAATTGAGAATATTCACGTAAACCTTCGATGAATTCACCTCAGACGATAAGTAACACTTATGACCAACTCTTATGACAAATATTTAAAAATAGAATTAACTTTTTCTTCATCAACTTCTGTCGTCATGAAACTTGAATAAGATTTTTAGTTGCTTTTATCATTGATTACCATGACGTATTAGTTTATAATAATATGTATATTGTTATAAGTTGATTTATAAATAAAATGTATTTAACGCGCGCCAGCACGTTTGCTTATAAAACGTCCGTGACCACTTGTTGCTGCACCAATAAGGAGTGGAACGCGAGAGTAAGCTGCTCATCAGCTTTCACAGCAATCGTCCTGAAGAAGACTAACAATGAATTAGCTCGAAGAGTAGAATTCTAGTCACCGTGACAGTCTTGGCTCATCGCTTAAGTATTCCGTCTATTTTCTCTCACCAACTAATATATAAACTAGTGATGGCGATAAGCATGTTGAAGAAAAATAATCAAATATATTGTGAATGACGAATGGTTTTTTAAGTTCTTCTGTCGTTGAGTGCATGCATACAGAATTTCAGGGAAGGGTCCAATCGTTTGGAAGAACCGAAAGAGGTCGTTGACAACAAGCAAACTAGTCCCAATTGCCCAGTCTTATCTACCGTGTCTTCAATATCATGTGTAAGATACTGACAACGGAGGTTTTCAGTTTATTCCGTTGTTTCAATTGTTTTTCTACGGTGAACATAATTGCGTTTCAGTCAATTCAATATAATGAGAAGTAATAATTGCGGTTAAAATTGCACGTTTTCCAATGATTCACTACCAACACGACCCGATCGACGACCGTTCGCGTCGAAGACTGTCGAGGGGACTGATGTTGCGACTGGAATAGCTTGAGTTGGCGGCGCTGAGAGAGGCGAGCGGTGTGGAACCAGCAGAGGGCCAGACAACCAACTAGCCAGCCCAGTTAGCGACGGGACTTATGCCCGCTATATGCACATATGTTGTAACGTATAACCATATACCTATGTAAGTACATAAGCATATTCACATATTGCCTGTCTCTCTGCCCTTCCACTAACTTGTCATATGTTTCATGGAAGCAGGAGACCATTTTTGACGCCTCCAAAGGCTCTATGACCATGGAATTATGCGGAAATCACGTGAGATGTATGCATTTATTTACTGACTGCATTTAATCGCTCAAGGTTTAGCTGCTTCACTGATAAGATGGGAAATTGATCAGATTGTTAACACGTGTAAGATGTGATCTTAACGACCGGAAGTATGACGTGATTGGAGTAGTCGACGTCACTGATGCCTAACGGGACAATTAGAGAGTCTGAAAGGTATATCAGATTTACATCTTATTCTCTACATGATCATGAATTTTACATGTAAACTTTAACATTAATATAATAATATTTGTCATCAAGGCGTCATCATCTGCTGTAGGTTGTATTGCCATTCAAAGAGATGAGGTCGATGTGTAGGTGTTGTCATGGTATACTATTATGAAACCACACAAATAGTGTACTATGATATAAGTGGAAACATTTGCCAACTCTACTAGTTCTTAACTGTGTGTATTACACAAGTTAAACCACAAGCAATAATTAAACTGCAGTATTTATTCAAGAGGGGAAAAGATATGGACCGTGGATAGCGGCTAACACTTGGACTTGTCGGGTTCTGAAAACTTGAAAGGAACGATGAATAATGCAAATCCCGTCGAAGGTCGCGTGTGCTCCTGATCTTGATATCGAATGTCTTTACGTGAGTTCTATAAAATATATGCTTGCATACATATATATGTGTATATCTTTTATTTTCTTTCAAAGCATTTTCTTTTCTATAGGTGTTGATAAAACCGAAAGGAATGTTATTCTCAAAAGAATAACAAAAATTTCTCCAAGACAGCATTCAGCTCTTCACACAGCAATTGTAGGATGAAAGCTATTAATCCTATAAGCATGAGGGGAAATGTTTTCAACCATAATTGACGAGCTGTGTGCCTTGGTTGTTATCGCAGCTGTACAACGACGCACTTATCGTCTTATCACTAGCTGCTGTCGACTTATAATGTATTCATGAAGACATTCTACCTACGTAGGAAAGTCAATCATCACATATGTCTTATTCAATACTTAACTTATATAGTTTGCTAAAGGATAGCGGTTGCACATACATGGCTATCGTTTCACATGTAGGTCAAGAAAAAAAATAGAATTAATAATTTTTTAGATTTAATTTATTAATTTAAACAGTCTTTATTCCCTTTTATACATTAAACTATGTTAAACTATTAAATGTCAAAGACTTGGTAAGATTTATAATACTGTTTTTACTTTATGATTTGTCTAAACCATATGTTAGATATATAGAAATTCGATAATCTTCATTTCTACGTAGTAAACCTCTGTATGAAGTCAATTCAATTGCATTGAATGTCCCTCCACCATCAGGCCTTTAAGCTGAGAATAATGACTATATAATACAGAAGTAAAGTTATGTCGACACGCCCTTAGGTCGCAGATGAAAAAAATTTATCGTCAAAAGTTGTAACAGTTTGTCAAGCGTAGTAGTAAAGTGGTAGTACTTGTTTTGAACACATATATGTATGTGTACATGCAGTAGAACTATTCTTGTATGTAACTTAATTGTGCTTTACATCATAGCGGCCAAGTACCCCGTCATGATCTCGTAATATTGCGACAAGTGGAGGCTAAATTAATCTGTTATCTCATTGGAATTTATAACAGTCAAGTTCACACTTGAAAGTGAAAAGAAATTCCGATTATGTAATTGTATGTAATAACTTTCAATTTTATTTGTCATAATAGAATGTCATCTTAATTACTTGATTGTTTATTAAAGAAAGAGGAGAAAAAAATCAATTAGACTAATAAAAATAGGGGACACCCGGGTTTGAACCGGGGACCTCTCGATCTGCAGTCGAATGCTCTACCACTGAGCTATATCCCCAGATGCGAATAAAATGAATTTTGCACTAATTTAAACTGATCGTGATGAGTCACCCGTGAGCTTTAATTAAGAACTAATATCTTATCGTTGAATTGTGTATTAATTATATCTTAGTAAAGAAAAAATCAGAGAATATTAAACAATGAAAATTATATGTTGCATTAGATAATATCTGTCACACACCCACATGAGTAACTATGGAAAATTACGTAAACACGGAAGAAGCTTGATGCGTTCGTAGGTGGTAATAAGCATTAAATTAATTTAAAAGAAAAAACAAAAACATAATGTATAATTAAGTTGTTAACAAAAAAAGATAATGATCATTGACTAATGTAATTTGTCCAAGTGGATCAAAGTCTCATATCTACCATCATCCATCCGAAGAGCTAATTAGTGCAGTTCCAAGTTTATCTAGGCTATCGGCGGTTAACTAGCATGTGGCTGTGTTGCAGACTTTTTACAATTCTCGTGTGTTTGTACTATAGTTTTCTAATAGCACTAATCAAGTAGTGGCAGGATAGCGCGAAAAGTTGTTTTGCCAAACACGCGCTTTGCACTACTGCTGCGCTAGCACTACACACATGCTTCTAAAGATAGAGCGATGCTGATGCAGGGGAAAATCTGACCTTGTCCTTACGGGTTTATATAATAGCGTGGCTTACTCGCAGAGCGGTCAGTCGGTCGATCGTTCGCCCACTAATCGTGTCAGTTACTATCATCTATCATCGTTCAATTAGTATAACATCCGGGTGTGTCACATTGCTTTTAGAGCCCTTCCCTACTTCTCAAGGATCGATTTCTTCAAAGGTATCCTGAGCCTTCGACGATGATACAGTCGAGGTAGGGCAGTCAGACGCGTACGAGCAGTAAAACAAACAACACGTTTAGTTTATTTTTATTTATCAATCATCAATGGGTGCCTAAATAGAATAAAATATTGTGTTTGACAGTTTTACTGTGTATTAAGATGAATTACAAAAGATAGTGGGATTGAAAATAATTACTGTGTTTTAGCAAAACATGTCCATGGTTGGTGTTGTTCTAGAAGTGCGAGGGTGACAGCATCACAGAGAGGACCTTGATGCTACTAATTCGGTGCAAGCAGTGTTGCATAACTTGAAGCCTTCATATCTGGACAGCCTTCACGAGTTAGCTAGTAATCTCTTAGTTATTTATTTGAGCCGATTGTTCATCTATCACTGATCTCAAGGACTTTAGCTGGAGCACAAAAATTACTAATCAGTACCAAGGAAAGATCGAAATAGATTTAATGATGAGAAACAACGTGGTGATTTATTTAACACTTATCTTGGGATTACTTCTGACGGCACTTCCGGTAATTGAAGGAAAATGCAGTTTGGCACCACTTGATGCTGAACGCCGTCAAGAACGTATACTCGCATACGTCTGTATTCATGGAGATTTATCAGATCTTGATAGTGTTCCAAATGAAGCAGAGTGGATTGAATTTACTGTTGCACGGTTACATTCAATTCACGCGGATGCTTTCTCTAGGTTTTCCCACTTACGTCGACTCACTTTCTACAACTGCGAAATAAGAGATATTAGTTTAGATGCTTTCCGGGGCCTAAATGATTTAGAATGGCTTGTTTTATCTAACACCAAAATGACAGCTGCTAAAGCTGCAATGTTTAAACATATTCCAAACTTAAAAATGTTGACATTAGACTCGGTGGGTCTTATTTACGTAGAACCGGAAGTATTTGAAATTCTCAGTAGACGTCTGGAAATCTTGAGTCTGAGAAACAACGATTTAGATTGCCTACCTATTGATGAACTTCGTACAATGAAGAGATTAAAAACTGTTCGGATTGATGAGAACCCTTGGCTTTGTGACTGTCGACGTGCTTTATTAGCTTTTTTTGAGAAGCGGAAAATTAAACTCGACTCACCAGAAAGTGAATTTAATCATTACAATCGTCGTAAACGTTGGCATACTCAATACTACAATGAGACATTTTACAATTCCAGTAGCATTGAAACAAGTACAAGAGTTTATGATTGCATGGCTGTATTAGAATATCCACCACTTCCACCCGCAAAACCTCTTTCTCATAAATCTTCTAGTGATTATAGTTATGATTATTCTTGGCAGAAGAAAATTGAATGGAGAGAAGCTACTGCATTAAGCATTTCATATCTTGATCGTCTACCTGATGAAATCGGTTGGATAGAAATCTTCGATATGCGTATTCAGACAATAAGAAGATATACTTTCTTCAGATTTGGTAATAGCCTTCGAAGTATTATGCTGAGAAATTGTGGAATTGAATACATTGAACCAGAAGCATTTGCTGGACTTCATAAACTTCAACGTTTGACTATTATTGGTGCTAAATTACCTGTCGTTCAAAATCATTGGTTTACTGATCTTACAAGACTGACAGACTTAATTCTTGAGCATGATTTCATTGAAAGATTTGAATATGGTGCCCTTGATCGCCTTCGCAATTTAAGAAGATTAGACTTGAAATCAAATCGACTTAATTGTCTTCCAGTTGAACATCTTGAAGGTCTTACCGCTTTAGAAAGAGTTGAAGCTGGAGAAAATCCTTGGCGATGTATATGTCGACAACATCTTGAGAGTTATCTCTTGAAAAGACGTGTAGGATATCAAATTAGTAACAGTCGAGCTGATGGAATCGGTTGTATTGATGATAGTTCCATTGCAAATATCCATCCTAATGTTAACATTGAGGTAAGTATTTCCTGTAATCAAATGCTTTATTTAATGTTTAATTTATACATTAAATTATAGACTTGACTCTCTAACGTATAATTTATAATAAATGTAAGTTAATGTCAAGTAAAAAATTTTTAATTCATAATATGAATAGAAAAAAATCATTGCATAAAATTGATAATGATGAATAGATTAAATCATTGAATTCATTTAAATATACATTCTATTTTTAACTAACATTGTTATGATTTCTGCAAAATTAACATGTTTTAGAAAAAAAAGAATATTGAAGATATTAAAAAACTAATAAATAATTGAATAGGTTTTATTTGATATTAAAAGATTTATTCTACAATTTAGAAATCAATTAGTTAATGTAGTATCTATTTTTGATTCAAAATCTGATAATAAATAATAATAATATTACTTAAAATAATTGCAGGATTTCTACAACTTTACTACTTCTGGAAGGGTTCGCTGGAGTTGGGGTTATGAAATACATGCTCAAAAACCAACACGCCCTCCTCCAACACCTGCGCCTCCAGCCGTTATAGAGACTAGACCACCGCCATCACCAGTTGTTCAAAACAGCGAATGCCGAGCCGTTTCTCCTCAACACTATCATCATCATCATCGTTACAATAATCTTAGGGGTCTAACATATGTTTGCTCTCGAGGATCACTTGTAGATCTTCAAGAAATTCCTTCAACGGTTGAGACTATAATATTTTCTAACTCAGTATTTCACACATTAAAATCCGATGTCTTCCGAAAGTTCGATGGTTACTTGAAACGACTTGAGTTCCGCAATTGTGCAATTCAGAGCATCGATGAACGAGCTTTCTCAGGCTTGCATAATCTTGAGAACCTCGTAATTCGTGATAATGACATTGAAGTAGTACGTTCAGAGTGGTTCAAGGAAATTAGAAATTTAAAACACTTGGATTTAGCAAGAAATAACATTGGAAGGATCGACAATGGTGTCTTTGATTGTGTTCCTTACCTCGTAAGTCTAGACATCTCAGACAATGTAATGAATTGTATTGGAATTGAACATCTAGAAAAACTGCATTATTTGAGAGAATTTAATGTCGCTGGAAATCCTTGGACTTGCCTTTGTGCTACACGGCTCGAGAAGTTGATTGAAGATCGACATATTTATTGTGACCGCGACTGTTTAAAACCTATTCTTCAAGGAGATGCATCGTCAAGCTGGGGCGGATGTTCTAGTGGAAATATCAAAATTAGGTAAATAACTTTCATCTCATGGATTCTTTAGAAAAATAACTCATAAAATAGTTCCAAGAAAATATTCTTTCTTTGACATGTCAAAAAATATTTTTGAACAGTAAAATTTAGTAGGTGACATAAAATTATAACGAAAACTTTATCATAATTGGCTATTCAAAAATATAATAGACGATGATTTCTATTGATCTAAATGAGTTTTTTTCACTACTATTCAGTAGGAATTTTTACGGTTGTCTCCATAAAAATTAAATTATTTTTCTATTGCCATAAATTTTGTGTTGCCTTTGTGAGATAAAATTTTTGATGGCTGAAAAAAAATAAAACTAAATATTTCAAAACTTGATTAATTAAATAAAAATAATAATTTATTCATATAATTTAATTGAAAAAAAATTCAACAAATTTAACAGACATCTCTTTTTACAGCCAGGAAACAGTAAAGCCGCCATCAACAACTCCGTATCCAGATCTTCCAGATCCATCAAGGCAAACAAACGCAAGCGGCACGTGCTATTCAACCCACGAGCATACTCACTATCATTGCAGTAACGGTGATGGATTCATTACAAGCAATATTCCCAGCTACGTACGCAGCATCGAGATTTATGATAGTTATTTATTGCATCTACCAGCTGCCAGTTTTGCAAGATTTTCTAATCTCACTGAGCTTATTCTACGAAATTGTTCACTCAGAGACATCGACCCACGTGCTTTCGAAGGCCTGAATAGACTTGAAAGGCTTATTATACAAGACAATCGTTTTTCCGTAGTTCGTAATACATGGTTCAAAGACTGTGGAAATCTTTATTGGTTAGATTTAAGCAAAAATAATTTAGTTGAGATTGAAACTGGTGCTTTTGATGATTTAAAACAATTACAATACCTCAATCTTGAAGATAATGCGTTTGAATGTATTTATACTAGTTGTTTTATTCACTTACCACGGTTAGACACTTTGGAATTTGGTAGAAATCCATTGAAATGGAGATGTTGGCAAGAACTTCGACAATTTTTAGAAGTTAGAGCAATTGGATACACATATTGGAAATGTCCTCATGACAGTAAAGCATTAGTTCGTACTTTACAAGATGAAAAGAAATCAGGTTTTGGAGGATATAATGCTGGAAATCAAAATATTAATAATAATGTTTTTAAATATATAATTTTTGCAGTTATAATGAAACTTATTATTAGCTCTTAAAGAGTAATGTGTAAAACAACAATTGTAAGACTAATTTTTTTCTTCAGTAAAGCTAGAGTACTTAGTACCTGATACGAGTCATCTCGATAAAATTACTAATAATACTAATTTAATTACTTAATGCTTTACTGAATTATATTTTTAATTATTATTATTATTTATTTCACTATTAATTAAGTCATTAAACTATGCTTTATAACTTCACGATTGTTTATTTGTGTAATAAATTATATGAAATTGAATCACTGTAATGATGATAATCACAAATGTACACCAAAGAAAAATGATTGCGCGAGAATTAAAAAGAAATACATAATCATAACTAACATTCTGTTGTTATTTTTTGTAATGGTACCTTCAACTACTTTGTTGGTACGAAAGACTGAAAAAAAAAATTAGCAGAGCGTGGTTTCGATCCACGGACCTCTGGGTTATGGGCCCAGCACGCTTCCACTGCGCCACTCTGCTTGTTGATGAGATTTGCAAATTTTACAATAACGTTCATACATGTAGAGTGATGAATTTTAATTCAGAATCATTCGTGGTAATTGGTAATTTTTTTCAAATTAACGAATTTCTTTCAATTTTATACATTTTACAACTGTATTATAATTAATTAATTGAATTTGTTTCAAATTTTTATATTTGCTTTTACTTAGTATCAAATTTCATTCATAGATGTCTAAAATGCAATTTTTAGAATTTTTATTTCTCAACTACCAAAGTAGGTGGCAACACTTTCTCGAACTTTCAGTCATACTAAAAAATGGCGGATTATAAGGGTATGTGATCAATTTTATCGCAAAATAACTCGTTTATAAACAATATTATTCACTATTAGTCAATAAAGTCTCTTAAAAAAATTTCTGACATATTGACCTAATTGATTAAAATAATGAATAGATGATGAGAGACATAGGAAAAAACTGTTTTTTGTTTTCTTTTTTCTGTTTGATTAGCACATGATGCCTTCTTTATTTTTGTGATTATTAAAGAAAGTAAATTTGTATTTTTTATAGAGAATACAGAAGAGAAAAATGGTCCTCGACCCACAATTGTTATGAAAGTAGATGCTCCAGAAGAATCTAGTGAAAATTCAGCAAATGGTGAGTCAACTTTACTACCATTCATAGAATCGGAAAGTCATTAATTGAATTGTATAAATCTCCTTCTCTTTATCTCTTGTATTTCTTAGATAATATTTTTATCTTTTTCTGCTATCATTTGTTAATTGTTAATTTACTAACTTTGCTAAATATTATTGAAATAATCTTCATTTATAGGTTCATTATAAACCTATACTTTTTATTTGCAGATGAAGCTGACGGACAATCAGCTGAAGAAAATTCACAAACTCCTTCTTCACCCTCCTCAAAATTCGCCACTAAAATTCACCGTATGTTTTTTTAATTGTTGATATTAATAAAACTTAATCATATTGTGAGCATGAAAATAATTATTCACTCTTTTCCAGATCCTGTATTAATGCAATCGAAGTTTGGCGATTCTTTTGGTATCAGTGAATTCAGCAAATCATCAGAGTCTAGTGGATTAAAGTCATCAATTTTAAGGCCATCTCAGCTTAGTGCATTAACGAATTCAGCTGGTCCAGCTCCGAAATCAAAAACTGAAACAAATTCACTACAACAAAACCCTTTTACCAAAGTTTCGGATAAGGCTATATTTGAAGACGAAGAAGAAGATTCTACAACGAAAAATAATGACAAAAAGGATACCAAGACAAACTCTGAGTCTAATTCTAACAACACCGACAAGAAAAATAAAGAAGATACCAAGATAACACCAACATTTATACCACTTGGTTCAACTCCTAAAGAAAATGACACCAATGTAAATAATATTGTAACTGCTAATTGTTCGACACCAGGTTTTGTATTCGGTCAAAATATAAAAGATCGCGTAACTGGAGCAAAGGATAGTGATGATAGTTCTGAAGAGAAAAAAGAGGAAGAAGAGTCGAAAAAAGAAGAGTCAAGTACAGAAAATGGCTCATCAGAGTTACTGTTCTCAAATGCGGCTGCAGTATGTCGTACTGCTAGTAGACCTGGATTAACTTTGACACAAGCAGCTCAAGAAATTGAGGAAGCTAATCGTGCAAATAAAAGGAAATATAATCAAATCACACCATTAACAGGTGAAGAAGGAGAAACTAATATTCTCCAGATCAACTGCAAGCTTTTTACATTCGATAAGGTATTGTAATTTATTTATAAAAATTCTATTAATTCAGTCAATACCGTATAATTAGATATTCAATTGACATAAAATAAACTGCACACCGAAGTTTTGTATTCCGGTCATTAAAAAGTAAACAGTACAGTTGTTGGCAGAGATTTAATTATTGGCATTTTATATGGGAAATCAATGATTAGCATGAGTGCCAATAATTGCCCTAACAGGCTGATAACCCTATTATTTTGTCAAAGTTCCAACGAAAAAATCCATCAATACTTATCGTGAATGCTTGATTATATTTGCCTTTTGTGTTATCTTTTTATAGTTGAATTAGAAAAACATTTTAGCTTCGTTTGAATGGTATTTTCTTTTAATTTATTCCATTAAAATGAGTATATTTTTCCATCACATTTTTTATGAATACTCTTGATAGTCTATACAACGTTAGAATCACATATTGAATGTATAAATAACGTGTCGGTGAATATTTCATAACAATTGGTTAAGCTATTCTCAAGTTATAAGATGATAAACAAACAAACATCTTTGTTTATTTGTTTGTCACTTTATCCCTCAATTATACCCAACATACAAACTTTTCTTTTTTTATAATACTTATATGATTATATAATTGATTATTGTTATTCAAAGCATGTTTTATAAAGGCAATAATTTATTTTGTAGGAGACAAGTAGTTGGAAAGAACGAGGCAGAGGAACTCTTCGACTTAATGATCGCGATGACGAGTCAAGATTGGTAGGACGAGTAACAGGTACTCAAAGACTCATACTTAATACAAAAATATGGTCAGGTATGACTGTAGAACGTGCTGGACCCAAATCTCTTAGGCTAACTGCAATGGATGTTCATGGTGATATTAGAATCTTCATAGTTCAAGCAGCGCCATCAGAAGTTGATCAGCTGCATAATTTTCTAATGCAACGAATCAAACGTGCTGAAGAGCGTCAACCTAAAAAAACTTGCTACTGATCACTGACGATAAATAATCCAGAAATCAAATAATGAAACTGAAATCGATTTTTGGTTGTCGATTTAACTTGCCAGACAGTGGAAAACTTATTAATTTTTTTATAACTCTCGTCAAGTTGATGTTTGTTTTTTCTGCACTCAAACAATGCTGGCAATTAACTTCGTTATGCAAATCACAGTTTGTAGCATACGAATCCAGTATTTTAAATAACATCATACGTAAATGTTTTTTAAGAAGCCAAGCATTATTAACGCTAAAAAAAAAGTTTAAAAAAAAATAATAATTAAAGCTCTAAGTACTTTCAATAATTTTATATCAATTTTTTTTGCTGGCAAGATGCTTTCTTTTCCTTTATTTTCTAATCATTCCCAATCGCTATTCTTTTACATGTAAAAAATAAGTAAATAAAACAAAGATTGTCGTTTCCAATACGATCACGAAGTTATTTAGGTATAAGATCAACAGCTAAATAGAACTTTCCAAGTAGTAACATAATAAGTTATGTAAATGTTAATGTTAATTCTTGCAAATAATATGAAATTATATTATAAGCTAGAAATAACAGTTTAATATTTAATAAAAATTCACTACTTAATAAAATATTTAAGAGACAACAGCTCTTAAATAAATGACATTAAAATTTCAGTCTGAAGTGATTTTAATTTACTAACCATTTATTGATCTTCATCTTCACAAACTCTCCACTATGATTTTGCATGAATTATTTTTTACTAATTTTCTATTTTGTTTTTAGTGATTTTATCATTATTATTCATGAGAAATTTATATATATATATATATTTGTGTATTTAAGTTACTACTTGTGAAATTTTTTTTTAGTTAGTACAGTCATTTAAACAATTTGTGATTTGTTTATATGAATTCTTATGAACATTAGCTACATATACATTTCAAATAATTATTTAAAATATTCAACATAATAGCTAAGATAATTATAAAATGCAAAAGTACGATTTGACTAGAAAGATGCTAAGTATCATCCTTACAGTGTAAATAAATAATATTAAAATGAATATATAATATGTGTATTCTTCAATCAATAATATTATTAGACTTATTTAATTATAGATCAAATAAATAACTACATAGATGGTATTCAAGATAATTATATTCAAATAAAGCTCATCTGTGCTATGACAGCGCTGCAAATCGTTGAGCTATGGCGGGCGGTATTCAACCGACTGATATTAATAGACACTTGGGTTTCACGTAAACTCGCCGCGATTTTGGGCGTCAAAAATCCGGCAGCGTCGACCCGTTTCTTTCGTTCACTTCTATTATTAATTAAGTATTTCATAAACACCAATATGTAGTGAGTAATTAGTGGTTATTTAGTGCTTATTGTCTAGCTATAAAATTGTTAAATTACATTTTCTTGATATCCACTTTGAATGAACGTCACGAAGGAATTCCAATCATTATGGAAGCTGTTTCTTATTCTCTTCATGGTGATGAATGGCAGAACGTGGATGTCAAATGAAAGTTTTATTCATCATTAATTTTTTCCCGCGTAGATTCTCATTTTTATACATTTTATATTCTTCAATGTTTGGATATTTTCAACTATGACAAGTTATGATTGATTGCTAGTCAATCTGAGTGTGCTATTGAAGTGAGGAAGTTTTTAAAATTGGGTTATTAGCCCAAGGACACATGAAAAACAATAGATAAAATATACGTTATTTTAATCATTTTTAATTTACCTTTGTAAATATTTTAATTGGATTATACTTGAATTTAATAATTACAACATGAAGATTGATTTGAAAAAGTGTTGTAGACGGACGCTCAATCGATACCACAGGAAATGATGAAGAGAAAATTTTGAATTGATTAATTAAATGTTGATAATAATCAATGAAAATTTATTATAATTCAATAAAAAAATAAGATATCAAAATCTGGAAGCTACGAATTAGTGGCACAAGAGCTCGCATACATATTTATAGATCGCTCTTCTTGAGTTGGAGGTGTGAATCGACGCGACACGTTCAAGCGAGAAATTTACTCCCTTCGTTTCAAAGTTATTGGAGTCAATTCACAAAAAAAAAACATTAAAGACATTGTAATTATTTCGTGATTTTGGATTTTATATCGTATAATTATGATTACGATACAATTAATAAGGACGTTGCAATTTGGAACAAGTAAATAATCATCAATTTTATGTTTATCTTTTTAAAAATTGTAAAGATTCAAGATGATGTTCACTGGTGGACGATCATCACATATGAAAAAGAGAAATGCTAGTGGAAGTAGTAGGAAATTACTTTTAGATAAAAATTCATCCAATCGTGTTGGACCAGAAGGATATACTTACAGGTATTTCAATATAATATTCAAATCAAAATAAATATTTCAATTATTCTGCTAATTAAAATGCTATTAATGAATGGAATATATATTCTATAATTATTTTCATCACCAAAAATGATATATAAACAAAAAATAATTTAATGGTATTATTATGACTAATAGGTTGGATAGAATTCGTTGTTTAACCAAAAACAATTTTAATGTTTATTAATTAATATATAACTAATTTTATAATACTTTCAGAACAAGGATACCTTCACCATTGAACCCTCAAGATCTTCCGGCTCCCAGCACGAGTAGAACTTACGTTTATAGAACACGAGTACCCAGGCGGGATATTACATGTGCATCATCTCCACCTCCAGACACAACAACAGGCGTTCCTATTACACGAAGAAGAGGAGCTGTTAAACATAATAAAGTTCATGTAATTCGAGGTCACAAACTTGTAGCAAAATTTTTTAGACAACCAACTTTTTGTGCCTTTTGCAAAGACTTTTTGTGGTAAGAATTAATTTTTATGAGCTCAATCAAACATTAAAAAGTAATCATTCTTACTATCATATAAGCATTCTAATAATATAAATCATTTGGCTTTTTTCTGATATTTTGTTGATTGTATTTTTAGATTAGACTTTTTTTTTTTATGTACTCATAAATTTTAAATTTCAGTAGTTTTATGTATTTTTTTGATATAGAAATCAGTTTAGAAAATGTTTTCGTCTATTTTATTGCTATTAAATAGTGTAAAATTAAAAAAGAAATATAATGTAGTGACATATCGTGAAAAAACATTGAGTTATTTGATTCACACGTATCATTTAAAGAGTATTACGTAGATAAAATAAGTTCTAAAACAACTTGAAGATATGTAAAACTGCATTCCAGAATTGAATGATAGAAAAGCCAAACGATCTAAGAATAAACTTTTCTCTTCCTTTATACAAACTCAGTTTATTCAAGTTATCGACTTGCAGATTTCTTCCATGCATCATACGTTTACGTATTAATCATTTATTTGTTTTAGGGGTTTTGGAAAACAAGGATATCAATGCCAAGGTGCGAGGTTGTTAATCTTTATTTGTTTGTAAGTATTTTAGATATTCAAAACAATATTATAATTAATTTAATGATGATCCAGCTTGCCAGACTGCTGTCCACAAAAAATGTCATGACAAACTTTTAACTAAATGCCCTGAAAGTGGGCGGGAATCAGAAAATACAATTGTAAGTAATTTATTTTATAATTTGATTTGAGTAGATTTTTTAATTTTATAAAAATAATTTTTCAATTTTATTAATCATTTAAGAAAGCTAATCCAAATTTAATATTATATTTTCACAATAATAAAAGAGCCTCCATACACTTGTGATAAGTCTATCAAAAAAATCTTTTGATTGTTGTATTACAAATCTACCTACCGCAAGATAAAGGTAGCAACATGAATTTAACATAAAAATTAAATTAGGAAAGAAGCTAATTTGATAAAATATCAATTAAACATTTATAAAAATAGTTCTAATGTAATTACCAACATTAATACCTTGCTTAAAATGCAACATTTTCTTTCTTGAATAATTAACTAATTATTCAATGTATTGAAAATACTTATTTTAAAATTTTATTCATGTTTTAGATAACTTTTTGGTGCTGCTAAAGACTTCTCTTCGCTTTTCTGATGCTTCGAAATGCAAATGGTTTTTAATATGCCGTGCTTTAAGTGATTATTAATCTTTCCTCGTAAAACTTTGTATTTATTAAAATTGTATATGATCGTACTTGTTAATAAGTATTTGAGAGCTTACTTAGTAAATTAATTTCTGCATGAATAGTTTAATTTATATAATATTTTTAAATTGTACTGTAATATTTCTATTTATTTGAATAGTATTTAAGGGAACGCTTTAAAGTGGACGTACCTCATAGATTTCGAACACATACATTTATGTCTCCAACTTTCTGTGACCACTGTGGTTCCTTGTTGTATGGATTCTTCCGCCAAGGCTTGAGGTGCGATGGTGAGTTTTATATTAATACATCAGCCAAAATCAACAACTTATGATTCTTGAGAAAATTAGTGTTGTCTATATCTCATGAAGTAGATCAGTCAGATAAAAATGTCAAACAAATATTTTATACTAATACAAAATATTCAAAAAATTTCTTTCACCCTACAAACAATCTATAAAATATAAATATGACTTTACGATGGATTTTAATTTTTAAAAAAACTCCTAACTTATAAAATTCTATCGCAATGAAATTTTATGATAGAATAATAATTTGTTTGAAACTTTCATTTACAATTATGAGATATATATAATTAGGATGAAGCCATTCATCATATCTTCCTGGCAATACGTGTGAATCAATCAAACAGATTATATTCATTATAATCGATTTAGAATCTGGCTCGCGATTGCGTTCCGCACGTTCATCTGATGACTGATTTGCATTTAGATATTGGTGTGTATGCAATGCTTACATATCTTAATACACGTGTGCTTCTGCATGTGGATGATAATTTTCACCGGCTTTTGCAGCATTATTCTTGCGTTGTAATTACAAATTCAACGATGGCAGTTAGAACGTTAGTTATTACAGTCTTAGTTTGTTCGTGTGTATATAGTTAGCATGCTAGGAAGCCTCATATACTAGAATTCTATTATTACACTTGGGTCGCTGGCTTAAACTCAGTTGGTCTTGGCTCCCTGAACCGTGAGAACGGCTCTTCTTATCGCACCTGACTATCCCGGTACTCGCGACATCATTGAATTTTTCATTTTGGTGCTGTGTACGTGATATTGCAACGTATTTACGTAAAATTGCAAAATAATTATTCTTTTCAAATCTTATTCTGGTTTATTTTAACTTGATAAATATTGTAGCGTTTTAGAAGAAAAATAAAAAACGTTAAAAGATGTCATACTATGGAGATGGCATCTCCTACTACTATGGAGCAGGACCTTTTGCCAATCACAGTTCTTTGATGACAGGCACAACACGGTAAGGAATGATCGAAATTTTTGTTTATATATACAGTCATTACAATTACACTTCTGCTATAAATAAAAATGAAAAGCTTGGCTCACGACATGCAACGTTGTTTAAAGCTGAAGACACTTCTTCAGACAAACTCAAGTTCATTTTTTTTACAACTCAATGTCCAGTCAAAACTCTTTAAACATGTTTTCTCAACAAGAAATAAAATTTATCATAGCAGTAAAAAAATATATTATTGGTCAGACAGAAATAAAATTCAAAGATAAATACAAAATATAAATAATATTGTACAATTATTGTAATAATTTACTGAAAACGATAAAAAGTATGATCACAATTCATGAAAAAATTTTAAATAATCCTTTGTAAACGTAGTTTTGATGTTCTAACAAGTGTTTGGTTGTCATTTCCGGCCGGCTCATACACGTAACGCATTAAAATAAACGGAGCCTTTGGCATTAGCAAGCGTCACATCAGACTTACGTTTGTAAATTCGATCAAGTTGTGATGAAAAGATATAAAAGCTTCCTTTATTAATTGCGTCGAACAATCAACTTTAATTTGTTCTAACGCTCTCGTTAAGTTTGGCGAGATACAGAAGCTAATAATTGCTTGGTCCATGGCCAAAAAGACAAGTCGAACAGTTAAGAATTACGTATTCTTTTTTGTTTCTCGATACCATTCCAATTCAATTGCGACAGATGCATTGTTTTACATTGTTTTTTACATTTTCAATTCACTTCATTCTGTCTAATAAATCCCACTTGTCTCACTTGTCACCAGAATTAAACTCATAAATATTTTTTTTTCAAGCTATTTTCTATTTTTTTTATTTATAAAAGGTCTACAAAGAAGTCATGACGATTGATGTTTGACGTAAAGAATTACGTAACATATTAAGCTTAGAGTATTTTAAACAAACTAGTTTGTCTTAAAAATGAGTAAGAGATTTAATATCATTTATTCCTCATGGATAATATTTGGAGTTTAGCCAGTCTATTGACATTTATATTTACTAATTGGCACAAATAAATTAGCCATATGAATATTATTGCACCATTTAGATCCATGCTGATTAAGACATGCATGGAAATTGGGAACACACTTTGTAAAGGCCACGGTATACTTTGAAAAGAAAAAGCGTTCAAGGTTACACTGTTTGTTATTATAGAAAATAGGGTAATTGGTGCTAATTTAAAATCTCCAAAGCAACACATTAATTAGCTTGTGAAAATGTTGGCAAATAATATATAAGAAAAAAATTTACGTATTTTAAATATGTGAACATGTTGAAATTGAGATGAGTCAAAAATTTTCTGATTTTATTTCATCAAAATAATAATAGTGAAGGTCTGAAGAAATATTCAGCACAGAAATTTTATCAAGGAAGGACATAGAACAAGTTGTTGTTTCGATTCATCATTTTTACATTAATATGTCTATAATATTATTTATCAAAAATTTATTAAATATTTTAGATTATTTGATATTTCAATAATTAATTATTTAATCATATTTTAATTCAAAAGTAGAAATTCACTTTTTATAATAATTAATAAATTTAATAATATCTATCAATCTTGATAAACAAAATCCATTTTTACTTATTAGATAGAATTAATTATTATCTTGAAACAAGTTGATAATTGGCCGTAAATTGATGTAAAATTTAATATAAAAGACATTTTTCAATCCATTTTGACGTTTATGAATTAAATGACTTTTCTGCAGGATTCACACCCCTTTGAGATTTGCTCCTCATCTATCAACAATATCCGAGTCATCTTTGAGTACATATCGTCGTTACAGCCCAAATGTATTGCCGTATCGACCAAGAAAAATAATTGACACAGCTGATATCGATGTTTCTACTCCACGACCACTGCATTCTAACCATCAACCTCATGGAAATCGTCTTCGCCGAGACCGACCCACAATAAGAATCCGTTCTCAAGCTCTGAAAGATAATCCAGCACTTCGAGATCATGTTGAGCGTCGTGAAAAAACCGCTGGTGAACTTCTTGTTGAGAAATTTCTCATTAGAGATAAAAAAGCAAGTCTTGATGACATTCGAATGAAGATGTACCGACAAGTCAGCCTAGAATCAAACAAAAATGAACAGGAAGCAATTAAGAGGAGAATAACACGAAAATTTACTAGAAGAAGATCATCAGCAGATGTACAAATCGACCCAGAACAACTCAAACGAGAAATAGAGATTGCTCAAGTTCAGGCAAAGGTTTTAGATAGCTTAGTGGCTGAAGAACAAGCTGAGATTGAAGTAGAAACACGTAAAGGTACTTTAATTCATAAAAATGCTGTTAGAACACATCCACCAATACTCAAGAAAACTACGAGTGAATCTGATGACACTGATAGTACAGAAACGAAAAAGAAAATTCAGAAAAAAACTAAGAAACGTAAGAAGACCACAGATAAACCATCTCCACCCCAAGAAGTGCCATCGGAAATTGAAGAGTCGGAAACTGATAGTAAAGTATTTAAAGTTGAAGCTAGCAATAGTGTTGATGATTTGTCAACGCTTGTAGTAAATGCTAGGGATAAAAAAATTGAACAATTTAAAGAAAGTATCAAACTTCCTGCTCCAAAATCTTTTTTCAAGAAAAATCATCAAGATATTGAAGAAGAAGTGGTCATTCTCCCAGCTAAAAAACCGTATGTTCATGATCAGTCACGAAACAGTGTGTACCTGACCCTGAAGACATCGAATTTAGAGTTGAAAGGTAATGACCAACAACAGAATGTAAATAATATTCAAGCAGATCAATCGATAGATGATGAAGAGTCTAAAGTTGCCAAGATTGGATCTAAAGATATCATTGAAAGTGATGTAGAGGTCAACGACGGAAGGGGATTGAAAGATCAGGGGAAGAGTTGGGTAGAGGGCGAAGGATGGATGCCTGAAGCAGCAGAAAAAATTAATCGAGTCAGTGAGCATGACAAAGACTTGATATCCGGGTCCGAAAAAATTGTAGAAAGTTCAAAGGGTATTGATAATTCTCAAAGGGTTAAAGAATTACAAAAAGATCTCAAAAAGACTCATACAAAGACACTCTGTGAGATTTCCGAATTTCCGTCGCGGGAAGTCAGCCAAGAGGATTTCAAGGGTACACATGACAGAACGTGGAACGATAAATTGTCATCCTTGACAAAAAACCTAGCAAAAGATTCTACGCCGAGTGAGAAGAAGAAAGAGAAAAGACTTAAAGAAAATGACGAATGTCTAGTTGACGTAAATTCTGTTAAAACTCAGGAAAGTCAGCAACAAGACGATGAGAAAAGCAAGAGCTTGCCAAATTCAACGGTAATTAATCTTGAAACCAACAGAAATGAACAGAATGAGTCAAGGATAAATGAGTCCAAGTTTTTAAGTGAAAGCAAGGCATCTATCCAGGAAATAATTGAACCTAGTACTACTACAGGTCGTGAAGCTGAAAAAACTACTTTAACTGTGATACAAAATAAGACTAAATTGATTGATGTTATTGATAATGAGAATAATCATAAATCACCTGAACAAAATAATCTTTCAGGAATATTAAATAATAGTTTGAAAGGTGAGATAAAGGTTCAAGAAGAGGTTAAAAAAGTACCTAAAAAAGTTAATAAACAAAAGAATGCTCAAAAGACACCAAAACTCAAAGAGGATGTTTCTCAAGAATCAAATGATAGCGTTAATGACAAGAACATTAACTTGAAAGTTAAAGCCCTTAAGGGTTTGAAAAAAATATTGAAACATTCTAAAGGAACATCTTTTGAGTGTGATCAAAATTCTGAATTAAAAGAAACTGATACATGTAACTTGGAGAATGATGATGAAAGTAAATCTCCAGTTCAAAACAAACCAAAAAGTAAACTAATTTCAAAGAGTATTTCTTTTGAAGATGAAAAAGATCAATCAAAAGTTGTAAATACTAAAAAAGATTCTATTCTTGGAGAAATTAATTCAGCAGAGCCAATAATTAACGAAATAATTCCCAAAGATTTATATTCAAAATCAAAAACAAACATTTCTAAATCCCCTGTCTCGTCATTCGATAGTGAAGAAATTAAATCTCCGATATCATTGCCACTAGTTCAAGAAGAAAAACAATTAGAGTTATTGGGTGATAAACAAACACAAGAGTCTTCTCAAGAAATCGATTTTTGGAGTGAAATAAAACCTGAAGATGATTTAAAAGTTAAAAAGCCTAAGCCTGTATCAAATATTTCTACAACTAAAAGTACAAGTGAGTCCACACCTACATCACCAGAGATTGAGAAAGTGAAATTGGAGAAACCTGTAGTGGTGGAATCTTCTAATAAAGTGCCAGTGAAAGCAAAGAAAAAGAAGTGCAGCGAAAATTCGATGGAGAAAGAAAAGAAGAAACACACGAATATTATTTTTGACACTGCAGTAAACCCGTTGGAAGATGAACAGAAGCATCTTGTAGATGTTAAGAGTTCAGAGAACTCTGAGTCTATTAAAAAATCATCTAAAAAACCAGATGAAGTTACAGAGAAATTAAATACATTAAAGCCTCATTTAAAAATTGAAATAAATAATAAAATAAAGAGTAGTAATTCTATTATTAAAAATTCTGAAAATCTCGAAATAGATAAACTAATTATATCACCACAAATTACTTCTGATAAACTTGAAAATATTGAACAAATATCCGAAAATAAAGAAATTAATGTAAATTCTTTGAAATCTGATGCGTCTTCAGAAGTAGAAATTCCAGTTGTTGTAATAGACACACTAGATATTCCTAGAACAATTATTGAGGCAGTAACTGAAGAAGAAGAAGAAAATGATGATGATGAAGATGAGTGTCCAATAACTCCAATAAATGAAGAAGAAAAAGTTTTAAGTAGTAACATGTCTAAGTGGAATGGTAGTTCTAATTTGACAGAATTAAATGAAAAAGAGGTCGCGTCAACGACAGTTGAAACTGGAAATGAGGTCGTGGGATCTACGAACGCAAGTGTACAATCATCAGGGAAGAAAAAGTTGGGGAGGAAAAAGAAGTCAATCAGCGTAAGCCCAGAGACTACAGTTATAAGAAAAAATCCAGAAGAGAAAGCAGTTTCTAAAAATTCAATCAGTTCAGACGCAACTGTGAAAGCTAAAGCATATAAAAACTCACCAAAAGCTCAACTTGCACCTGCAGTGATACCTAATAATCGTCCAATAGATCTTGTGAAAATGTTTTATACAACTCCATCGTCTTTATTAACTGCCACACCAAGAGATTTATCGAAAGTTAAACGTGCAAAAATTAAGAGAAGAAAACATTCAACACCTTCAGCTAGTAGTGATAGTACAGGAAGTAGTAGAAGCACTGGAAGGGCTGAGAGTACTCAGAGTAATTCTACTGTTGAAGATGAGGCTGAGCAGAAAAGAATTTCTTCTACTAGAAGCAACGACTCAGGCTTCGATGGTTCACCTAGGCTTTCGAGTACATTTCTTTTATATTTTTTTATATAACATTATTCGTGTATTAATTTGAAGTAACTTTAAAAATTATCTTTATTTATTATTAACGTCTCCAATCATTCTCGTCATTTTTTGGCTTTCATATCTAAAATGGATTCATGAAACAGTTTTAAAAACTTTACAGTAAAGTATTTTTTTAAAAATAGTACATGTCATTAAAATGGTCAAAAGCATAATTATATAAAGAAAAAAATGCTAATTTATCTTTACTAAGACAACACAGATAACAAAAAAATTCCACAGATTTTTTTTTTAAACAGTGTTAATGCTTTGTATATTTATTTGAAAGAATTCTAAATCCAGCCCACACGATGGAAAGGTAAAAAGCCTCATAAAAATGATGAAAATGAATTCAATTTTGAGTTAATAAATAATATTGCATGAATTTATTTATTGAGCACAGTAGATTGCAATAACCAATGATTGATTGTGCTTTAAAAGCTTTGACACAGTGCCGAGATTGTTCTATTACTCACGATTGATTTAAGTTTTGAATATGTTTTATTTCTGTACCATTTCATTCTTCAACGTAGGTGTTGTTTGTCTTATTAGATTAAGTAACACGTGCGCCAGATGTATATACAATCGTTTGTATCAAAGCAATGAGAATATATACATATGTTGATTAAATGATTCCACGTATGTCAGGTTTTCGCATAGAATCTATGTTATTTCAAGTAAAACTTAGCTTTAAATTGGAATGTTGATGTTGATTCAATAAACGTGATCAATTAGATTGCGACATGGCCTGTCATAAGAAGTGCGAAAAACTCACAGGAAATCTCTGTGGACTGAATCAAAAGCTTGTTGCTGAAGCTTTGCAAGCACTTAAACGAGGTAAGTCCATTGTTTAATTTTTTAGGCCTCATTTTAACCTATTTAATTGCAGGTTCAAACACGAGGAATTCAGTCTCGTGTTAATAGTAAATTGAAAGGAGAATTAATCGTAAATTTCGTTGGTATTTGCCAAAAATTCACTGCATAGTATAGAAGCATGACTATTTTTGTCAAAGCAAAGACAGACTATCTTCTATAATCTTTCTCTCTCTCTCTCTCTCTCTCTCTCTACCACGAGACTTCTAGAGTGTTTGTTTGGTTCATGACGTCAGGTGGTTTATTCCTCGAGACAGTGCGCACTGAAGTTGCCGATTCTGCAAGCAGTTATTGGCGGTTAAGCTTTCACGCGATGCACAAACGGTCACTGTCTATTTCCTCTCAGTAATTTTTGAGAAATATTTGTAATCATGCGTTCGCGAAAGTATGTTCGTCGGAGATTGATGTCACACGATAACAATGTTGGCTTGGATACAACACGTGATTTTGAAGATTGTGAAGGAAATGGTGGTATGGTTAAATATCAAATTATCATTTTCTACCATGGATATAATTAATGAATGTGAAATATTACTACTGTTCCTGTATTTTCATTCATAATGGGTGCTAAAGTTATTTGATTAATAAAAAGTTCAAATGAAGAAAAATTAGTCTTCGAATAAAAAAAAAATACCTAAAAAGTGATTATTTAGCTTAGCTAAAAGTAAATAACAAACTATACAATATTTTTTATTTTAGAAAAATATTGATTATTTTTCTTAGAAAAGAAATATTAGATTTTTTGGTTATATCAAAATTTATTGTTGATTATGTAGAAAATTAATTTTTTTGTCCACTTCATTTTTGAATATTTTAACATTTGATTCTAAAAAAAATTTTGATTGAATTGTTTATGAACAAATAACAATTAAAAATATAATTATTTTTATTATTGACTTGATAAATTTTTTAAATCGTTTGAAAGTCAAAGTAAAAAATATTTATTTTTAGTTTATTTTGTAGTAAACGAGTTTCATCATTAATATTAAAAGATATTTTATTTTTGTGTTTTAAATAGTATGTAAAAAAAAATATTTTCTATCTGAATTTCACAATTAAATATTTTATTCATGATTTGTTTATCTATATTCACTGATAAATAAACACTCCTTCATTATTTGAACTAAAAATTATTTTCATCAAGTCAAAAATTCTCAATAGTGCGCAATAAAATATTTTTCTATAAAAAATTTCACGTTCAAAAAATTATTTTCTATTTCTTCATTCTTTCTAAGAAGTAAAGTTTAAATTTCTTGTTATTCTATATCATGAATATACTTTTCAGTCTCAGTGTTCATTTTCATGCCAAAAAAAAAGAGTATTATGATTTCAGTGGAAGTCATAAATAAAATTGACTAAGAAAGAAAAAAATATTTACTGTTTGTCACTGAAATTTTTATGACTATAAATTTTTTCAATAAAACAAAATAAATTAATTAGAATAATTTCATAGGGATATGTGCTGTGATTTATATCATAAATATAAAGGCTTATTCATCTCTTTACAAAACTTTAACTTCTAGTAAACGCTGCCAAAGTTACCTCCAAATTAAGCTAGTACTGTTCTCACTTGGCTGAATAATCTACGTGATAAACCACAGCTGTTATTCCTCCATCGTACAATTAGTATTTTGGCACTCAACATCAATTAGAAATCGTGGTATTCATATAAATATTATATTATTTTATTTTCATCTTTATTATCTCTATTTTTATTCCTTATTATATCCAATTATTGATCGTGTAGTAAATAGTAATAAAACTCACTAACTCTTCATTGTTACTTCATTACTACATAAATTGTTTGTAATAATTTTATCATGACCTCCTGTTATCTTTTCGTTGTTTTCTCATCTAATTTTGAATTTCTCTCGCACGTTGAGGATAGCTAAGAATTTGCAGAACTTCCGCAAGTAAAATTATATTTAGTTAAACGATAGATATCTTCGAAGGAATTTAAATAAATTAAAAAACTTTGTTGGTAGGTATTTCATTCAATTCTAACAATCACATAAAACTTTATCAGCATTATGTTGAAAAATAACAACTATTACTTTTATAAAATAATAATAATTAAACTTTATTCATTCTTTTTTGATGTCTTTAAAATATTTTTTTTGTTTGTATTAAAACTAATTATTTTTCTTTATTTTCATAATTTTAATAAAAAAATATTTTTACAGCTCCTTCTCAGTCTTCTGATAATCAACGTAACTCAGATAGTTCAGATCATCTCCATAGTAGCGGTAGAATCACACCACCAGCGACCAACTTACCAAGATTTAAAAAATATGCAGTTGAAGATTTTAATTTTTTGAAAGTAAGTATAACTAGTTTGTAGATAAATAACTTGATTACAAATTGAGTTATATGTCCATTAATAGACTAAGATGGTCAAAATTATAAAATTCACATTTTTTTGCTATGATAAAAATAGAAATGTTCATGGCTGACCATAATTTCCTAGTACTACTTAAATTAAGTCATTCTATGGCTTAGTAGTCGCTAAGGAAGAATAATTAGATATTGCATCATCCTTTATATTAAACTAAAGCACTTGAAATATTTCCATGCTCCACATTACAAGTCAAAGCCATCACTCAAACATTTTTCTTTGTTTCTAAGCCATAACTCTTTGGATCTTAACCATGCTATAAATTATGACGCATTTATTGGATAATCTTATATATGATGCTTTAAACTTGTTTACTGAAGTAATGTGTACGTTAATTTTATGAACTAAGAATGAAACCATAAATTACAAGCCTAAAATAGATTACTTATGTTGTGAAAAATATTAATTAAATGTGAAAAACAAAAAAAATTCCAACTCAAGGGAAATAAATTAAGATGAAGATGTAAAGGATTTAACGTTAATAATAGTTCATTAAAATGTTTATTAATATTATTTATATTTTATTAAATTTTACGATATCGTAATTGATTAATTTTAATTCCAGGTCCTTGGAAAAGGCAGCTTTGGTAAAGTATTACTAGCAGAACTACGTGGCACAGACTGTGTTTATGCTGTAAAATGTTTGAAGAAAGATGTAGTATTAGAAGATGATGATGTAGAATGTACACTCATTGAAAGAAAAGTTCTTACACTAGCAACGCGACATCCGTACTTATGTCATCTATTCTGCACCTTTCAAACAGATTCTCATCTGTTCTTTGTTATGGAATACTTAAATGGTGGAGATTTAATGTTTCACATACAGAAATCTGGACGATTTCCAGAATTCCGAGCGAAATTCTATGCTGCTGAAATCTGGTCGGGGTTAAATTTTCTTCATAAAAAAGGAATTGTTTATAGAGATTTAAAGTTAGATAATGTTCTGCTAGACTTTGAAGGGCATATTAGGATAGCAGATTTTGGCATGTGCAAACTTCAGATATTTCTAGATAGAACGGCTGATACATTTTGTGGTACACCTGATTACATGGCTCCTGAGGTTAGTATTTAAAAGTTTAATAAAATAAATAGCATCAAATTAAGTACTTGTACTTGTAGTTGATAAATATAAATATTTTATTGGAATAAAGTAACGAGTACTAGTCATCATCAAAATTGAATTTGATGATCATGTATTTAATTATTTTTGAAATTTAATGTATTAAATATACCAATTGTGTTTCTAAGATCAAAAAAGAAATTTAAAAATCTGTTAATCAAGACACGTTTCTAAAAATAATGTTTTAAAAACAAATAAGTAAAGTATTTAATATTTGAAAGACGAATTGTATCATGATCAATTGATTTTTAGTAAACGATTTCACTTATAACTGATTTTACAATGTATAATCAGTTATATTTAAACTATCTTTGTTGTATATTTGTAAAGAATTTATAAAGATATTGATATAATTATTCATGATTTTAAACGTTTTTAAATTTACAAAAGCATTCTAAAGAATCAGTATTAGAAAAAAATAATAAAATCAGTATTGATTATACAATTAAAAATAGAAATTATTTTGTTATTAACTTTAATATAGTTGATAAAATGCCAATTACACGTTATTGTTAATAATTTGTCTAATTATTAATTACTTGATTATCAAAATTTTCTGATGTCACTTTTAATTTTAGTTTCTCAATAATTATATAAATCCTTTGCAATGCAGCGTATAATATGATGTACCATACTAATTTTAGCTTTTCGAGTGCTGAAATATTTTTTATAAATAGTTGTAACCATTTTGAAAAGACGTACTAATGTAATTTAATTGATTTAGATTATCAAAGGACTAAAATACAACCAATCAGTGGACTGGTGGTCATTTGGTGTTTTACTTTATGAAATGTTAACCGGTCAATCGCCTTTTTCTGGTTGCGATGAGGATGAACTCTTCTGGAGTATTTGTAATGAACGGCCATTTATACCTAGATACCTCACTCAAGAGTCAATGGATATTTTAATCTATCTGTTAGAAAAAGATGCAGGAAAGAGGCCGCTTGGTCATGAAGTTCAAGCCCATTCATTTTTCCATGTAAGTTGTCTTCAAGTCATGAAGTTGTGCCAAAATTTATTACAGAATATAAATTATACATACTTAACTAACATTAATGTTTTGTATTTTTCTTAAATTACAGTATTTTTTTGAAAATATATATTTATAAGTTGTAGTTCAATGAATCGAACAAAACAACTGATCTGCGACAATTTGTATAACAATGTGATGAAAAATAAGTGAAAAATAAGAACTAATGTTTCTCCATCGATTTCCCTATTATAACTATCGAAGAATATTTATAGAAATATTTATTTAAAGAGCATTATTTTGAGAGCAGTAAATTATTATGTTGCAAGCATTCATGTATAGATAATATTTAACCATTTATTGTTCAGTAACTAATTAATCTCATGTAATAGATGAACATTAATTATTTTTTATTTATAACTCTGATTAATTATGCTAATTTATAAAGTGTTCAAGATAAAGATTGAAACGTAATTTGAAGAATAAAAAAAAATCTATCATCACTATTAATTTTATACTTATGAGTGATGAGGATGAAATTTTACTTATATTAGAAGACACAAAAAATGTATATTTTTTTTTTATTTCTATTTTCTTTCTTTTTTTTAATGATCAGTATTTTGAATGGGATATATTTAGATCGAAAAGTGTTTTGTTTATAAATTAAGCGATCAGCTTATTAAAAACAACCAATGTTAGATCTTCAAAAATCTTAAACAAATGTCTACATTACATTTTGTGAATAAACTGCTCTAATTTTTGCATAGTATATCATAATCTTAAATTTACAACATAACTAATCGAAATTTTAAAAAGTTAGAACATCATTAAAAAATAAAAAAGTTTATTCACACCTGCAGTTTTTTCATTCAACATTAATTCAATGATATTTTATTATTATTTATTTAATAATATTCACTATAATAATCTAGATGTTACGCTTCCGGTCAAAATGTAAACATGCATTATTATTATATTGTTTTAATTTTTTTATTTTAACTATTAAACTTATTTTAACTGAAATCTATCTGGTATTAGATGTTGAAAAATTTTTCATAATTGAAAATAATTTACAACACGAGTTTCTGAACTAGAGAATTATTTGATTACTTTATAAGTTAATGTTATAGATAAATATATACAAGTAAGTTTTAATGAATTTATTTATTTTCAGAATATCAATTGGGATAGATTGGAAAGAAGATTACTTGAACCACCATTTAAACCTACTCTAGATCATACATTGGATACAAAATACTTTGATACCGCGTTCACGGCTGAAAGGCCTCGACTCACCCCAGTACCTGAACAGATTTTGTCTTCGATGGATCAAGGAGTTTTCCGAGGATTTTCTTACACAAATCCCAATGCTACTGACTGAACAAAACGAAGTGTAGAATAAAAAATAGGAATCTTATATAAGGAATAATATCGAACTGTGAACGAGCGTTCTGGTTTGTAGCTGAAAGATATTGAAGGACGTAAAGAGTGAAATGTCAAAAACGTTTCCAAGAACGTATGAAATTTTGATAAATACGTTTATAAGAGTTCATCGAAGCATTCTTCCAGTCAAAATGATTATTATGTAGATATATATTTATTTGGGTGATCAAAACCACCATCACACAGTGATTTAAATTTATCACAGGGGACTGACGCTTTGTAGGAATTATCAAGAGATTGATGAAAGTGTTTATGCGTCTTCAAAAGAGTTTTTATGTGTCTAAAGATAAAAAAAAATATTAATGAAGACTTAAATGTATAGTAATTTAAATGTTATTAAAAATAATTCAGTTGATTAATAGATTTAAATTTTTCATAATAAGAAAAAATCAATTATTGAATTTTTTCAAAAGTCTTTGCTAACTAATTTATTTTATGTATATTTAAATAAATTAATTGTTATTAATTAGTTGATTAATTTTTATTAATTTGAATAAATTATTAAAATAATTAATCGAATATTGTCGAGATTTTTGAAAAAATCTAATAAAATATTTAAAGAAACAAATTGTAGCGAAAATTAATGAAAATTCATTTTTTGATGAAATTTTAATTGATCAAATTAATAGAGGATTAATATTATATTTATATTTATTAATAAAATGTATTTAGAACAGAATGACACGAGTAAACGTTGTATAAAATAACAATTTATAAAGCAATTATTACTATGTTTTTAAAACAGATGGTGAGCACGTGCGGAACAGTCTTAAGTGGTATATAAAAAGCGATCGCTTTATAGGCGTTTATTTAAAATTAGAAAGACAAGCATCGACAGGTATATTTTCTTGCTTTGGCTATGTAACTCCATTAGATGAATCACTTTTTTACTAATTTTATAACAAACTTTATCAGCCCTTATTTTTATCAGTGAGTTCAAATAATTCTTTTGGTATCAAGTAAATGTAAAAATTAAACAATAATTCGTAAATCTTTAGACAAGTACGTGTTGAGTGTCATATTAACGAAAGTTGTGAGCCAATTTCGTCACGCTTAACCTGAGGAAGTGTACTTATGCACTTAATTACGAGCAATACGTTTCGCTCATTTCTCCTCTTCAGTTACATAAGATTATTTATAAACCTCCCTCATCAATGTACATATATACATGACCTCGATAGATAAAGATTACCAATTTTTTTCAGTCTTCTTTCATGTATCTTATTAAATTTTTTCCACTCGTTCTTCACATTTTAATTTTTTTATCTTTTCTTCATGAACTCTCATCTCTTCTTTCTACTCTTGATTTTTCTCGCCCCCTGAATACACTCAAGACAGCAGGCTTGTCTCACATTGGCTCCGCGCTGACTGCAAGCTAACTTTAGATCCCTCAAAGAATTGGCAAATGTCGGCTACGCTTGTCTGATGAACGCCAAGAGGAAAGTGACGAGATTTTTTTGTGGTTTAATTTTAATTTTTCAACTTTTTTTGAAAACAAGAAGGATCAATAGACAAAAATAGATACATAAACATAGGAATTAAGAGAAAAAAACTTTTCTAATCTTTCATTTACATCGGAAAAATTACTCCTTCAAGTTGAATGAACAGTCTTCTATATTCCAGAGTCTCAGAATATGATTCGTTGCTGATTAGTCACTAAAACCCAGCAAATGAGTACGCTTAAAAGTTTATGAGCCATAACTAAATCAATTGAGCACAGCAATGAAATGCTTTCAATTCTTGATCCATGATATTCTTCAAGCATGAGCAAAAAAACACAACTTTAATGTAGAAAGGAGATTACTGTAGGATTTACCAAGATAAAAAATATCGTGTTTTAATGCATAGACAAAATGTTGAAATCCTGAATCTATTTCCGTCCATGTCTTCCTCATATTGCGTCCAAAACCACTTTAGTGTCTCTTATATATCCAAATATACAATCTCTTTTCCTACTGGCCGCCTTCTGGTCTTTATAGTGTCTGCTGAAACACTTGGTAAAATAAAAGTGAGAGTTAGGGAGAATCAACCGGATGTGGTAATGTTAGAAAACAACTAAAAAATCAAAGAAACATGAAAAAGAAAGTTGGTGATTCCGCCAAAATCAATGTTAAACTTAAAAAAATACAAATAAAGAATAAAAAATGACTAAAAAAAGCAAAGTAAATGAATGATGATGATGATCTTTTTTTAATGAGTTTTAGTTGCAATTTTTATTTTTAAGAATGGTAGAGTAGATGATAAATTTTAAATTAATGGATCACTTGAATTTTATTACTTCACTTAAAATAAACTTGACTGAAAGTGAAATATTATAACAGTTGCTAATAAAAATTATCTAATGTTAAAACATCAGTTAAAAATTGGAACAATGTTTCTATCAAGACTTAAAAATTATATTAATATTTTTTAAATTCTTTTTTACTTGAATAATATAGTATATTACAGTAAATTTTTATAGATATTTTAAAAATTGATAAATAAAAAAATACACTAGATATCAGCGATCGGGTGGTAGAAACTACTTCAGAAAGATAAAAAATACACTTAATTATCATGTAAAGACTGAAAATGACTCCTTTTTAAAGGAAAATTAATGATCTATCAATTTTGACATAAATTGTAGCTTAAAGACTACCATAAATTCGAAAACAAATTCAAAAGTTCAAAGAGTTAAGTAAAATCGTAAGAAATAAGCATGCAAAAGTCCGGTCAATGGTCCCAGAATAGCCTTGCAACGGAAACTTATATTTTCTCAGTGGTTCTTTTAGTTTTATCTTCCTTGTTCTTCACTCTTTGATTAGATTTGCAGTAAGTTTCTTCGCGTAGGACGTGGTTTAAATGAGAAGTGCAAAAGAAAATCATCATCATTCGGACTTGGACGATGGTCTGGCAGGGCCGTAGCTCTCATCTTCGGTGTGCGGGTGTGAAGAATTATAAATAGATTGGTACGTCTCGACCAGTGATGCGTCCCTACGATGAAGGTTATTTTCGAGATTGGCTCTAGAAGAGAGTTGTTACGCTCTTCTTCATCTTGGGCGCAGCAGTCCCGCTGAGCTTCCAGACACGAGAACGTTACTGTGGTGACTTAAAGAATTAAAAATTAAACAAAGCTTGCCCACAAGTGAAACAAAAGTGTTATAGCTTATAAACTGTTGAATTACTCACATTTTATAATCATTTATTTTTTCTGCATGTCATCATTCATCATTTATTTCTTCAGCTGATTTATCTTTTCATGAAATATTTATTTTCGTGATTTATTTACCCACCGTTTTATTTTATTAACATGCAGTTCTTAGTTTTTTCCGGCACAAAGTGGAGTCAGTTCAGGATGGAGAATATTAATAAACTCATCTCAGACACAGACATGAAAATAATTCGATATTATTTTAATCATTAAATTAATTATTTATTTTAGAAGTCGTTCAAAAATTATTCATGTTAAAAATACCTTCGATGTTAAAATTCATGGACGAAAATGATTCTGTAAAGAATCAAACAAATTGCTAATTAGCAGTTTAATTGATGCCAAGGATGTTCAGTTCACTCAGACTTGGGACAATGCGTTCGCGCGACAAAAGTAGAGCTCGTCCTGGAAGTGTAGCAACAACAGCAAGTTCTGATTCAGCTCGTACCGATGACAATCTACAACCATCGCATTATGGATCACATAAATTTCTCGTTCTTGATGACATAGACTTGAACAACAGTGCTTTCCCAACAACAGGTGTATCATCTAAAGTAGCACAGGTGCGAGTAGAAAGAGAAGATGGTAGCCTTGGAGTGACTCTCCGTGGTGGTGTTTCACGGGCTTTAGTCGTTACTGGTGTTAAATCAGATGGACCTGCTGCAAGAGAAGGTCGAGTGAGACCTGGAGACCGGCTTTTAGCTGTCGACGACACTGAATTACGTGGTCTCAGCCTAGCAGACGCACAAAGAGTTCTTAGGAGAAGCTCCAATGCTCCAGTTGCTTCTCTTACTATTGAATATGATGTTGCTAATATGGAAGAAGCTAGAGCTGCTACATCTGGACCTCTTTTGGTTCAAGTTGAACGTGGTCTTTCTGGTAAATTTTCTAATACAATTATTTTTAAATTATTTTAAAATAAGATAATCCATTAATTTTCATTTAAAAGATTACATCTTTAGTTCGCAGAGTTTAATTATTATTGACAATAGTTTTTTTTTGATATTTGAGGAATTATTGATTCTTTCACATAACAAATCGTTATTGATATCTGTAATAAATTCTATTTTCTTCTTGGGTATTGGATGAAAAAAACATTTATTGACAATTGAATAGTGTTATCAGCTGTATCAAACTCTTATGAAGGTCTGGATAAGCTTAAATAATAACATAAATAATTGAGTAGTTGATGATTCCATAAGATTTTAGCAAAAGTAATTTTCATACAATATCATTAAGATTATTAAATCAGGTGATACAAGATCTTAGAATATCTCATGAAATAAGATATTATTTTTTATAGGAGTTTCAAAAAATAAATTGATATGATGCCTTCAAAATGATTGAGTCATTTTAATTTTTACAGTCATGGATAATAGTGTATATTATTTAAGAATTGATGCATACATGTGCAATAAAACTTGAATGAAAAGTTTTATTAAACAAAATTCGAATAAACGAACAAAGATGCAAGGGTTTTAATCCATAAATCATATTGCGAAGTAAATACGTTACATACTCTCAAGCCTGTTTATTATTCTATTTCCATAGAGATAATATAGTTCATGAATACTTACAGGGGAATTAGGTCTGACGGTAAGAGAGACTCCAAATGGTGTTTATATCGAGAGTCTCCGCCCAGCTAGCACTGCAGATCGTTGTGGAGCTCTTCAACCAGGCGATAGGCTTCTTGCTGTTGACGATACTCCAGTTCAAGATGCTGTTACTGCTGCCAAATTACTTAGGAATGTTTCTGATAACTGCAGAATTGCTCGACTGCAGATATTACCCAGACCTCCAAGTACTTCTTCAAGAACAGTTAAAAGAAGAGCACAACCACAAGCTCAATCTAATTCCAATCAAACTCTTTATACCAAAGAAAACATAACTGTGTTATTAAGACCTGATCATAGAGGTCTTGGACTTGCTCTTAGACTTGCTGATGATGGGGTTAATTATGTTGTTGATCTTCTTGAAGCTGGTGGTCCTGCTGAACGAAGTGGAGTTCTGTTACCCGGTGATAAAGTTGTTGCCATCAATCGAAGAATTCTACGTGATCTTCAACCTTCTGAAGTTGCAGCTATACTGGAATCTTCTCAGGTACTGATGACTTTTAAGTTGGTTTTAATATTCATTAGTAAAATACTTGTTATTAAAATCATAAATCGTTCGAAAAAATTGATAAGAATTTGAAACTAATGAAATTTCAAATTAATTTGGTTTTAATATACAAGAAAAATCTATCCTTTATCGAGGCTGAGATTGAAAAAATTTTGGTCGAAAAATACAACTCTGCCTAATGAAGTTGACTCAATTAGTTTAACCCCTGACAGATATACTCATTAAAAAATACGTAGCCCAAACTTGGTTCTAATTTAATGTTTCAACATGGTTTTTAACTTCAATGTTTTTTTTTATCCAAATTAATCACTTTAATAATATATTTATCTTACGCAGAATTATGTGAACTTTAAATTGACAAAAAAATCTTTCTAACTCTATTAAAAGTCGAGATATTTGAATTTATATAGTACTAAGTACTTTTTACTTTCATTGTCAAGAGGAAATAATGTTTAAATGTGTCTGTCAGGGGTTAAAATATAATGATCATGATTAAAATATAAAAACATATGATAAAAACATTAAAAACAAAATGGACATATAATTTTAAATCAATATTAAAATTTATAAAATCTCAAAAAGAGTTCGATGATTTTCGATGTTGTTTCGCCAGATGTGTACTTATTATCATTTTTTTGTTAATCTAAAAGTCATGAATTCTGAGCGATATAATAATAATTATTATTGAATTCTTTAACTATTGCAAGACATCTCAAGGCTTATTCTTCCAGTCTCTAAATCTCGTAACATTCGAGACTAATCTTATCGTCTTATTCTCTTCATGTATAAATACTTCAACTCCATTAACGACTGAAAATAAAGAACTTTTGTATAGAATAAACTTTGAAAGTTAAACTGACCTATCTTCAATTGTATTACGTTTATTTTTGTGATCAGGTTGAGCTAGTAATAGAATATAAAGTTGGTGGCCCTGTAGTACCAAGCTCTGGAGTTTTTACAGTACGAGTTGCACGACCTCTTGGAGGTCAACCTGATTTAGGGCTCACTGTTAATGAAGACTTGACAATTGCTGAAGTACGACGTGGATCTTTGGCTTACAGAACAGGAAGTTTGTCTCCTGGTGATCGACTTTTAGCTATTGATGGACAAAAATTAGATCCTGGTGATCTTCGACAAGCTGCTCAATTACTTCATCGCCCGGGTAGTTCAGTGGTTGCACTGACAGTAAGGAAACCAGATGTTACGAGTGACACGAGGTAAAATATTTGGACGCTCAATTTTTTTTCAAGGTTCACTACGATTCAATGTTTATGTAAATATTAAAAAAATGTATATTTTATACTAGTATTAAAGCAAATGTTGATTTGTTTGATTTCAATGATTTTAGAGAAACAAATGTAATTGGGAATCCAATACAAACACAATACCCGGAAGGAATCCTCAGATCTGCTCGAGAGAGTTTACCAAGTGTTGACAGTGCTGTAGACTCTTGGGGTGAACTTGGAGAAGTTGGAACAGTACCAGAAATAATTAGACTTTGGGATACAGCTTCTATTGACAGTGGTCAATTAGATCTTCCAATGACTCCGTATCCAAGGTACAGATAATATAAATTGATTAAAGTAAGAACAGTTTGTTGATGTAATTTAATTTTACTCTTTGTGAGAAAAACATTAAAATCATTGAAGTAATAGATAACTACGTTAAAGTTGCAATACAAATCGAAGTAGCTATTTTTGATCACTATTATAATTTCATTAATTTTTTCAGCTCTCAAGATCGGAATCCACTAGATAACAGAGGAGCTCAACAAATAGTGCACATTTCCCTTCATAAAGATCCTGTTTATGAAGACTTTGGTTTCTCTGTATCTGATGGGTTATATGAAAGAGGTGTTTACATAAATCGTTTAAGACCTGGAGGACCATGTGATGGTGTTTTAAAACCTTACGATCGCATTTTAAGAGTTAACGACACCAGTACAGAGGACTGCGACTGTTGTTTAGCAGTCCCATTAATTGCAGCTGCAGGAGCCCGTTTGGATCTTACAGTAGCAAGACCTATATCTCCTGAGAATGTTACAAAAAATTTATAACTAGTTATTTATTATCTCACAGTCCAGCGCCTCTTGTTTAGATTGATCTAATTTTAAATAATTAAATAATTATTTAATTAATCAAAAAATAATCAACATCAATTTGGTAATTTTATAATACTTTTTTTAAACGACATACAAATTAAACAACTCCCAATATATCTTATTAATATTTTTGTACGCATGCGTTTATTTATAAAAATAAATATCCTATAGTTTGCTTTTTTATTTATCTATCTTATCCACGGTAATACACATACTTTTTTTTAAACAAATATTGTCTAAACTTAAATTTATCTACGTAATTTATGTGAGTTTTATATCTTTATATAATTTTTATATTATAATCATATCGACATTCTTGTACAGTGATATAAAGAGTACTCGAATTGTCTCAATCTATGTTGTTTGCACTTTCGTTTTCATGATCAGCTACGAAAATAGAGGTCCAACCTTTTTTATCCATGGATTGGCACATATCTACAAATTTAAGTTGTAAATAATAAATTGTCAGTCTAAAAGCTGGTCACTACGTCGACTAAGGTATTCGGCACAAAACTGAAATTTTGGCGTAGTTTATTTAATGGTACTAAAATAGAAAAAACCACTTTTATAAAAACCTTTATTTATTACCTATCACTTTCGAAATTTTTATAGATTAATCTTTAAATTCGCTTAATGATCGAACAACCTTAATTAGTTTTATTTCAAAAAAAAAAAATTGGCAAATGTTCACGGTTACAAATTGTTACACGACGGACGATCATCTGTCCCTATCACAAAAAAGGCAACCGACATTAGCCTTCGTGAATAACTTGGTACTAATTCCTCCTACGGGAGATACATGTTTTTGCAGTACTTGCAACATCTAAGAAGGATAATACAGGGGATCTGAAGTCACTACGTGTCATGGCCTTCGTTGCTGACCGGTATCCACTTCATGAACCATTTAACTTCTGCCGTGGTGGCGAGATCAACATCGAGAGACGGGGCTCGTGCACGCATGCCGGCACCCCAACAGTCCGGGCCGCCACGTGGGAAAGAAGTCTTCAATTATTCAGCACTAGCCTGTCGACAGTCAAACAGACAGTTCACTTACCTATCTGCTACGTGTATCGCTAAACAAAGAATCTAATACCGAGTTCTAAGATACATTCAACAGCTTCTATAGCAGCGGAATCGTAACTGAACTGCTTGTGGATGCTGGCTGTTATTCTATTTGATTAATTAATAATTCTCATTGATATTCCAATCGTTATTACCATTCGAATTGTTACATTTCATCGGTCGGATCTACGTGCTAATAGAACGAGTAATAAGACAGGCAAGGTAAGTCATATTTGAATACCTATTGTTATTCAAAATATTCATCAGTTACTTAGTCGCACACCCTATTCACAAGACAACATTCATCAAAGCCATTACAAAATCTCTCAATGATGTTATAAAAGAACTGGAGTTCAATTAGAACTACTGCTTGAAAAAATGATACCTTTCATATTTATGCTGAAAATCGGACTTTTTTTTTATTTTGATAAAATAAAATCATCTTTTGTTATTTCCTTTAAATCCTGCTAAGAAAAATATCAATTGAATAATTTCATTAATTGTTAAAAATTAGTTTTTCAGATTTGGGTTGGCCATATGTAAAACGAGTAAGAGAGTTGGAGGTATGAAAAGCAATCTGTCAAATCACTTTAGATTTTTAATCTCGGATATTTTCCTTATTCTTCAACCACCTCATTTCGTTTCATTCCATAGATTGGTGTTCATAAATTATATTGTTAAGAGAATAAAAAAAAATCAATAAATGTAGAAATGGAATCTACGAACCCATTACTACCGGAAATCCCATTAATATCGATATTTTCCTTTCTTGGCGCTTTAACCTGGGTAGAACTAATAATATAAGTCAAATTTTTAAATAACCGGAAGATAAATATTTCAGGAAAGATTTCTGCAGTTACATCACAAAAAAGTTTTTATTAAAGAAATTATTATTCTTCCGAATATTTATTAATAAAAATAAGATGTAAATTTTGCTTCATTATCGTTTTTTATTAATGATATATTATATATTATTTATGATAATATCTAAGATTACACCATTTATTTCGACATTACAAAAAAACATCTTCAGTAAAAATAATTTTTTTTAAACTCTTTTATTTTTCTTCAATCAATCAGTAACCTTTACTTTTTTACGACGCTTTCGTTTTTTTCGATCGTGGTGGAGTTCTTGCTTTTTTGCAATGCATAAACGGCAATACCAATCTTCATTAGTAGCGGGTGGAACTTGCATGCCAACGCATACCCTGTAATGTTCATAGAAAATTATTTTAAGATTAAATGTATTATAATATGTACTGTTCATTAGTTAACAGCAATTAATGTTAAAATTCGTTCTGATATTGTCTTTTATGTTTTTTAAATTTCCCAGATACGAAATATCACTCATGGTACTAAAGATTTTTTCCCTCTTTTTTTTCATTTTTTGATTCTGCAAAAAAATAAATTAACGGATTTTGCTGACAACCTAATCAATTTTAAATTGCGTAATTGTACGTCGAATGCAATCTCAAAATAATCGAGACGAAAAAAAATTTCAAAGGCATGTAAGAACATACACATACACACAGACGTTCACTTAAAAACTTTTGCATTCAACTCTAGGAACCTTGAAATATGAAGATATCTCAACATTTAGGATTTAGGAAAGTTAATTATCGCTGTAAATAATTTTTCTATTCATCTAGGATACTGATGGAAAAAAAATCTGTATGAATTGCGTTTATTCACCCCAAGCTATTTTTGCAAAAATGTACTATAATTGGGAAGTATGTAAAAGAGTACTGAATACGAAAATTAAAAAAAATTATGAGATAAAGATTTCAAAATAAAGATGCTAAATATCTGACAAAAGAATAAAAAAGATAGATATTTACCAATGATACCAGGCATCACAATCATCGCATCCAATCATAGGAGATCCATCATCTTGATTTCCACATGCAGGACAAATCCACACCTGATGACCACTTTGATCCTGTGGAATAAAAAATAATTATCTATCAATTCATCAATCCCCTGTTTTTAATATTATTTACTATTATTAATTATGTATAATTCAACCCTGCTATAATAGAATTGAGCAATTATAATAAAAATACCGTATTAAGTAACATTTAAAATTACAATAATTTTACAGACAGGCGAAGTAATTCTATAAAATTTATGAATTTCTCAGTTTTTTTTTTTAAATTTTAAAATTTGTAACTAATGTAAGTTATAGCTTGATCCCTTATTGTTAGTCCAGTCAAGTGAGACCTGAAATGGCAATTTTTCAACCTCGGTCAAACTTGGCTGGAATATTCCTAGGCATGCTAGATTTCAGTAGGGATAGGGAAGTTTTTAGGGGGTTGCAAACTCAGCGTCAAAGTTAAAAAGGGGTAAAATTGCTCCAAAAGCCCTTTTTTAACGAAAACTATAACAGATATCGAAAAATGTTTCAGACAAAAATTGTAGATAATATGAAAATGAGTAGTGTACATTTATATTCACATACTGACATCAACTTAAAACTTATATGATTAACCAGTACCAATATGCAAGATTTACCAGTCCATTTAATTTTTTTCTTTTGCCCTGATTATTTGAAAAGAGCTATCAAGACTCGAATTTTTCTTGGAGATTTAGTAAAGTACATTTGATTTTATTATTTAAAACAACTAAAAATATTTTAGCAAGCAAAAAGAAATTACCACAACAGTCGAAACTACATTATATGGATTTCTGTCCGCAACATCTCGTTCTTCTTTTCCATCACTCTTTTTTGTCGTTTGTTCAGTTTTGATTTCTGAAAATAATAATTAAACATTGTAAAAATATTCAAGTTAAATAAATTAATCATAGGAGTATATATATATTCATTTATTCTAGATAATCCAGTTCAATAGTACCCAGTCTAGCAATTACGAGAAGTTACGCTAAATTAGCGAACAAGGTCACCTTCATATTATATATAATTTTCGTTAAATTATTGTGTTATTTATGGCTAAGTTAAGTGCATCGATTATTTATCATAGCAACTTCTATGATTTTGTAATAAACTTCATACTATACTTTTATAGTGTTAAAACAAATAGAATCGCATTTGAAAATTTTTGAGAAAACCAGTCGAAAACTCACAAAACTAGACTTCAGCCAAAATTTGTAAAATCATTTATAATCCAGAAACAACAAGCTTATAAGTAACCAGATAATCGTACACTAAATGTGAATAACAATTATGAAAATTTTAATTTTTAAAATTTGGAATGATCCAGAATCATCTGAATGATGTGTATCAGATATTACTAGAAAAAGTCAAAATAACAAGAAAATCTGAAACTCTTTATTCCCTTAGTAAAAAAAACTTCAAACACAATATCAAAAATTTTTATTTATTGATATTGACTTGAAAGATTTCATTTGAAAAATAATACAATGAAAAAAATCTGGAAGGAATTTAAATAAATTCAGTACAGTTGTTTATTTTAATAACGAAAAGATTGTAAAATAACTTAAAAAGATATTTGAAAGAGATTCTACTTATTAAATGATCAGAATTGTTAAAAATTAAATCGATATTGAGAAAATATTATTGTTGATGACTATATGTAGTCCAGTCAATATGCAATCGTAATTTAACTTTGAACAATTACGTATTGTTCATGATTTTGATTTCTTAACAATTTAAATTTAAAATTGTAACAAAAAATACACTTTGTAGAAATAAACGATTAATGAAAATGAAAAATTCGTCATTAGGGCACAAAGTATGCCCGGACCCATTTTCAATTGTGATTCTTGACATTCAAATAAAATAAAAATACAAACTTGGTTAATTTATGTGTATTATTCTAAAAAATAGCGTTTTCCATCATATTAAAAATTTTAATTAATTAATTAATGTTATCACATTTTTCACTTACACTATATTCATCCTGATTATAAAAATAATTTTATTTAATACCTAAGATGCATTGTAACCTTCGTTTTCCTATTCTAACCCAATATAACAAGAACATTTACCTTGTAAAAGTATGAGATTCTCAAATACTTTATGATTTATCAAGATTCTAAACATAATTAAAATTCTATATTTTTGACCTTTGAGAGATATTGCTCCCACCACTATTCAAGTATTTAGAAGGTGAAAATAGGATTTTTGTTTTTATCGCATTAACAATACAAGACACGCCGTTTGAGATAGTAATTAAATATGTAAAACATACAACTCTCTTTATTTTTTTCTAATTAATAGTTTCAGAGTTAAGAGTGAGTGTCGGAAATGCAGAAAGTAAAATATAAATTTATAGAAAATCGCCTAATTAACAAACTAAGCCAAGATAGAAATTTTCACAATAAATAAGTTCTGAGACATTAATCTCAAGCTCAAAGGTAATTGTCCATTAAAAAACATACGTACTCATTTTTGATTATATATAAATTTAATAATATGAAAAATTAAATCGTTTTAAAAGTATTTAAAATTATTATTAGACTGAATTATAATTTAAAATATATAATAAGCTGAAATATGTACAATTCGTGTTAAAAATCAAGAAATGATATTCGTAAAAAAATTTTGTTCAAATTCAGGCAGTTAGTGATTTGTATATCCTCACTACAATCATCAGTACAATAAAAGAAATTAGATACTACTTACTATAATTTTTTTGTTTCGGCGGTCTGGTAATTAAGGCAGATATTTTGGCTAACTCTGGACTGGATTCTCTTCTAGTCATTTCTTCCAGTTTTTTGGGAAGAGGTTTTATTGTACTGAAACAAATTGAAGATAAAAACAAAATTTGCAAAATCATCAATAAGTAAAAGTAGACATTTTATAATTTATCGCTACATAAAATATAAAATAATAAAAATAAAAAAAACAACAAATTGCAGTATAGATAGAACTAAGACCTATGGCCGTCATTTTCTAGTTAAAAATATACAACTGTTATAAGATAACAAAACGCTCATTCTCTACATAATAAATTAGAATAAATTATTCACTCACATTTTTTTCATGGGTGGATTTTCAGGTGGAGACGATTTTGAAGAACTTCCGAGTTTGAATGTTATCCTCGGTAAAATTTCAATCATTTTATTCTGCTTCTGGAAAAAAAGAGATATTACAAAAAACTCATAAGATATTAAATACTTCATTATAATGTACAATACTTACATCTTTTTCTTTCTTTTTGTCTTTCCGTTCTTTTTTCTCTTTGATTCTTTCCAACTTTTCTCTCTTCTCTTTCGTTTTTTCAGTTTTGTCTTTATGCTTTTCTTTTTTATCTTTCTTCTTCTTAAATTTATCTTTTTTCTCTATTTTATGTTTCTTCGATTTCTAAAAAACAAATATACACATGCATAAATATTTGTTAATACAAATTCTTGCAAAAACAAAAAATTACCGTAAATAAAATATCATTATAATGAATAGCTATTGTTTTAACTCTAAAAATTCACAATATTATTTCAGATATCAATAACTTAGTGATAATAAATCTATTATAAAAAATATTCATATACATGTCTAAACTTCACAGATATTGTATGCCTGTTTTTTGTTTAAAATCAATGATAAAAAAACGAATAAGCAATATTTGTTCAGTTATAAAAAAATAACGCTACGAATTTTTAGATTTACCTAAATTTCATTATTTCTAGAATAAAATGAATATCAAGACAACTTTTTAAAAAAAATATTATAATAATCGCAATTATACCTTTTCAATTTTGTCAAGTTTCATTTTATCAGATGTTACAGATGACGATGATGTATTCGATAAGAATAAATTGTTATGATCAACTAGCGATTCTATATTCTTTGGCAAGAATGAATCATTTGTATCCATTGTGTTAATTTTTTCTGTATTCATTTTGATTGATTCTTCAAAAGAATCAATTGATTGCTTGTTTTGAGTTGAAATAGATGGTTCACAATTAGAAGATTTTAATTTTGGTCCAGAAAAATTATCAGCTCTTTCATTTGAAGGCAAAAATGGTGATAAAGGAGATGGATTTTGATTCATTAATGATAAAGTAGAATGATTTCGACTTGACGGAAGTGGAAATCGTTGAAACATAGGATGATTGATAGGAGGTGGAATAAGACCAGGCGTTGGAGGAAAAGGTGAAAAAAATGGAAAAGGTAATACTGTTGGAGCGCTTGAATCTTTTTGCAGTATATTTTCTACAGCTTCTGGTGTCTTAGGTCGTTCCAACATTTCTGAACTGACAGCATCATTTGTTTTGTTCTGAAAAAAATAATTATTTTCAGGCAATCTTTTCTATCTTTTGTTCAAAGTACAGTAAATTATTAAACAATAAAATTACCTTGTGAATTTCACGAGAATTAAGATGTTTAATATTTTCCTTTTTTTTATTATTTCTATCTTTCCTTTTCTTTTTCTGTTCTGTAATTCCCGGTACACTCATTTCAGGCGTTTTAGGTGTACTCGGGGTACCTGGTGAAGATATATCGTCGAACAAATACACATCTGACGAAGGACTTTGAAATTCGACTAATTCAATATCTCCAAAAACATTAACATCAGGTGTTTGTGGAGTATTAGCATTTTCTTCTTCATATCGCTTTTCTTGAATATTTTTATCAACATCAATATTTGATAAGTCTGAAGAAATTTCATGTGAGTTTTTCATTTTATTACTTTCTGGATGATCAATTAATTTTTCTTCTCTAGGTTTTGAAATTTTTTTTAAGATATTTATTTTCTGCTTATCTGGTTCAACAGGTAATTTTCCAACATTATTGTCTATTTCTCGAGATGTATCCGATAAAACGTGTAAATTTTTTCTTTTAGGAGATAAGTTTTTCACTAATTTTGTAGCAGGATCTTCTTTACTGCTAAATGTTTGTGCAGTTGATAAACTAGTAGACATGAAAGGATCAAGTGTAACTGATGTAACAGGTTTCAAAGTTTCAGATTTTATTAATTCCTTTGATCCTCCCAATTTTTTATTTACTTTTTTATCAAACACATTTTCGAATTTAATCAACTCTTTTTCACGGTTTTTCTTTTTATTTTCTTTGTCGAATTTTTTGTCATCTATATTTTTTTTCACATTCTTTCTAATTTTTTTATCACTTTTAGAATCACAAATGATCACATCTGAATCTGCAGGTGGTGAAGTGTTGCGAGCTTGTACTGGAGTACGTGATTCTGGAAGTTTTCCTTCACGAGCAGGTGATAGAAATCCAGAAGTAGTCATCATAACACTATGAATTTCACGTAAAGGTCTACTATCATCAATCATTTTAATCCGTTTATTTATATTATAACTGTCACTTGAAGGATCATGTGGCCGCTTAAAAACCAGTTCTGTAGGTAACTGAGCAAGTACAGAATTAATTGGATTTTCATCAGATTCTTCTAGTTGCGACTGATCCAAATATTCGCTTTGACTCAAACGATTATTTTCTATTGCAAGTACACCTGAAAGTCAAGAATTAATTTTTGTTTGATAATTATTCGATGGTTTGATTGTGTTGATAATGTCGGTTTGTATAATATACCTCCATTTTTAAAGAGCATAGGGGGTAAATGCTCCGGTATATGAACTGCTCTAGTCACAACTTCATTACTACCAGGTTTCAAAAAATTTAAATGATTCTCTCGAAAAATCGGGAGTTTTGGTATTTTCAACGCACATGGAACAGACTCAACATTTCTAACATATTCTAACAATTCTGATAAATTAATATTCATCACTTGAAAAGAAAATCCAACATCATCAAGATTAACCTCTGTACGGCCCACTGTAAATAATGTAAATAATGAGGGAATATTAATACATAATACGAGTGAATAATTATTTAACTTAAACATACTCTATCTAGTTTTTTCGATTTCGATTAAACATGTCAAATGAAGACTTTAAAAAAAATATAAACTTACGCGTTTCTGAAAACTGATGTGAAAAATGAGAAACATGCTGAATATATTCTTGTAGTAAATCAATCATAAATTCTAAAGGAGTTAAGTTAACTGAATGCCAACCAATTGTTTGACATATTTGAGCTACAGCAACTCTCAATATTGCTCGTGAATACTCTTCCATTTCTCAATCCTGTAAAAAATTAAAAAATCAGATTTGGTTCTTCTAAAATAATTGTACTATAAACTTTTTTAAATGCTTAGCAAAATTCAATACATTCATTTACATTCAATGTACAAATACATTATTTAAAAAATTAATTGGAATCAAAGAATTGAAAATGATCAAAAAAGTAGTAACACTGATCAGTTTGAATCTCAGATCAAGTACATCAATGTTTTAAATTAACATACTATTAGCTTGAATAAAAACAAAATATTTTCAACTTGTTCATTTTAAGGAAATTCACCATTTCACTTATAACTTTTTAAATATTTACAACGTAATATGTAAAAATTCTGATTTTTTAAACGATTTGGAATAAAAATATTTTTAATGCTGATATCTTATTGAAAATAGTACATAAATTTAGAAATTATAAAAATTTGATATACTATAATACAAATTATTATATTATAAGTTGATGCTATGAGTCGTTAATAAATTATATCTTCGTATAATTGAAATATCCTTAATATAATATGAATATAGTTAATTGCTTTAAAATCATTAACGTAAGTACTCCAAAATCCATTACTTACCTTATTTTTTGCAGTTTTTATTGTAATAGAAACATTGATGTTTGTTTTTAGAGAAAATTATGATATATATTGTTTCTAATTCAGTGTTATCTTTGAAAACTAATTCATAGTTTTCAATTGAAAATTATTTGTAAAAACAAAGTTTTTATATTTTTATGTTATTGATGAGATCATTATTGGACATTTTACCCTCACTGAGTAATAAATACATACTTTACTCCAAAAAAATCAAAATTTACAATAAGACGTGCTTCTGACGTCTATAGATCTATCAATTCTGTTCAACAACAATACAACTCAATATTCTTCAGTTACAAGTCATGTACTATATACTATCTATAGATAACAAATAACTCGAAGTTCCGTTAACAGCCACCATAAGCGCGGTTGTATAATTCCGAAGCAATTCACAGATAAGTGATGACGCAACAAAGCATTACTAGGTTAGTATTACTATCATAATCTAGTATAGCCGGACTGAGAAGAGAGTTCCTTAGATGCTCTTCATGTGTTCTTGTACGCATGCGCAGTAGTAAAAAACATGGTAGAAGGGGTAGAAAATCAGTAGTGGGGAGTCCGAAAGCATTGAAGCAACTGAAGAACTCTTTTCTTAGTTCGACTATATTAGTCTACAAAGATCATTGAACATCTAATTTTGTTAATCCTAGGATATTGAAGAATAATATTAAATTATTATTCCTTTACTATTATTGATGTCCTATGTGGTTGTGGTAATGAAAAAGAAGTGAGTCGCAGTGTGGTGAATTAAATAAACGTTTATTATTATTTATTACATTATTAAAAATGTAATTGTAGATAAAATAATAAAAAGTAAAATTGACATTACCACGTTCACAATTATTAGTAAACTTTTATTATTTTTAAGAGCATCATTATTATCTGGCCACAATTAAAAAAAAAAGTATTATTATTTATTTATGAATAATTCAATAATTAAAAATATATTATTAAATATAAATTATAATTGATTCGTAAAGACAAAAGTGTCTTTTTTTTATTTATTATATAGAAAAAATGAAACCAACAACAATCCGACAAGTATAGCAGGATTGATGAGTATGATTTGTGAAGTGTTACAATCATTGTTCAATGAGATAGAATTTAAATGAGAAAAAACATTCTCCACTCGTAACTTCTTTAACTCTTTTTCTTCAGTGTCCTCAATTTTCTTTCTCCTTTTCCTTGTTCCTCTTATTGGTTTATTGTTATTTCCCCATTGTATAGGGAACTGATTCTCATTTGAATTTCTCTGTCTCTGAAACATTTTTTATAAAGTTAGATAAAAATAGAGACCTAAAAGCATTTGACAAGAGGTCAGAGATTAGAATAAGCTAAATAAAATTATAATAGACGTAATTTATTATAGAATAATGCAGTATAATGTTACTATACCTATAACCGATCCCATTCTAAGAGTTCATAAAGTGGTAATGATTCTTTTGCTGAAAAATTTGAACTTAATAGAATAACTTTCAAATTTTATATTATATTTTTATAATAGAATCAGATGTAAATTATCGAATTATAGAGTTCTTTAATTTCAGAGTACCTTGTTTGCATTGTCTGATCACAGATTCTGGTAATGTCCTCAGACGATCCATGGGAACCAGTGTAGTAACATAAGACTCTACTGCAAAAGTCAAAAGTTTTAATTTTTTAATAACATATAAAAGATTTTTTGTCAAACAAATATCTTCAAGCCTTTCTTTAATAAAAACGTCAAATATTGTCAGGTGCAAAACAATAAACTTGACATGATCTCTTTACAAGTCTCTACAAGATCATATTGTTGATTAACTCCATTATTTTGAATTATTATACACGTAAAAAAAGTTATCAAAGCAAACATTAATTACTTACTATTTTTTAGTATTTTATGTAAACTTTCTTTTTTTAAAAAGATTCTCTCTTAAATTATTCTTTTCATAACTTTGACAATGTTTATTTAGCCATATCAGCGGCTATTATTCAAATAATACTTACGAGAGTGGGGACAAACTACTATAGTTTGACTACATTGGGTTTTAACTATACATATATACGCCGAGGTCAATTGTATTTTTCGAGGTGCTTTTTTCTTCTTAGTTTACAATAGAATTCTTGATACACAAATATCAAAGATAAACATATTTTTAATAATAATATCGAATATTTTTTTTATTCGAATGATTTCAATAAATTGGATAAAAAATGGCAGATTTTGAAATAGATGTTTTCAATGCATTTGATCAAACTGACGATAAAAATACAGAAAACGTGACAACTCCAAAAGAGTTTTCTGAAGATACATCACATGAGAGGTAAAGCTAGTTTCTTTTTCTTATTCTTTAAATATTAAAAATTTAATTAAAATATTAAATTACAAAATTTCGTTTTCGATAGTATTGTTAGTTACATAAATTATTAAATATCAATGATTGCTCATACTCAAACTTTGTCAAAGTTTTATAATTAACCTCAAAATAAGAAAACTTTAGAAAAATATGATTTCAACAAATAAGAATGTTTCCTTCAGTATAAGTTATATATAAAAGACTTGAGAATTCACTGGAAATTGATTAATGATTTTAATTTGAAGACAGATTAGGTGAGTTCATAATGAAAAATACTGATATTCAGTTTTAATTTTAGTAGCGTGGGAGTAAAATTAACTCAAGTTATCTTTCTAAGGTTGAATAGTTGTTATTACAAATATTACAAAGTTTTGAATTATTCTGATTTTTTTATTATTATTCCCATCAATATACATATCCATTATCAATATTAATTTTATTAATTTATGGTAATATGATTTTTACAGATTGATTGATCTCCAACTTAATTCAAAACGTCTCTGCGAAGAAAACATCGATAATGTATATAAAAAACAAAAAACCAATGCAATTTTGGATGACATTAAGTATGAAATGATTGTATATTGAACGTATGGTTTTCTATTTAATCATTGAAAAATTTTATTTTTCAGCCTAGATGAATTAATTACTCAAATAAAAATTCATAAGATTGAAACAATTGAATCATGTACTCATGAAGTAGCTGTTCCGCCAAATCATGAATATGTACCTTTAGATAACAAAATAACACAGCCTGCAAAGGCATACAAGTTCGTTTTAGATCCATTTCAAAAGGAAGCTATTTTATGTATTGAAAACAATCAGTCTGTTTTAGTATCAGCGCATACTTCAGCTGGAAAAACAGTAGTTGCTGAGTAAGTATTATTTTTTTCTTTCTGCTGACACGCTTGTCGATGATATTTAGATTTTAATATTATTTCAACGTGTAATTGAACAGATATGCCATTGCGTGTTCACTCAGAAACAAACAAAGAGTTATCTACACAACGCCTATAAAAGCTTTGAGTAATCAAAAATATCGTGAATTTTTTGAAGAATTCAAAGATGTAGGATTAATTACTGGAGATGTTACCATCAATCCAACAGCAAGTGTATTAATTATGACAACAGAAATATTAAGAAATATGTTATACAGAGGTTCAGAGGTAATGCGAGAAGTTGGTTGGGTAATTTTTGATGAAATTCATTACATGCGAGATAAAGAACGAGGAGTTGTTTGGGAAGAGACTCTGATATTACTTCCAGATAATGTTCATTATGTTTTTTTGTCTGCTACAATTCCGAATGCTCGTCAGTTTGTCGAATGGGTCGCTCATTTACATCATCAACCATGTCATGTTGTTTATACTGATTATAGACCTACACCATTACAACATTACATATTCCCTGCCGGTGGTGACGGTATTCATTTAGTTGTTAATGAAGATGGTGTTTTTAAAGAAGACAATTTTAACAGAGCTATGATTTACCTACAACAACAAGGGGATAGTGCGAAAGGTGATATGAAAGGACGTAAAGGTGGCATCCGTGGAACGGTTCCCTCACAATCAAATATTTTTAAAATTGTTAAAATGATAATGGAAAGAAATTTTGCACCAGTTATAATATTCAGTTTTTCAAAAAAAGACTGCGAAATATACGCTATGCAAATGGCTCAACTTGATTTTAATACTTCCCAAGAAAAACAACTTATTGATGAAGTCTTCAAAAATGCTATGGATGTGTTGAGTGAAGAAGATCGGAAGTTACCACAAGTAGAAAATGTTCTTCCTTTATTGAAAAGAGGTATTGGCATTCATCATGGTGGGTTACTTCCTATTTTAAAAGAAACTGTCGAAATATTATTCAGTGAAGGTTTAATAAAAGCATTATTTGCAACGGAAACATTCGCAATGGGTTTGAATATGCCTGCTAGAACTGTATTATTTACTACTCCAAGAAAATTTGATGGTAAAGATTTCAGGTGGATCACATCTGGTGAATATATACAAATGTCTGGACGTGCTGGTAGAAGAGGATTAGATGAAAAGGGTATTGTTATTTTAATGATTGATGAAAAAGTAAGTCCTTCTGTAGGCAAAGAAATAATTCAAGGAAAAGCGGATCCAATTAATTCAGCTTTCCATTTAACATATAACATGGTTCTTAATCTTTTAAGAGTGGAAGAAATTAATCCAGAATACATGTTAGAAAGAAGTTTTTATCAATTTCAAAATCAGGCAACTATTCCCATTCTATATAATAAAGTAAAAGAACTTCAACAATCATTTGATTCTATTCATATAGACAATTATGATTGTATAGCCTCTTACCATGAAATCCGACAGCAACTTGATAGACTAGGAGTAGAGTATCGTAATTATTTAACAAAACCAGAATATCTTATACCATTTTTACAACCAGGAAGATTAGTTAAGATAAAAAACGAGAATGACTGTTTTGATTGGGGAATAATCGTCAACTTTAAAAAAAAAAATTCAAAACATCCTAAAGAAAATAGTGCTGTGATAGTTGATGTATTACTTCATATTTCGAAGCAATCAACTGAAAATGCTCCTACTGCTTGTCATAACGATGAAGATGGTGAAATTGAAGTTGTGCCTGTATTACATACACTTATTTATCAAATCAGTTCACTAAGAATTTACTACCCTAAAGATTTACGTCCTCTAGACAATCGAAAAAGCGTTTTAAAAACGATTCAAGAAGTTAAAAAACGTTTTCCAGACGGTCCACCATTGCTTAATCCTGTTACAGATATGAAAATTGAAGAAGCTGAATTCAAAGATATTGTTAATCAAATAAAAAATTTAGAAGAAAGGCTATTCACTCATTCATTTCATCAAGATCCAAATCTAAAGGAATTATACAATATATTTTTAAATAAAGAAGAAACAGGAATTCAATTAAAACAAGCTAAATCAGATCTAAAAAAAGCGAAGTCTATATTAAAAATGGATGAACTTAAATCTCGAAAACGAGTGTTACGAAGATTGGCATATTGCACAGGTGCAGATGTCATAGAACTAAAAGGACGTGTAGCATGTGAATTAAATGGAGCTGATGAATTACTATTGACCGAAATGATTTTTAATGGATTATTTAGAGAATTAAATGTTCCACAAATGACTGCTTTATTAAGTTGTTTTGTGTGTGATGAAAAATCAAATGAAATGCCAAAATTAGTTTCTGAGTTGAATGGACCTTTAAAACAAATGCAAGACTTAGCTCGAAAAATTGCTAAGATATCATTAGAAGCCAATTTAGAGCTTGATGAAGATTCTTATGTTGAGAAGTTTAAACCATATTTGATGGATGTAGTTTATTCTTGGTGTAAAGGGGCTAGTTTCTTACAAATATGTAAAATGACGGATATTTACGAAGGTAAATCATTATTGATATTATAATAAAAGTTTGAAAAAAGTTAACTTTTTCTCTAATTCGACTATATATTAATTGTATTAATATCTTTGAAATTTTTAGGTTCTATTATTCGATGTATGCGTCGTTTAGAAGAAATTTTACGACAATTAAGCCAAGCTGCAAAAAATATTGGGAATACAGATTTAGAAAATAAATTTAGTGAAGCTATAAAAATATTGAAACGAGACATCGTTTTTGCGGCTTCTTTATACTTATGAGAAATCAAATAAAATAGTTATTTAAAAAAAAAAAAATATTTCTTGATTTATGTACATTAACAGGTGTAAACATATCAAATGAGCCAAAGAAATACTCTCCTCACGCCGTTTAATCTATAGTAGGGATATGTGATTTATATGATATTTGAAAGAGAAATAATAAGGTCATTTTGAATAGTTCTGTAATATGCAAATCTGGTTTTATTACCTGCTTTGTTTAAAAGATCAAAAGCTTGGTGTGACAATTATGTTTCCATAAAAACTTTTAGAATACATTACCTCTTTGAAAAACATAAAAGTCGATTATTTGTATCTGAGAACTACACCAAGTTTTCGATAGTTAATAAAAAACGTAGTTAAAATAATTACATTTGTTCATATCCCTAAATCTTTAATTCAATTTTCTTTTTATTTATGTATATTTTTTTATATTCGATTTCATCTTTTATTGATCTTTTCTTCAACGATCTTTAAGATATTTAAAAAAAAATTAAGTTATAGCTAATTTTTAAATGTACATAATTGATTAACAATGATTTAGATATTTTTTTAATAAAATATTTTTATAAAAGTAGCATATTTTGCTCGAAAATAGCCTGTTAATAGGTTGAAATAATTTATAATGAAAATTTCAAATGAAATGATCAAAAATATTCTTTTGAAATAACCAAAATACATTTTGTTTAATAGATAGTCTATTCAAAGAAAACAAAAACTCAAATACAGCCTAATTGTTTTGATTTAATTTCCATAATAATAAATTATACTCAGATTTGGAATGTCATGAATTGCTTTTAGTTGTTTTAAATCTTCATGTATAAAATAAATTGTAATTATTATTGTAAAAGAAAAATCTTGGTTTAATTAAGTAAATTCCATTTTTGAATATTCCCGCACATTAAATTGGTGCATAAACCCGGTGCATAAGTGAGAGGAAACAATCATTTCTGGGCAGAACGCCTATATTTTATATCACATTCTCATTGTTATTAATATAGCCACTATCCTTAATAATTATTTCGAATTTCTGCTACTAGTAAACGAAAAATCAGAAGACAGTTCACCATAATCGTCAGTTTGTCTACTCCAAGTTAGAAGAAAGCCGCCTGAGTCATTCTTTTTTCAGTGTGACTATAGTATATTATTTGTATGGATCTATCTATTAAACTTTAAATTACCAAGTTGTGTTCTTATAACAGATTAAAAATATAAAAAAATTTTAATGAGTATTTTTGCATAATTGCTCGCCTCTAATTGATTAGTACATCATTCCGCCATTTTCGAGATAACACACGCAAAGAAACTGTACATATGAATTCAGTTTTTCTACGGGCTTTATATATTTGATTTAACGGTATTTAAGTTAGTTTTTCTATTACTTATAGATTGTTTATGAATTATCATCAAATATAATTTCAATTTAAATGTTACGCATTCATGTATTAACAGTTCCAATTGAACAATAATAACTTAGAGAACAGTTTATAATAAACATGATGCATCATAGACAAGTAATACAATTTTCAACGTTTTCTTGCCGTTATTTTATCTTTACTTTCCTATCTTATAATTATAATGATCTTAAGTAATTTTATTTAGTGTATAATAAATTTTAATGAGTCCATTTTTTTAGCAAGATTCATTTGTTTTAATTAACTAATAAATGGTGCAAAAAAAGCAAAAAAGTATTTAGTTTACACTGATTTATCTGACTTACGTAAAAAATATACAAATTGTAAAAAAAGCTACCATTCAAAGCGAATGACTTGAAGTTTCAACACGATGTCGGAAAATCGTGAAGTAACTTTAGCTGATTTTCAGGTAAGAAAATTACTTGTGTAACAAGTTGTTCCTCTCATTTGGAGTGACAAGTTACAATTTATCTTTTTGTCTTTAAATAACAATATTTTGGAAGCAAATATTCAAAAAAATTATTATTCCTGTTTTCACAGGCATGCAGTGGTATTGATGATGTAGGCGAAGCAATTGAACATCTTGAACGAAATAATTGGGATTTATTGGTTCATATTTATTATTGATTGATTAAATTCAGTATAATCAGGAGTAGATTAATTTAAATTAAAATATTTATAGGCAGCTCTGAATACGGTTATGCACCATGATACTCAGCAACTACCATCTGAAACAAATCCTGATATTGAAATGGTAGAAGTTATAGAAGGAGCATCAGTTATTAAATATTCTTCTCAAAGTATTAATAACAAATTAAAAAACTCTCAGCCTTACAGCAGTGACAATGTTAAACCTGGTACCAGTACTATTAAAAATTCACCTACACCAAGAATTTTAACTTTCTTCATTAATTATTTAGATCAAATATACAAAATTGACATCTCTGAGTTATGCACGATAAGTAAGTTGAATAAAAAAAAATCATTGAAAGATTCATGAAATTGTTTATTATTTCTTTATTTATTTTTAGGTGATTTAAAAGATACAATATCTGAAAGAACAAATGTAGGTTCATGTCAACAAAAACTTTACGGTTGGCATCGAGAACCTATCAATAATTCAGTAATTTTAAAATCACTAAATTTACCACAAGAAAATAAGTTAAATTTATGCAAAAAAAGTGAGCCTGGTGACTCTAGCTCGGAAAGGTAAGATGATGAACAATAATAGAATTCTTTCATTTTGATACATATTTTTTTACAGAGTATGCTTATCAGATCGACTCACTCGTACATATACTTTAAATATTTACGATGAGACTAATAACAAATCATATAAATTACAATTTTCTGGAACACATACAGTACTTGAGGTTAAAACAGGTATTTATTCATTAATAGATATTCCTGTGAGAAATCAAAAATGGAGTGGTTGGCCAAGTACCGTAAAAGATGATAGAACAATACTTGCCCAAAGTGGTATTTCATATCCAGAACATGATTTATCTGTATCACAAATGGTGTGTAAAGATAAAAAAGAAAAGGTAAAAAGTTATGAACTTTATTGCAAACATACCCACTTCTTATATTTTATTTGTATTAATTATGAATAAATTTTAGACTTTTACAGTAGAAAGTGATAGTTCCGGTAATGAAATAGATGATACTGAAGACTTTGAAGATGCTCAAGAATCATTTATAATTGAAGATGATATATTTATTGACCCTGTACGATCTACAAAGCCTCAACATTTAAGTACGCAATTAATTTTCTTTTGATATTTAAGATTTGTAATCTTGTTTATGCTAACTTTTTATTATTCATATTTTATTTAGTGCCTGATAATGTTGAAGATGAAACAGTTGGCACTCTTCATTTTTCGGAACAGTTTGAAAAACGATATGGCCCTGTCCATCCAGAATTTTTCACTGGTACATTTGATGAAGCGGTTCGAGAATCATGTTTAAAACCACCTCGGGAGGTAGATTATCTATTATTAATGAATACAGAAATGGTTTAAAGCAGTACTACTTTTTTTTTAAATATTTATAATTTTTATATATTTTCAGAGAAAACTTTTGGCTGTATATTTACATCATGATAATAGTGTTCTAACGAATGTATTTTGTACACAATTATTAGGATGTGAAACAGTTTTACAACTTCTTTCTGCTAATTTTATTATATGGGGTTGGGATTTGACTTTTGAAAGTAACAAGCAGAAGTAATAAAATTTATATCCTTTTTTATTTCAAGGATGTATTACAGAAAATATGTTGATAACAATATAAACATACAAATCATTATTGAAAAGAACATTTTTTTTATAATAATTCAATGTAAATGCATTCTATCATATTTCAATTTAACAAGTAAACAACAGTAATTAAAATTCTAAAAAAATACAAATTCAAAAAATAAATATTAATTTGAAACAAACATCAAATCATCATATGACAAACAATTAGTTGAAACTCAAAGTTTTATATTTCATTATAGCATAACTGTAATACATTCTTCAAAAATGTTTATTAATCGTTCATGGCATAATATTAGATATTTATTATGTTAGATTTTTGTCATCGGCAGTTCACTCTTTAGGTTTAGTTGGTTCTGAAACCATCCGAAATATTGATATTGATACATTACCTGTATTAATTATTTTTATGAGATCCAAATCCACAACCGAAATTTTCACAGTTGTACATGGAAATATCGGAGTTAATGAACTATTAACTAATTTAATTCATGCAGTAGATGTGTTTCAAGTAAGGAAATGTTTTAATATTAAATGGTGATTTTGAATACATCATGTTTTCACAAATATTTGTAGGAACAAAAACGTGTTGATATGGATGCTGAAGAAGAGCGAAAGGCACGTGAAAGAGTAAAACAAGAACAAGATCGTGCATATCAAGAAAGTTTAGCAGCTGACAGGTATATGAATTTATTTTAACGTAACACATTATTTCATGTAAATTAATAAATGGAAACTTTTAGAGCTAAAGAAGAAGCTAAATTGGTTCAACAAGAATTAGAACGCCAACAAAAAGAACAAGCAGAAAATGATAGATTGGCCAGGGAAGCTAAAAAAGAAGCTCATAGACAAGCTATAGAGTTGAGTTTACCACCGGAACCCGATACAGAATCTAGAAGTAATATAGTGAAGATAAAAGTACGATTACCAGGAAGTAAATTTTTAGAACGAAGATTCTATTCTGACACTCCACTCGAAATTCTTCTTAATTTTTTGACGGTTGAGGGTTACCCCACTGAAGAATACAAAGTTTTGTCTAGCTGGCCTCGTCGCGATGTAAGTATATTCAAATATATCTGTATATAAAGATATTCTATTAAATATTTTCAAGTGCGAGAAATTTTTTTTTAATTATAATGAAAATCACCAAAAAATTTGCTTCAGAATACTATGTATATATTAGTTATACTATTTTTTAAAAACAAATATTTTTTATTTTAGCTCACATCAATGGATACTAAGTTAACACTAACAGAACTAAAATTTTGTATTCAAGAAACAGTAATCGTAGAGGAAAAATAAGCATGCTTGGTGGATATCGTAATGTTTGAAAATATAAAAATTTCATTTCGATTTATTTTTGAAGTTATAAAAACATTAAGTATAATTAAGTTAATTGAATATTTGTCTTACATATATAATGAAAAATACTTTGAAATTTAATTTTCAATTATAGTCAATATGAATTTTTTTAGTAATTTCGTAATATAAATTCTAGAATTGAAGAAAATTTAATTTTGAAAAAAAAATCAATATAATAAATATTAATAGAATTGTTGTTGTGCTTTTAATGTTGCTAGTTTATGTGACCCAACTAGTCTTGAAAAATTTAAAGTTTTTCATTTATTTCATCTGGAAATAGAGTCAGTTGGAGAGTAACATATTTTTTGAAGTCAAGAAATTGTTGAAAATAATCGATAATTATAATTAATAATCAGTCGAAATCGGCAAAAAAAATAAATAGCGAAATTTTTTTTAATGTAACTCCGAAAAGAGTTCACTTTTCTATTTGAGATGAGTAAAACTTTTTATACAGGTATGTAAAAAAGTATTTTTATTTCTAAGTAAAATAATTAAACCGTTTGAATCCACGTAAATATTTGTACATTTAATCATGTCTCTCTAGAATGAGTTTTAGAACTTCTTCAAATTGAAATTCATAAACAATGTAAAGAATAAGAATAATTGTATATTTTTTATAAAAAATAGGTACATTTAATTTAATTAATCAACTAATATTTGCGTACTTTATATAAAATACAGTAGAGGGAGACTCTCTGTTTTAGTAGAATGTGTATTTTTATGTTATGTGTTGCTTATTTGAGCTTTTCATTTGAAGCATTCAATTGAAATTCGAGTAAAGCGCAGCTGTCCATTCAACCATAAATTTGGTAGAAATGAAGCTTATGTTGTATACATAAAAATAAAGTCATATATAAAAAATAGAAAAGACTGATAGTTTTCTATAACAAAGGATGTCAGTTGAACTATACAAATTGATTGGTAAGTTGGCTCATATGATGATAAGGATTTTTTATTTTGTTTCGTACCAATAATTTCTGCAAACATATTAGACTTATAGGTTATTTCATAACTTTATGGATTAAATAAATCGTCACAAAATGTGGCCAATATTAATGAGTACCTTAAGACGATACGTACCGTATGTAACACTTCCATTCGCTGGTATTATTGGAATTATTGGTTCTTACTTGGAAGGCTGTGTATCGGATCGTCATACACCGAGTACAGCTCCTATTGTACAACAACGAGAAGAAAGATTTCTAGAAAATCTTGACTCTAATTCACATAATATTAGTAAACATAAACCTTTTGAAGTAAATATTTCACCATCATTGTCATGAAGACTATGTTGGAGTAAAATTTTTATAATTAGTTTATTTTTATTATAAAATATAAACATAAACGTTTTATATTTAAAGTTGGATGATAATAAAAGTGCGATTAAATATACATTGTGTGCAATTTATTATAATTTATTCAAAATCAAATAATCTAGTATGAAAGAGCTATTAATATTGTCATGTTTGATGAATTGTTAAAAGTAAAATGAAAAATTAAATGGGCTTACACTAATAAAAAATATCCGATCAAAAATTATATCTGATATATTATATCTAATCTGCTCTAATCCAAATGATAAAATAAGTGTTATTTAGTAAAATAATATGAACACATTTACAATACACTTGAAATCCTTATATTAAATTACATAAATATCCATCATTTCAGGAAGTTCCGTTTTCATAGAATATTATTGACCTCAAGTAACCCAAAAATCATAGTCGAATAATAGAATTTTATCGATAACGATTTTTTGATTTACTTTGTGTCGAATCATTAAATTATTTATTGCATTTGAAATTAAGCTCTACGATTTGTACTGGATAGTAAATTGAAGAACCATGAAGAAGTAGTCCTGTTTATACTTGGACACTATAAATAAATCAAAAATTGTAAATAGAATAATAATTTTATTAGAACAGGAAGATTTTTTATTGAAAAATTCCAATGTTCAAAGAAGTGAGAAATTGATGATCAAATTCTATTTTTAATCCAAATATTCAAGCAGGGATATCACTGTTAAAAGAATTTTTTGCTTTAGGTAAGATAATGAATAAGTAAATAACAAAAGAATGAGATATATCTGAAAAGTTGGAATTTAACAAAAAAAATGTTTCAATTCTAAAACTTTTTTGTTATTACTAAGAATATTATTCTTATTATAAAAAGGCCAATTATAATATGTAATTAATAAATTCTAATACTTACTCCAGATTTAGTTCTTATCTCAAGAGCTTCAGGTAATTTCGTTGTTAAATGTTTTTCTCGATCTTCATGGTTTGGATGTGTGGATAACCATGGAATATTTTTGGGCGTTATATTTAAATCTGAAAGTTTTTGCATAAGTCTCCAAAAAACGACAGATTCTCGAACGTCAAAGCATGCTTTTGCTGCAAGTATTAACCCAATATCATCAGCCTCTGTTTCTAATTTTCTGCTGTATGGTAGTGTGAGAAAAATATCTAGCATATTAATTCCTACAGCTTGTAAAATAAGAGCCAATAAATCAGGAAATATTGCCCATACTAATGTAATTGGAACAGCTAATAATATATCTTGTATAAAATTTCTTGATATTTGTTCGATCTATAAGAAAAATACACAAATATAAAAAGGAATAACACAAGTTTATCATCAGTAAAAGCTTGACTACTAAAGAATTTTGATGGATTATTTACTTACAGGATGTTGTAAAAGAACATGAGCGATTTCATGAGCTAAAATAATAGCTAATTGGTCATCATTTTGTGTCATTTTTAAAGCTCCCAAAAAAACAAAGATATTGCCACCCTATTAGAAAATAGTATGCATTTTAATAAATCATCTCAAACTATAATGATAGTGAATAAATACAAACCGGTAAAACATATGCATTCATTTCTTCTGAATTTACAACACTTAGAGTCCATTGTCTTTGTTGAACTTGAGGTAAATCTTGATTAGCTTTAAGTAATCTGTCAGTTATTTTTGACAGTCTTACATACGCTGGATGAGTTACTGGAACTATAAACTCTCGATGCGTATTTATATGCTATGAAAATATAATTTCAAATTATTTCAAACCATTATGTATACACAACAAATGAAATCAAATTTTAATCATTCTTGGTAGAATTACTCATTTGTTTTCAAGCATAAATACCAAATTGTTTACATACAACATCGAACGTTAATTTTTCCAGGACGTTTTGTTGATCTGGATTCAAAATTATAAACCGAGACCGACCAGTTAACGGTTCTTTTTCAATGTTCATTGTATAAAATATAGTAAGCATAAACATTAGTGCTCCAAAAATTCCTAAAATAATAAATTTAAATAAAAACAATTAGATAGACTGAAAAAGATTTATTGATCATTTTTCATAATTAACCATATATTTTTTGTCTTCTCGACGTAAACCATTTCTTAAGCTTTTCTCTTTCTTCTGGTGTTTTTTTTGCCCACCATCGTTTAAACAAACGCCCAAAAACAAGAGCAGTTATCCGTGTTAGAGGTCGAATCAAAAGGGCTAAACCAGGTGGAATACGGAGTGGTGGACTTGTATGGAATTGTAAATTGATGAATTGTATTCTTTTAATTCTATTGAAAAGTTTAAAATTTTTATTTTTATACAAATATGATGAGTGATTAACATTTTTTAACAATTGATCGGGAGATTTCCGTAAAATTGAAGATGAAAAAAGGGCACGAAAAACAATTTTATGTCTTCTACATGACGTAAAAGCCAACAACATTTTTGTTATTCTATATATTCATATCAATCTATAAATATTTAGTAATTTTTAATTTGACAGATATAACAGTAAAAATTTTGAACAAAACGAACGATCAACTCATAATTTTATGATAAATGAAGGTATTGTTGATCAATTCGAACGATAAAAATCCAAACATTTAAGAAATCACTCTGAATGTCAATAGAATTATTACAATTTATAAACTTTTCAATAAAATTATTTGCAAAATGAAAAGGGTACTGTTCTTATTTCATCATATTCAGATTTTAAGCAGTATATACTTTGAACTGATCAAAAGAGGTGTATCGTCATTTTCCACGTGTGTGTATGATGTACGTGTATATGTGTATATCGAAATATTGAAGCTGGGCCTTATTTAATTTTTTTTATAATTTTTGGAGCGTCATTATATTTTCTTTTATATATATAATTACTGAAAGAATAGACATCGGCACTATTCAAGATTTAGACATGAAGAGAAAGTCGTAATTGTGGCGATGTCGTAAACCGAAGTTACACCCGAATGAATCCGAAGTTGGATTTATGGTTAACTGATCTATGTGGCGAATTCATTCAACGTGCTGCTTGCGTTCTTATATTGTGGACACGATCCTCAGTGAAGCGATTTTTTGTTTAAATAATCGCCGAGAGGTTTTTAAATAAAATAAACAGTTTTCTAATAAATCCAAGTATAAATTTAACAAAATGGTAAGTGTTCACAGTCGTTTATTTCATAATTGTATCAATTCGTATACTTTGTTTGTCCAATAGAGGTTATGTTTTTAAGACGCTTTGTTTAATAAATTGATTTCATTGTTAAATTGTATTATAAAATACTAAGAATTGATTCTAATAATAAATATTATTGATTTTTAATTAATTTTTACTCGAGATATTCATTATAAATATGAATATTTTTTAATATTTAATGATATCCAAAATCAGCATTGTAATCACGTGTCAATAAAATTAAATTAAAGTGAATGAAAAAATTGATAGTTTATATAAATAAAAATACTAAATTTAATAATATTTTATTATAATGATTCAATTGCTAAAATCTATTAAAAAAATTCGATTTTGTTTGTTATGACACTAAACTCAAATTACCGCGTGGTTGCAATCCGTATAATCAGTGTAATAAATGATATATGATTAATAATAAAGTATTAATTTGAATTTTTCTAGACTGATGAAGTTAATCCAAAGGCCTATCCTTTAGCGGATGCCACTTTGACTGCCAAAATATTGAATTTGGTACAACAAGCAATGAATTACAAACAGTTGAAAAAAGGAGCTAATGAAGCTACCAAAACATTGAATCGTGGATTATCAGAATTTATCGTAATGGCTGCAGATGCTGAACCATTAGAAATTTTGTTGCACTTACCACTTCTTTGTGAAGATAAAAATGTTCCATACGTTTTTGTGAGAAGTAAACAAGCTTTAGGAAGAGCTTGTCAAGTATCCAGGCCTGTGGTAGCTTGTTCAGTTACAGTAAATGAAGGATCACAACTTAAACCACAAATTCAAGCCATTCAACAAGAAATTGAACGTCTTTTGGTTTAAATTGAACATTTTCTGCTGTATATGAATTAATTTTATATCCAAAAAGTGTATTTGTTAATTTTTTACTTGCTAAATAAAAAAACTAAAAAAAAAAAGAAAACTAAACTGGCTCTTCATAATTATTGTTATTATTATTTAATATATTAAATAGTATAAAAAAGCATGTAATTTAAAAACAAAAAAATGAACATTTAAATTACAGATTTTAATAAAAAATAAATGATCTTCGTATTTATAAATAGAAATGCAAAGTGCATTGTTATGGACATACAATAAATGTCTTACATTTAGTGCATTTTTGATGTGCAAAAAAAATGATTAATTAAAATAAGGTAGAACAACAGTTGACCAATTGCTATCCCAACGTAATTTTTGGAATGTTTTTAACTGTTCTCGAAATTCTTGATCTTTCTTCATTACTTTCTCATTATTAGGAAAATTAGTAAACCATATTTTTAATTGTTGAAATAATTCTCCATCATTGGAAAATACTAAACTATTTTCTTCATGTTTCACTAGCTCATTGAGACTGGATGTAATAATTATAATATTATCAATCAATTATGCAATTAATTGAAATGGCTTTATGATTTTACTTACCATGGGTAATTATATGCACACACCGGGAGACCACAGCCAAACATATCTACAACTTTCATTGGTAAATCTAAACCACTTGTTGATTTATGAAGACTTATACCTAAATCCGCACTTGCTAAAATTGAAACAGAATTCTATTTATATTCATCCCAAAGATTAAGTAAATATTATTAAATAAAGAAAAAAATGTTTAACCAAGTAATTTAGGATAATCTTCATTCGACAACCAAGGTGTCACAATTTTGACATGTTTCCATTTTTTACACTTAACAATAGCATTCCAAAAATCTTTTAAAGGCCCTTTTCCAGTGATAGCACAAATCAAATCTGGCAATGTTGAAGTTTTTGAACAACATGCTGTTTCATACTCTAAAAAATAAGTTCGAACCAATTTCCTAATTAATTTATTGAAGAAAATAAATTAATGAGAACGATACCAATTTTTATTACCATGTAAAGCCGTAAATAAAACTAGAAAATCTTCATCCTCGGTCCAACTCGTGCTTGAAACAATTAATGCAGGTCTAGGGTTTCTTAATTTAATATCACCATTATGAGAACTTTCAGTAAATATTGATGTATCTTTTTCTCCATTACCAAACTCCTCATAGGTTTCACTTAATTTTACAAATAAATTATGTTTCTCTGTTAAATCGATTGGACGAAATTCTTTAGCAGGTCTATCATAAAGTACTTTAGCTCTGAAATAATAAGAACGTATTTCATATAAACGAAAAAGAAAAAAAAATGAATTTTCTTTCATTGTAAATAAATCAACATTACTCGATATTCCATCGTGTTTTCAAATCATTCTTCATAGCATTAGTAACACACAGATTTTTGTCAGCTCTTGCACCAAAAAATGACTCAATGAACATTGTAATTTTCACTAGCAAATGGTCTTTTCCTATTCCTAATGCCATAATGGAATATGCATAATTATGCCAGTCTATTATTAATTGAGTATTAAAAAAACGACAATAAAACCAACAAACAGGAATGGTTGGAATTGCTGGCGGATTTTGGAGTAATAAATATGTTGATTGGACTTGTCGTACCAAAGTCCATATTAAATCGATAGATTGCCATATCGTTTTTATAGCATATGAAAGTAAACGAGGCATTTCTGTAAAAATTTAAGAAAAATATTGTTTATTATTAAAAAGTAATTTATTTTTTGTAAAATCTAAATCAACAACAGACGTACGATTATTCCATTCTGGTACAGGTTTTAAATAATGAATTTTAACAAATGAACTCTTCTGCAAATCTCTTAAAGGTTCAGAACCAGAATATCCTACAATATCCACGAAATATCCTTGCTTCATTAATGATAATGAATGATATTGCATCCGTGGGCTACGTCCAATGTCCCCTAATACAACAACACACACTCGTTTTTCTTCCCGAAATTTTCTTTTAGACCATAATGTCCATAGATTCCAACTAGTTATAATTATAACTAAACTACTGATTAAAAGCAGCATAAAAAACATCATGCCAATATTTTTATATTATTGTTAATTTGTTTTTAAATATCTTGCATTGAGAAAACTTATAAAATCCGATAAATTCATTATTCACTTATACATTCATGAAAACAGATACGACGGACTTTAAAGGTTAATGCACCGGCGCCCATTCGAAACTGGCCTTGCTTAATTGAACAGCTGATGTGGACAGAAAGCCGACGCCTTCGCGCCAAAACGGTGAGCAAAGTGTCTTGTGAACATTCGAGATGTTTTTATAATATTTATTGGTCATTTAGACATATATTTTTAAAATTACTTATACATTTTTATTGATAATTGAACGAAAATGAAGGACTTAACTCATTATTTAGTGGATGCTGTTAAATGTAGTGAAAATTCTGTTGAAACAGCTAGTGAGGTTATAGAAGAGTTACAAACAAATGTGAATGGAAATACTAATCAAAGAATTGAAAAACGAAGTAGAGTTAAAATAAAAATAACTAAATCAAATTCCCACGGTAAAATATGTGAAATAGTTAAAAGTAAAGATGATTTAATTGATAAAACACCTAGTCCATCGCCGGCTTCATCGAGAAAAACTAGAGGTTCATTGAAGAGTGCATTGAATGAAACTCCAACTAATTCTAATTCAAAAAATAAAATAAAATACAATGAAGAAATTCAAATGATGAATTTAGATTTATCAGATGAAAGTATTTATAGTCCTCCGAAAAGAACAAATTCTTCAATATCTCCGATAAAGAGATCTAATAATCAAATGGTTATGATGAAAGAAGAATCAAATGCTTTTCAAATTTTAATGACTCGTGATAAGCCAAATAAAAATATGTTTACTAATCATTCAACTTCTGATAAGTCTATAAACGAAATAAAAGATAATAATGATATCATGAGTAAATTTGAAAAAACTAAAGAAAAATTAGCTCCTGCAGATAACCGACTATACTCTAAAAGAAAATTAAATGATGAAGAAGAAGAAATTAAAATAGAAGAAGAGCTGAACAATCGAACAAAAATATTCAAACGAAACAGTAATGATAATGTTCAAAATAATTCTACATCTCTAAATCAAAGGATATCAACTCCACAAGGATTCCATAGTTATTTTACTAAAATTGTATCCGAAGAAAAAGAAAATCCGCAAGATAAAAGCCAATTAACTCTAGTTGATTCTATGAATAATAAAATTAATGGGCATAAGTCGACAGAAAATTTTAATAAATTAAAACATAACAAACATGAAAAGAAAATTAAAAATTCACAATCCAATTCAAACTCACCAATAATTGTGAATGAGCAAGAAAGTAATGATCCAATTCAAAATCGACTTAGAAAACAGCGATGGTCTTTAAGAATAAATTTACCGTTATCAGGTAAATATATAATTTTTTAAAAATATACTAATTAATTATTAATCGATTATAATTTCATTAATAATGATGATAACTAACAGCGAAAGTCTCCTACGACTTTGAAGGTTTTTTAACTTTTGAAATGTCTAGTTGATGGCAATGATTCATTAAACACTTTGATCTCTGATTTTATATCTCTGAAAATATTTAATTATATAGTATTTGATAGGCAATTAATATTCGTATTTTTATTGTTTTAGATGACGACAGTGACAGTGAAACCAAAAAATCATCGATAAATGGTGATGATGATAGTAATGATCTATTGTTTGGTAAAAAAATAAAATCTAAAGAAAAATTGAAAAAGCAAAATCCAGAAAAAGAGAAAAAAAGGAAAGTTAACAAAAAATCTAAAGTCTTTACAAGAAATACATCTTCAGAATCTGATGACGTGAAAAATAATACAGATATCGAAATAATTGAATCAAAAATATCAAAAAGGCCACCAAATGAAAAGCTGGCACCTTTATTTGTGAAAAAGCCAAAACCTGATCCTAATGTGATAGCAGCTCGACAATTATTTTTGCATTCACAATCTCCCGAGAAAGAGAGAAAAAAACTTGAAAAAATAAATATGAATCCCAAAACATTAACATTATCGTTTCCAACTATTTCTCATGTCACTCAAATTGAAAAAACTGGAAGTAGTTCATTAGCAGACTTGAAATATTGTTTCAAAGAATTAACATCTACTTACAATCCAACGTTTAATATTACAGACTTTAAATCTGTTATTAACTTAAATAATTCTGCTCTAATAAAAAGTAGTCAATCAAATAAGTTAATAAAACAAGATTGTGATCTTGAAGAAGTATTAAAAGAAATCGAAGAACAATGTACAGATGTTAGAGAAATGTGGACCAAGATATGTGCAATGACAAATAAGCAAAATAATATTGTATCTCCAAAAAGGCGAGGAAGAAAGAAAAAGTCTGTCGATGGTGGAGTTAATGTAGTTGCTGAAACGAATAATAATGAGAATGACGTTTGGACCCAAAAATACAAGCCTTTGAACACCAAAGAAATTATTGGAAATGAAGAAGCTGTTATGAAATTGAAAAATTGGCTTAATTCTTGGTCTCTTTCAGCGAATAATGATGACTACAGTAGCAGTGAAGAATTTTATAACTCCGATAATAGTCGATCTTGTAATGCTCAAAGTAGTCAACAAGTTGCTGTTCTTCTAGGACCTCATGGCAGTGGTAAAACTATTAGTGTTTATGCAATTGCCGAAGAATTAGGTTATAATGTCTTAGAGGTTAATGCATCAAGTAAACGACCTGGTCGAAAAATTCTAAAAGATCTTGATGAAGCTACAAAATCACATCGAGTTAAAAATTCTGATTTGAAATCAATATTCCAACAAACAGATTTGAATGAGAAAAAAGTTCAAAAAAACTCTTTAATATTGTTTGAGGACGTGGATATTATCTTTGATGAAGATGAAGGATTCATATCAGCTGCTTATCAGTTAGCATCAAATACTAAACGACCGATAGTAATGACTTGTAGAGATTCATGTACACATTTAAGTAGAATGGCACCGCAACAACTAAAGATTTATTTTCAAGCTACTCAAGGATCAAGAGCGCTGGCATTTTTGGATTTGATTAGTTTAGCTGAGGCTGGAACTCGTTTACCACGATCGTGCTTAGATGTAAGAATTTATATGTTTTTTTGTTACTTTATAATAATTATATCACACATTTAAATACAATTCCTAAATACAAATTCTTTTTTCAGAAATTTTTAATTAATGGAGATTTGAGAAAAGCTTTACTTCAACTTCAATATTTATTAGCATCAGAAACACCATCAACATTTCTGCCATCGAATGATTTCCGTGAAACCCTATGGCAAGACATGAGAAATTATTTATACAAACCAACAGTTAAATTACATAAAAAACGAATTAAGAAAAAAAGTAAAGCAGCATTAAAAGAAAGTGAAATTAGCAGTCAAGATTCAAATAATAAGAATATAATTCATGATTTAGCCAATGACTTGGATACAATATCAATCATTTCATCATTAGTCGATGTTAATGATAGTATTTTAAATGTATCTCAATTAAAATTTGAGCCAAGTTTATCTTTAGAAGAAAATATGTCTTATTATTCAATCAATCATGTACGAAGTATAGAAATTGGTGAATGGCTAAGACATCAAACGATGTCAAAATATGCTTCAGATGTTGATGATGTTGATCATTCCAAAGTCGTGAAACAATTATTGTTGAAGAAAGAATTAAATATTGGAGTAGATACAGCTTTATCGCAAATTTCAATGCACACATTAGATTCTAGAATAATGGCAGTTGATTATTTGCCAGCTACTCGTACGATATGTAGAGCAGAAGAATTAAAGTCAACAAATAATACTAAACGAGGCAATAGATTTTTCCATTATTTACATAATTTTAGACTACCTTCTGGCTCTTTGAAACCAACTATTTTAGCAGCTGCATGTAAAGTAATGCAAGAAAAACTTTGAATAATTATATTTTGTTTGATAAAATTTATTGTATATTATTATTATTATTATTGCTATTTATAAAATTAGAAATAGTTTTAATGATGGATGTAATTGTTAATCATGAAAAAAGAAATAACATATTTTTTAAGTTCTGTATTTTATAGATTGAATGTAAAAGACACATATTACAATAATGAAAAAATTATATTTTTATGTGATGCAATTTTCTATTTAATTCCTCAAACTTTAATATTTTTCGAATGAAAAAGTCTCCGTAGCGATGAGCCACCTTGGTGTCTGCGATGTGGATCATGTCATGATCAATATAAAAATCCAACTGGAAATTTATAAATAAATAAAAGATAAAAAATACATAAATAAAAGCTATTTAAAAAATAATCAACTTTTATTTATCTTACCTCAGAACCAGATTGGAATTTTCCTTCTAATCCAGAAGCTCCTTTTGTCCAAACAATATTTTTCATTTTATGTTTGAAGCATAATAGATGAATGTTCAGTGATGCAACTTCTTTTTCAAGATCCCAGTTTTCATCGGGTCTTGAGTTACTGCACATGAACGTTGCTAATTTACTCAAAGGCAAAGTTGTATAGAGCTTTAAATAAGAACGGATAGTGGGCAACATTTTTTGCTGGATAACTTCATCCATGAAAACTTGAGTTTGATGTTTAATAGCATCTTTAGTATAATCTTCTCTCTTGCTGTCAGGAGGTGGAGGTGTTAGATTAAGAAACTTAGGACAAGCGAACACAAAGCACGCTTCAAACTCAGCCAAGTCTCCATATTGCATTTTATACATTTTTTCATGATAATTTCTTTCTCGAAGAGCTTGTTGAAGACCTTCATCAATGCATTGAGGATGAAGAACAAGACAAATAGCTAAAAGATGATACATTTGTTCTGTTTGCTTATTAATTTGATCATTCTGATAGCTTCTAGCCGTAAAAAGCTGTTTAGTACGTTGAATGTACAGTAAAATACCAGAAAAGGTCCTGATGGCATCTGCATATCTTCTCATCATCATGTAAGCAAATCCAACGTAGTAAGCAGTGGAGATTTGGCAACCTGGGACATGAGAGTAAGCACTTTTTTTGTAAATTTCAACATTCTCTAAAACTTTAATAGCTTGGTAATAATCTCCAAGCAAAGAGTGGAGTCTTAGAAGTCCAATGAGAGCAAAGTAGCCAAGCATTTTATATAAAGAATGCTTTCCAAATGGTCCAGCCACAGAATCTGGATCTCCACCACTTGCATATACTTCTAATTGACTCTTGATTTTAGACTTATCAACTAAATAATGCAGAACATTCAAAACACATAAAACATCCCATATTTTATTATGAGCGCTTAAATTCTCCAATTCATCAGGTGTTTTGTTGGCTAAATTTGCTCGGTAATGCGAAAATGACTGAAATTGATAAACAAATTCATCAATCAATTCCCAAAGCCATTGGTCCGGAAGCTCCAATTGTACCGGTTCATCTGGGTTTAAGATATGATTGAACAAATCACAATAATTAAAGAATGATTCAAATCTCTGTTCTAGTGTTGGACCTTGCATCCGAGCGTAAATATGTCGATAGTAAAGTTCCTTATACAAAATCAGGAAGACTGTATCATTTTCTACAATATGAGCAATTTCTTGTTCATTAGGCCAGGAAGTTTTATCGAAAAATTGCTCCGAAATTTTGGGAAAAGTATTTTCATAAAGATTCTGAATCTCAAAAATCATTCCTTCATTGATACAATTGCGAAAATAAGTTAAGAATTTCCTGACTCCTTCTGGCACAAGCCGATGCCTGTCATTGTACGAATCCGCATGCACCTCATCGGGCTCATATTCATCGTATGTATCATACTAAAAGAACAAAAATATTATCTTAATAATTAATTTTAAAATATAAAAGTAATTTATTAATTTATATTCATACCTGATCGCTATATTCCTCTTCCATTTTCATTAAAAAATAATTTGAAAGTCGACTTAAATTAACCTCAAACAACACTAACCACGCCAACACAGTAGAAACAGAAGTGAACTGAAGTTATGCACTATTGAATTAAAAAAAAACCATAAGTTGGCAAACTTCCGTTTAAAAATGGGTTGTAAATAGGACCAGAGAAAATAGACCTGCATAGAAGTTCAATGCTGTGTTCTGTTTAGGGATCACCCCAGGCCACTCTAACTAGGATTTGACGATACAGTCGAAAGTATCGATACACTGTATCAGATCGAATCAATTAAAGATGTATCGATCTCAACATGTATCGAAAACGGAAATATCGATACTCCGAAAATCGATAGAGAGAAAGTGCGCGTTTTTTCGAATAAAAAAATAATTATTTTTATTGATAAATTTAACATACAAAACACAGTATTATATAAATATATATATATATATATATATATAATATAGAATTTGTATTTGACACAAATTGTGTAACAAGTTGAACGCATTAAGTATTATTAGTATTATCATTATTATAAGTATTAATCCTTATTTAAATTATAATACTGATCAACAATACTGATTGTTTTGTACAAGAACTTGACTTATAATAATCTCATTAATAAGTAATATTACAGTAATCATGACTTTTTTATAAAATATAAAATACTATTGTTTTCATCATCACAAATACTGTTTCTTAGAAATATTTTGTTGACTTTTTTTTTTTAAAAAAAAAAGAACATATCTATATAATAAACTTACGATAGTACGTTTACGTAAAATAATAGTTTTCAAGTTCAAACTTCTTGAAGAACGTATAAGCGTATATTGCTTCAAGTCAATGTGAACTCCATTAGTTTCCGCTGAATAATAAAATTGATTTCGATTTAATAAAAAATTATGGTATTTTTCCATTCCGTTACTTTCACAATCTAATTATAATCACAATCTAACGTCTAATTTGAAGTTAAAATTTTCTAATTTTTTGATTTGTTCTTACAAAAGTGGCAATTTCAAAATTTCAAGAGTATCGATATCTGTACAAATATATCGATGGCTTGATAAGTATCGATTTAATCTAGTATCGATACTGTATCGTGAAACCCTAGCTGAATATAATAATAATAATATAGTCGGACTGAGAAGAGAGTTCCTCAGAAGCTCTTCATGTGTTCTTGTACGCTTGCGCAGTAGTAAAAAACATGGTAGAAGGGGTAGAAAATCAGTGGTGGGGAACCCGAAAGCATTGAAGCAACTGAGGAACTCTTTTCTCAGTTCGACTATATCAAATTTTTAGTTGGAAACGCGATTTACAGAGGTCATTGCATACCAATTTTACGCTTGTAAATCAATTTATTTTTACCGTACACTTTTAGCCTTAAACAAAATTGTTGTCTTGTTAAATAAAATCAGTGTAACGAGTAGATTTTTATGAAAAATGGAAAAATTAAAAGTTCATGATCTTATTGCCGATCCTACTTATATACGTTATGAATTATTAACTGTGATTTGGATATTATATTTATGGGAACTTTATTTAAGTATAAGACAAGTAAGTAGCATCATTGATACAAAACAATCCATAGGCACATGTTTAAAATGTACATGAAAATAATTAATTGTTTTACAGAGACAATTAATGCAAAATTTATCATCTTTGCCTAAATCTTTGGAAGGTTTAATGTCTGAAGAGTTATACCAGAAAGCTAGACTGTATGCTTTGGATAAAAATGGTTTCGGAAACCTTCATGATTTTTACTCAACAGTAATAAATACGGTAAAAATTTTTATCGTAAATTTTTCTTTTAAAAATAAAATAAATCCTACTTTTTTTTTAAATGAATCTTACAGATTCTAGTACTTAGTTTTGTATTTTATTATTACTGGCAATGGAGCATCATGCTAATGGAAAAATTTGGGATTGATAAATCTAACGACATTGTAGCTAGTGGAGTGTGTTTAATCATTATGAACACAGTTCTTACGGTTATTGATTTTCCATTCAAAATTTATAATATTTTTATTCTCGAGGAAAAACATGGATTTAACAAACAGGTGAGAAATATTGATTTAAGCTGAGTCATTACCGACTCATTTTTATACAAATACTTATAACTAATTTTATTTCTTTCATAAATTAATTATTATATTGAATCATTTTCAATTAGTACTTATAATAGTTAATTTTTCTGACAAATCGAAAAATGTCTTATTACATTTGCTAGTATAATTGTAATTTATTCATAATGTATTACATCAGAATTGTGAACATTTTTTTTATCGTCTGTTATCACTTGTTATCAAGATGGAAATGGATGAACGATAAAATTTATCTCCGATGATTTTATTTACTAATTTAAAAGAAATTAATTTTTTTTAGATATCTATAATCTATATTCAATTTATTTTTATTTTCAATTAAAAAGATTAATATATTATTTATATTTCCAGACTGTTCGTTTCTTTATTAGAGATCAACTCTTAAAGTATTTGATCTCACAACTTATTGGGCCACCATTGCTTTGTGGTTTAATTTGGATTGTGAAAAATGGAGGAGACTACTTCTTTCTATATGTTTGGTTATTTACTGTCGTAGTAACATTATTCATGTCAATTATTTATCCCGAAGTAATTGCTCCACTTTTTGATAAATATTCTCCGTTGCCTGAAGGAGAATTAAAACAAAAAATTGAAGCATTGGCATCGTCGTTAAATTTCCCTCTATATAAATTATATATAGTTGAAGGCTCTAAGAGATCATCTCACAGTAATGCCTACATGTACGGGTTTTATAAGCACAAAAGGATTGTTCTTTTTGATACTTTAGTTAAAGAATATTATCCTAATAAAAATAATGAAAATAATGAAGAGTATGGTTGTGACATGGATGAAGTTCTTGCAATATTAGTTCATGAACTAGGCCACTGGCAGTACAGCCATACTTTGAAAGGATTAGCATTAGCACAGGTAAATTCACTAATATTTGTTTTTTAAAAGTATTAATATATCAGTTGTCTCGATCAGTATTTATATATAAATGTGAAATGTAATGTTTCAGATTAATTTTGTGATGAACTTTATTCCATTTGCCAAGTTATTAAATTATGGACCAATATATGAAGCGTTCGGCTTTAGTGCAGACAATCAGCCAATTTTTATTGGGTTGATTATCGTAATAATGTACATTTTAACTCCTCTTAATACGGTATGGAAATCTCATTTACTTGTTTTATTAATTTATTTACCAGAGTGTATGAAGCGAGCTTTGAATATATGAAACTTGAGTTTCATTACAAAAAAAGAAAAAAATTACAATAATTTTTTTACGTAATCTAATTAAAATTTTAATAGTTTAAATATTAAATTTCATGATTTAATGATAAAATGTCAATACTTTTCGCTTCATTCAACTTGGAAATTAAATTTGAATTAAATTTTTTACTATAGTTAATTAATCTAGAATTAATACTGATCATTATTCTGTGTTCCTTTTTCAGCTATTCGGTTTCTTCATGACTGTGAATTCACGTCGATTCGAGTTTCAAGCTGATGCATTCGGGAAGAAACTTGGCCATGGTCCAGCTTTGAAGCGAGCGTTAATTAAGCTACACAAGGATAATTTATCTTATCCTTTGTATGACAAGCTCTATTCAGGCTGGCATCACAGTCACCCACCATTATTAGAACGTCTTGAAGCGTTAGATAAAGTTGATTAAAAACATAATAAGTGAGTTAATACTCTTCCATAAGGGTAAGATATTTTTCGTTTGTGTGACATAACTTAAATCAGCCATTTTTTCAATTACTCATTATCTTTTTCATGATCATTTTCATTAATATCATGATTTTTTTCATAAATCTTTAGCTGATTTAATAATTTCTTAACATGGCTTATTATTCACGTTTGATTATAGTGTTAATGGTTTTCTGTCGACAACTTTTATTATAATATACAATGTATGATTTTGTCAATTATTGTTACATTTGACTGACATAAAACTTTCAATATCATAATTTTACCAACAAAAAGCCAAAGAAAGTTTTACATGTAATTTTTTGTTTGAATTTGATTAACCTATTTCGGCTTTGCTTTATTAATTAAAAATTTGTCAACAATTATACAATTCCATTCCTAAAATAAGTGTCAATAAAATACTTTTCACTGCTATTTTGTATATATATTGTTTGATAATTCTTCAAAATATTAAACTCTTAATAGAGTTTCAGTAATAGCGTTAATCCAAATAACTACGCCAAATGCACCTGCATCAACATCTTTAAAGAATTGTAATTGTTTAACATATGCAGCCCTGCCGGCTCTATATAAAATGATTTTTCACATAAATGAATAAAGTAATAATTATTAATCTATTTTATTTCGTGTTAGTATTAAAAATTTTACTTACCGTGGCATCATTGTTTTCGTCATATTACACCCTTTTTGAGCTGCTTCTGCAGCTTTTTTTACTGCTAGATTATCAAACTTACCATTCTTCAGATTATTTTTAAATGCTAAACAAGCTGGCTCCAGAGCATCAATCTATAAATCAAGTTTCCAGTTATTCCTTTTTTATAATCATTGATTTTTTTTCTTCTATAATAACCATTGTTCTATCTCCAGGTTGTGTTTTACTGTATTTTATAACATTTTCCAATCCAGAAGACCATGCTTGTAACCACAATTGTGCCCAATTTTCGTCTTTCTTTTGATTCACGTCTTCTGCTGCAAATACTGATGAAGCACTTGTAAACAAAAGACTATATATTGCTCCTGAAGTGCCACCCATGCATTCTTCAGCAATTTCTGATAGTTCACCAAGTAAACTTCCAGGATAAGAAAAACTTAGCCTTTCCAAAGTCAAAAGTATTTCTATATTTATGTTAAAATCTTAATTAACTGACGCAACTTTTTGAATTTAGCTATCAACTGAAAATAAAAATTGGTTTTTACCGTTTGCTAGAGTTTTATGGGTTGAACCACAGTCTCCATCACCACAACCACGATCCAGGTTATTTAATATTTTTTCATTTTTAATAATTGCTCTACATGCATTTTTTATACATTCTTTTAAAATTTCTGTTTGTTTTTCGTTGAGTTTTGGACCTCGAGGAGTTATTTTAGCAGAAGACAATAATTTTACTTGACTTGTTTGTTGCTCATTAGTAGTGTGTTGAAGTTTTGTTGATAGTGGAATACTATACGCACACCCTGGCCAACAAGGTGCATCAGTTTTCTCGTCTAGACAATCAATATAATGATTTTTGTGCTCTTCTGGTAATTTAAGAACAGATATATGAACTCCTGCGCTATCCAATGATGTCATCAGTGCGCCAGAATAGACTCTAAGTGGCTCTATACCTCTTTTCCCTACGTTTAGTACGATTATGAATTTAATTTGTTATAAAACTATAAGTGTAAATCCAGTTTATTTTATTTCATTTCCGTGGAATATTTTTATTTAGTTTATCAAATACTTACTGAGTTGTGTTACAACTTCATAAATGACAATTCCTTGCTCCAGTTGACTGGTAGCACCAAAATTATTGATCAATACTGCCACAAAATTACCACTGGTTAGTAACAACGATCTCGTTATACTGTCTAACATAATAGAAACTATTTCCGAAGCACTTCGCGTTTTTATTCTACTATATCCTGCTTCTCCATGAACTCCAAGTCCAATTTCAACCTCATCTTCAGGTAATTGAAACATTAGACCTTGACCTTTAATTGAAATATTAAACTTTGAATTTTAACAATAAAAAAGATGAATGTCGATACCAGTGACTTGAATATGATTGTAAACAAACCAGGTAAGGAACATGGTGTTAGACCAACTCCGTAAGTAGCTAGGTTATCAGTCACCATTCGAGCATGATAGGCCACTTCATCGAGAGCTTTCCCACGTTCAGCAATTGTTCCTGCTATTTTCATTACAAATAACATCCCAACGAGACCTCGTTTTCCTACTCGACTTTGTTCATCAGTTACAATGCTGCAGTCATCTCCAACGATTATTTCTGTCATCTTTTTCAGAGTATAAAAAATAATGTTGAATCATTCTTATTGATACTTAGTATGCAAATTTTTAAGTTGACTTTGATCTGATCAAATATAATTTTTTGTACTTTTTCTTTGAACAAATTTTCAAATATTGCTAATTACTTACAATGAAAATTATTTAATTCAAGTTTGATTCAATATTATTGTTATTTATTATTCAATATTTTTTTAAAGAAAAAGTTTTTATTAGGATCTAGAATAAATCTACTAATTGTAAAAAAAAAATACCTTATGCCCTTGTTGACGAGCTTTTTCAATAGCAATACCAAAATTCAAACAGTCTCCAGTATAATTGGGAATGATGACCAAGGTACCCGCTATCATTAAAATTAATGAATTCATTATACTTATTTTATCAGTGTAGTTCAAATAATTATATATTTATTTTTAATTGAAGCATATAATGACTATTAACAAAATATAATTAATAAATATTTTATTTAAATTATAATAAGAAAATACCTTTGTTGGAAACACGTTCTAGAGCATAGTATATGTGGTTAGCTGGTGGCGCAGCAAAAACAGAACCTGCTATTGAAGCTGTCAACATTCCTCTACCCACAAAACCAGCAGCAAAAGGCTCGTGTCCACTTCCTCCACCACATATTATGGATACTTTGTCATCACGGTCATTACACTAAAAAATAATATGATCATTATATAATACATACCCAATAAAAATAACCCGTGAATCACTAAAAATTATCATGCTATAACAAAAGAGTAACTTCAATCTTACGTTTGGTATCAAAACTACTCTTTTAGATGAATTGTACTCCAATTGCGGATAAGTGAAACAAAGACCTGTTAAGGCTTCATGAACTGTATTGTTTACAGAGTTGATTAATTTTTTAGTTGCCATATTTCATAGATTTTGCACATGAAAATAAATTTGCCTATCAAGAACTAATGTTCAGTTGAATAATGAGCACAAAACTGTATCAACTCTATGATGATCTCCAACGATAGTATGAATATTGTGATTAATGCGGAACTATTTTTATAAAGATTAAAGACTCACAAGCATGAATTCATGTCTGTGCATACTGCAGATCATGTGTTGAGAGGATAAATATAAAATATAAATATATATGTCATATTTATTTATCTCAGCAAACTTTTATCTTGTTACATCATGGGGTCAGTTATCATGTAAAAAATTGTAGGTATGACCTTGCTAATATGATCTGTATTATTGGAACAGTAATATGGGCTGAATAAATAAGCTGTATTACTGTAACATATATTTGCAATATATTTAGTATTATGCTCTTAACGTCTTCAATTTTTAATTGATTATAGCAATGATTTAGGTATTACATTGCAAACTAATGATTGATAGACAATTATTATTGAATATCAACTAGTTTTATTCATTTTGGTAATGTATATATAAATTATATATGTATAAAGCATTCAATTATTACGTGATATCTACTACTACACTGTAAAAATATTAAACTTAGTTAAGTTTCAAGGTCAAGTTTTCTGAATAATACTGTCAAGAATTATTGACCCTATTATAAATCAACCTACTAGTAGGAAATGATAGAGTTTACACACGTGTTACAACGAAATTCTTTGAAATTAAACTGCGTTGTATTTTTCAATAAATTTGAAAGAACTTTTCCAATCATTTGTACAATCATTTGTAATTAATATTTATAATTTTTATTGATTACGATCATGGATTAAAGAATAAAGGAAACTATTTATATAATTTTTTTCCTGTATTATATTTGATTGTTGTACGTGGCAAAAATAATAATAATAAACTTATAGTAAAATGATTCCATATGTGTGTACATTTACATGCTTATCACAAAAATGATTTATTGGTCCTGAGGCAGAAATTAAAATAGATAATATTTATAAATAAACTTGGTAGCAATATTATTATTAAACTTAATTAATATATAATGTTAATGAATGAAACTTCAAAAGTATCAAGTAGTGAATGATTGAAATTTCTCAATGTAATAAATAATGAGACAAGTAACAGAATTCAAGATACTTGAAAGAATTAATTTGAGGAAAATTAATAAGAAAATTAAGACTAATTAATTTGTAAACATCTTCACAGAAGCTATACATTGGTAAGCAGAAGATATTTAATAGGAATATAATGGTCAACACACATTAAGTCCCTGGGGTGTTATCAAAGACGCTATGAGTGATGGTAGTTCAGACTCTCCAATATAATATAATATATACGGTTCAGTATATTAGTTTTCTAACTGCGACGCATGTTAGTTCGTTCACTGGCATCTCTCATCGTCGCAAGTCACAGTGGGTCTGAAATCTTTTAACAGTCGGGTACTCGTGTTCGCGTAAGTGCTTTTAATGTTTTTATTAACAATTATTCTTGACATTGATTTTGTTTCATTTATCACTGCTTCATTATTTATCAATATTACTAACAAACTTATTTACTTTTTCGGTTATAGATCGTTGTTTTTTTTTTATTTTCATGGATTAATAATCATCATAAAGATGCTTGAAAACTTGTTAAATCATTCATTGTTCATAATTTTATTATTTTGTTAAAAATTTCGAATCAATCATAATGAGATAGAATGTGTGGAGTTTCATTTATGTTTATTTATTTTTGACTCATGTGTGAAGTATTTTAAGACTAATATTAATAAATAAGAAATCTCATAGTGTAGGTTCCAAATTGAAGCTATTTAAAATAATTTATTTGAACTTTGACCTCGTATCACTTTAGTACAATGTTGTGATTAGTTGATGTTACACATTCCACGTGGATCTGTGTAGCGTTTAACGGCGGCATCTTTTAATAATTTACTGAAAATGTTGAATAGAATCGTAGTAACTGCCACGTGCATTTACACTAATACTACACATTAGATTATCAATAATTGTATCATTAACTATTACATAGAAACTATTTTCTATTTATGAAAAATGTCAATATTATCAAAGTGAATCTTGTGTTGAAAGCTAGATAACTGTCAAATAATTAATAGAATAATTGAAATAAGTAATTTAATTATTGAAAATGAAGTCAATTTAGTCATTATGTCAAAATTTAGAGAAGTTTATTTTATTACTTTTTTTTACCATTACTTGTGCTATTATTTATACTAAAGATTATTATACTAAAGATATCAATTACAAAATATGCTGTGAAAATTTGATAAAAGCATTGTTTTGAAAAATTTCAATAACATTTTTATGATGAGTTTACCATTTTAATGCCATTATATTTTTTACATGATATCAATTAAATATATTTATATTAAAAATGTTTAGATATGTAGATTAAATATGATTAAAACGAGCTATAAACAGAGTCAAATTTAATAAACTATAACCTGAAATTTTTTAAGAGAAATTATCGAAAACATTTATAAAGAACAATAATGATGGTGAATTCTGTTCTACAATTTTAAAAATTCCCATTTCAGGGTATGGTAGTAATAGAGAATGCTGACACATACAAAGGTGATGTAAGTGACGAAAAAATTACATTAGACTTGAAATGTACTCCAGCTGACCACCTTAAAGAGTCTTCAGTTTCTACCACGAAGAATCACGGTGGTCATCGACAAATTGAGGATCAGTTTCTTCTTGATAAACAGCAAGTTAATATTCCAACCAGGTTCAAATCTAATAATTTAATAGACGATATTAACATGTCTACAAAACAAACCAAAGATGTCGAAGACCCAAAATCGATCACCGTTAATTATAGCCCACCAGACGGTGGATTTAGAGCATGGATGATATTACTTGGAAGTTTTATAATCAACGGTGTTCTCTTCAGTATCATTAATTCATATTCTGTTATACAACTTCAACTTAAAGAGAGATTGTCTCTTGCTGGAGAATCTAATCCTGAAACGAAAGCCGGTGAGCCAAAAATATTTCATTTTATCGTTTCAATATCAACTGTTGTATTTAAAGTCTAATTATTTTCTTTATTTTTTCTTTATTATCTTCATTCAGTTCGAAAAATATTAATATAACAATTAAATCATTTCCAAGATATGTTATAATTTATTTCGATTGAGAATATTGCCGCATTTATCATATTTTTTTCGGCTGTTGTTCTTAGAAACGTGTAAATTGGTCACTGAACCGTACAGATATCAGTGGCATTTTTTCAAAAATTTTTCATTATACCATGCATGATAAAAGTACATTGTATCAAAGTGTTTGACCTTTTGAAGGCATTGTTGTCGCTATCACCAAAAGAACAATAATGTAATAAACTACGCAGAAGATGAAAGAGCGGAAAAAACTACATTTATAATAAGACATAAGTTTAATTGTTATTTTTATATGTAACCATCAATATTTGATAAGGATATCTGTAAAAAAATTTTTTTAAAGTTCCAATTTAAAGCCTTCCTTTTAAAACGTACGTCGCTCTTAATAATTGAACTAAATTATTTATTCCTCATGAAATTTATTTGAAAGTATATCAATTTCTTATTTTACTAGTCATCATAAGGATTAAACAATCAAACGCTATTGCAATAAATATCATATGACATAAATAAAACTTAATTCCATATGAATATTCTGAATGACATTCAATGAAAAGAAAGCTGTTAAGTAATTAGTGAAAATAGCACAGATTAATTTCGCAACCAATTTAATGCGTCGCAGTCCTAATTGATCGTTAATCATTAATTATTATGATTATATAGCATTATTAATCTTAATGAAGGTCAAGTAAGATATGCACTTTAACTCTTTTAATTGTACGTACAAAAGGTCAAGAGAACGACCGAAAAGTCATTAGAGTGTATATTTATTAACTAATCTTAAGGATCAACATTGACATCTGATGATTATCAAGTTCTAATCAATTTGATGATTGGTTTTTCTTTTATTTCAGCACTTGTTGGCTCTTTAACAATCGGAACTACATTTCTTTTATCTCCCATTGCCGGAATACTTACTGATAAAATTGGGATTCAGATAACAACGTTTTTGGGTGGCTTATTGGCATCTGGAGGAATGATTTTATCGTCTATTTATTGTACAAATGTAATTACCTGGATTATAAGAATGTTCATTGATAACTTTGACAGCAATTCTCTGATTTTCAACAAAAAAATAGAATTAAATTAAGCTATTAGTCTCAAAAAAAAATAATCATAACGATTCGTAATAATCAATAAAATGCTTATTTATTTATCTTTAAATATACAATAATATTTTTCAAGTATTATCAAGGACATGACTTTAAAGTAAATTCCAATTAAAAAATTAAGTTCAATATGAAAATAATATTATTCATTGAAGTCATGTTTAAAAATATGAACAAGTAAAGCAATCAATAATCGACTTGAAAATTTCAGGTAATTATTTTATGTCTAACTTATGGAGTTATTTATGGAGCAGGCGCAAGCCTTGCTTACACCCCAAGTTTAGCAATTTTGGGCCATTACTTTAAGCGTCACTTAGGACTTGCGAATGGAATTGTGGCTGCTGGAAGTTCGGTATTTACAATGATAATGCCTCATGTCACAAGAGCTTTGCTTGACCGATTTGATATGGTTGGAGCTCTCAGAAGTTTTGCTATACTTACATCAATTATCATGCTTTGTGCTTTTCTCTTCAAACCTACTCTAACCGGTAAGCAAAATTTATTACCGTGTATGATAGATTGGATGTTTCAATTGTTAACTAATAGCGCAGAAAGTCATTAATTATCTTATTGAAACTTTCTTCTCTTCAGAGAGTGACAAGTCACCGAGTAAATTATCATCTTATAAGCAGAACTCTATTAAAAAACCGGTAAAAAAAGTTAAGTGGTATGCTCTGATAAATCTATCGATTTGGAAGAAGAGGCGATATGTTGTTTGGGCCAGTGCAATTCCTATTTCTCTTTTTGGGTTTGTATTATAAATGATTTCTCACATATACTTTTTTTAAAATAAATTTATATCATTATTACCAGCTGAATAAATCTAATAATTTTCAGTTACTTCGTACTATATGTCCATATTGGATCATTTATCAAAGAAAACTTTGGAAAAGATTACAATGTTGGGATTCCAGTAACATGTATTGGTATTACATCTGGAATCGGACGTTTAGTATTTGGTTACATTGCTGATTTGCCTAAAGTCAATAGAATCTTATTACAACAGGTAAGCTGATTCATAGGAATAATAATCACCATTATTCGTGATAATAAAATTATTATTGGATCTTCTGAACAGATATCATTTATCAGCATTGGAGTACTCATGATCGTACTACCATTTACACCTCCGTACTGGGCAATCTTAATCATAATAGCACTTTTATTTGGATTGTTCGATGGTTGTTTCATTTCATTGCTTGGTCCAATAGCTTTTGATTTTTGTGGAAAAGCAGGTGCTACTCAAGCTATTGGATTTCTTTTGGGAATTTGTTCTATTCCTTTGACGATTGGACCGCCAGTTGCAGGTCTTATTATCGAACGCACAGGTACATTTTATCTTCACAAAATATTATTTAAAAATTGTTATATTTAAATGAAATGATTATTTATCAATATTCCATATGTAGGTTCTTACACGTTGGCTTTCGTATTGGCTGGCATCCCTGCAATTGTTGGCGCTCTAGTGATGTTCGTAATTCGTCACGTTAAAGAAAAACCAACAGATCTTTATGCTTCTGATAAATTGAATAATGATGGATCAATCAATTCAGATGCTTGCAATGATGGTAAGTTAAATCAGTATTTGATCTAAATAAATAAAGATCACCTTCTTCTAGGGAATATTTTACGACCTCGCTCATGAACTCAATGAACTCAATTATTCATTGAAGTCACATTTTTTTTTAAATTTTTTAATTCGTGGGTCAATGTATTAAATAGTATACACATAGCTATTATGAATTTGGTGATATTGGTGGTGGTGGTGCGGTTCAATATGTAATTCACAGGAAAGGCAAGAAAAGGATTAAGTTCTCTATCAAGACGTCAATCAAAGGAAGGCCATTGTGGATTGCATTTGTGCACCCATCGTCACGCTATTCCATCGCATTCATCTACAGCTGTTACGATATGCAACAATGTACAGTGCTTGTATAGTAATTGCAATTTACCATATAAATATCGCAAGGATTATGGGTATCAACTAGCAGATTCGTGTAGCACATCATCAGAGAGTGTTCCACTTTTATTTTCCAAAGAACATAAATTAAACAGTCATTTATATACATGATTAACTAAATTGTGATATATTGCATTTTGAATTGATTTTTATTTGAAACTATTCAAATGCGATAGAACTATGTGATTTTTTGTATTTTATAATACAAATTTTTTATAAATATTTCAATGCTAATATATTCTTTCTCTGTATGTTTTTATTTCAGAATCAAAAGAGCTTGAAATTTTATCTGGATTTAAAGAAACTGCCTCATTATCTTCGTAGCAGTAAATTAACTGCTATGCAAACATAATACTTAATGTCAATATAAAATAATTAATTATGCATTTATAGAGATTCAGCTTTTAAAGTATTCAACATTTTTCTCTCTATTGCATTTATTCATAAATTTTGTCAATGCTTGAAACTCACAGTTATATGATTAACATATTTTATAGTATTGAAAAAAAGAGAATAATATTTTTTTGAGACTGGTAACACAGTATACAAGGTACAGAAAGGCTAACTGGGCCATTCTTTGAAAAAAATATGGTGTAAATGCAAAAGAAATTTTTAAAACTTATATGTTTAAGTGTAATTTGGTTGAATGAAAAAATTCATTTAGCTTGGGTCAAATTTTTAGTATTATAAGTAGGTCAACAAAATCAAATTGCTAAAACATTGAAGTGTTTTGTTGAAAAGCAACATTTTAACTGTTCAAAAATTTTCTAAAGCTTATACGAAAAATTTTGGTGAAAGCATATCAAGTTTCAAACAGATCGTTACTTAGATTGAAAAATTTTTCGTTCGAATAACACAGAACCAATGTCTCTTCCAAAAATACTTCTATTTCACTTTATTCGGTGATTCAACGTTGATTGTAAGTACATTTTGCACGAAATGTCATCATTGTTACATGAAAAATGTATAAGTTATATTAAATTGGAAAAAAAATCATAGAAATTTGTAAAAGAAAGTAATATTTAATATTTTTTCTTTAATACAAATTTTTGAGTTTTTATGATTTTATTGATAAAACATGATGTTAATTGAGTATTTATTGATTAGACGATTCTCTGCTGAAACAAAAAAAAATGTTGCTTTCGAATGAGACACCCTGCTGAACAGCTATAAAAATTTTATTATCTTAAACGATTTACAAATTTACTAAAATATATAAACTGCTGTTGAGAACAGTAAAAATGTCATGTTTTCTTTAAATTAAGTTGCAAAATATAAGGTATTTTCGTTATAAAAAAGAGAAATAGTACACAAAGTATTTATTGAAAATAGAAAATATATTAATTTATTAAAAATATAAAAAAGTTGTAAACTTAATTTTAGTAAAATTTGGAAGATGATTGCTTCCAATGTAATATAAAGATCCTAGTGTGTTCAAGTAATGGTCCAGTTAATCTATCAAAAATATATCAATCAAAAGAACTAACTCATTAATGACAATATTGTAACAGTGTCAGTTCAAAGAAACATTTAAAATATTGAAAACAAAAAAAACCATGCAGAAAAAAATGTATTCTAAATATTTTTGAAAGTAGATTGAGATCTGATTTTGAAATCAGTATAAAAATTATTCCACAGCTTGGACAGTTCACATAGTTTCCTAAACCCTATTTTTGAAAATTATTGTAAAGCTTAAAAGAAAATAAGTTTTATAAATGTTAAAAAAAGAATATTTTTATCAAAATTATAAAAATAGATATAATGATGAAAATGATAATAATTGTTTCGAAAGTAAGTTTATTAATTATTTGAAACTACCTCGAGAATTGAATTCAAATGAGACAAAACGAAACCGTACAAATACTTATTTTACTCGTATTACAGATAGAATCATAATGTAATTGAGAATTACACAAGTAATGTTTATTAAATAAGATAATAGTGAAGAGTTAAAAACAAATAGTCAATATTTACAATGGAAAAATGCATTTTCAAGATACAGAGAGCTCATAGATTTTATCAATCTGTCCGTAGAATAACATCAGCTGTACTTAAATATTACCTCAGTAGTGAACAGCCGTTGTTTGAGTACAAGAAATAATAGCAAATTTTAATTGCTCATTAACAATCAACTCTTTTATGACGACAATCCATTTTTTCATATTATTTTCTATAAATCATTGCCAACGCAACTATTGTTATTGCATAATAAATATTGAATTAAATAAATTTTATTTAAATCTTGATAATAAGTTTCACATAAATATTAAAATTGCTCATAAATCCTCCAATGGTACTTATGTTTTTTTACAAATTTGTCTATATTTAAATGTGAACTATTTTTTTTTTTTTTCATACCAAGAGAAATCATTCGTTTTTGTTTCTTCTTTGATAACTATTTAGACAATTTTTATTTATGAAAATAGTTTAACTTGAACACAAAAAAAACATTCAAGAAATATTTTTAAAAAAATGTGCAGTAATAGGTAGGTATTAAGAAAATTAAGAAATATTATCTAATTACATATTGCAAATAGCTCTAGAATTTTCATTCAGTTTTATCTAAATAAAATGGATAGAAATAATAATTATTAAAAAAATAATTCAAATAACGAAGTAGAATTATTTTTTAGTTCATTTTTAAAATAAGTATTATTTAGAAAATAAATTTAAAATGTGATCATGATGTAAAAGGTGCAACTTAACTCTCAATGTTTCTATAAAATAGAAAAAAAATTCACGGCATAATAAATAAAACGTCAAAAAATAGATGTGATGACTCTTGGGTAATTCAAAAGACATATTAACCCCATCACATGGAAAAGGATATAAAGGACAATTACCAAGATTTAAACCTTATCATCGCGCGCATGGTTGTTATAGGTCATTCGGAGTTAATCGTAACTTTTCGGTACAACTGCCGACGTCTACTTTGGAGCAGCGCGCAAACAACAAGCAGTCAGTCGCGATCCGCCAACGCGTTTAGCTCTTGTATGTGAATTTAAACAAGTTTTTTAAGTATTTCATGAAAAAAGACATATTAAAAACTAACATTAAAAAATTGCATTAAACTAATTCCATAGTTATCTCAACGCAAATAAGTTTCTTTTGGAATAAACATGGAATGGATTTGTATAAAATAAATTTAAAAAAAAATAGAACATAATATATAATACAAAGCTTTGCTGTTATATACACCAAAAGCGAACATGATCTCTCCTTAAAATAGCTAGACAGAAACGGGGATGACGAATGCGAGTATTCTGTTTTATCAGTATTATTAAGCTATATCTCTCTCATTTACAAAGATATTTTTGATGAAATACTTTGATACTTTGGTGATAAATTTAATTCAGCAAAGACATCTTTGGCAGCATCAGTATCTAGAGTGAATTTAAATTTAAATGTAGCGCGCGAGATTTAATAAAAACAGGTAAACATAACATATTAATATTTTGACATTTTATAAATGTATTATGAATTTAATAAAAATATATCATGTAAAATATTATTTATGAATAAAGTAAAATAAAAAAAATAAATAACAATGTAAAATATCAGATAAAATTATTATTATCCATTAAGATAAATATCAATATTAAATAACAGTAATTAAATTGTGAAAGCAAATCTAGCTATCAATCATTTGAATCCGAGGTCTGTTAATATGCATGCAGTAATAAATATGATTGAAAAAGCCCCTGTAAAATGAGATCAAGGTATTTGTTTTCAAAATATACGTGTTTTTATGAATTTTAAAAATATCGTATATTAACAAGAGAATGCATGAAAATATATTCAATAATATATACACACATAATACATATATAGTGACTGTAATATTCCAACAGTGAATATTGATCATAAATAACAATCTTATGTTAGATTTAGATTGCAGAGTTACACGATACGTTAAGTGAAATATAATAGTTATATATAGTTTGAGAGAAACGTGCGTGCCACACAAATCATGTGTGATGAACGTAGTACATACGCATAAAATTTCATTCAAAAAATAATAACGTATACATGTTTTATTTTTTTTTTAATTTCTCGTTTTCTTGCAGTTTAACTGCACCCCTTTCGTGTGCAATAATAGTAGTAGTACCTATAAGAGGTGTATGAGTATTATATGTCCATGTACATACTGAGTATATGTATATAATATGTATACTATACCAGATACCTATATGAGAAAGAGCTGAAGCAGACTAAGTCTCGTGTTACTTATCCTTCGCCTGATTTATTCGAAATCATAATAGGCTGAAACGCGACACCAAAACGGCTCGCCTCTCATTATTATATACCTTTTGCCTCGCAGTATATGTTCACCTGAGTGTTTGGTTTCTTACGCGAACTCGTCGATGATCCTCCGTATAATGCTGCTGATGTATACACCTATATATCTTTATTTTAAAACTGATGAAAGTTTTACACGCTAAGCATTTATCGGTTTATATTATTTTTCAACACAGATAAGTCAGTCGTGAGGTACAACTGCTAATTAAGTGTTTTATATAGGTTACCTCTTTTCATTAAATTTATAACATTATTTGATTATGATAAAGATTGACCATTCAATCTTTGAAATAATTCATACTAATTTTTTAATAGTAAATTGACATTTTTGTTTTGGAGTAAATTTCTCTTAAAGCTTTCTTTTTTGGAGTAGTTGTTTGAAAGGTTTAGCTAATTTAAAATATAGTTTAGATTTTAGCAACATAAATTCAATACTAAAGAATTCAAATTTTGTTGTAGGAATGACATACAAAATATTTACAAATATTAATATTGTTATGATAAAAAAATTTTGGAGTAGAATATTTTCAAAGTTTTGGTGTACTATTACATTTATCTAAGATCATCAATTTATATGTTTTTTTTCATTATATTGATGAAATTTTATTAATGAAAAACAATCTTATTATTATTTAAATTTCATTTATTATTTTTTAAAAATAATGAATATTTTCCTTCAAAATCTTTTTTTTTGAACGGCATTCATTTCATTGGAAATTCTACTTTCAATTAACAATATATTTTTGATTATCAGCTACATTTTAACATCAGAATTTAACAACAGTTAGGCTGAATATGAATATATAGTAACTCTATTCAATAAATCATTTGCATGAATATAGCTATCAATTTACCGACAAAATAAAATTTCAATAAAATCCATGATTATGTTATTCCTACTGTTTAAATGAAGATCATTAATAAAAAAGAAATAACAAAAGAGGTAAAAAACCTTTATGAGTATAGTGGCAAGTCAAAGAAATGTGAAATTGAAGATGAATTCCAAAGATTAACTGTAGCAATATTTGAAAAGAGGAGTGAATAGGCATGCATTGCTTCCAGAATTAAAAGTTGAATTAATGAAAGTTGTGAAGGAAATTGGAAGAAAAATATTTAATTAGTATCAATATAAGAACAATAATCACTCCAAAAATTATTACTCTTTAAAAAACTTAACAAAATATTTTGATGGAATATCATGACTATTTTCTATATTTCAATTTTTGATCATTGGTTTGAAATATTTGCAATTGCTGATTTGCTGCAAATTAACTAAACACGTGCTATCGAGAAGTTCTAAAATAAACGACCGTGGTTCAAATGTAAGAATAGTCATTTACATACGCATATTCCTACCCTTTAGACCTTTACATCTTCACAGACTACATTACTAATGTTAGTCTCTCGTTTTGCTACTAAATATACCAATGCTTTTTACTACTCTAATACAATCATCGCTTGTCATCCAAAATTCTCAACAGACTTTTCGTGCTATAAATTCTTATAGCTAATGGAAACCTTCAAGATAAAAATAAGTCAATAACTACATTATATTTTTTTTTTACACTGGTTAATTGTTTTACATTTTTTATATTTTTCCAAATAAAACAATGAATGGAGAAAATATTCTATCATATTGATTTCAGTTACAGAAAAATCTCTAAAAGTAGAATTATGTGGTGATGTTCCGACACTCCACATCCAATAAAATATATTTTTCATATTTATCCACATCACATCCATTTAATCATACTCTCCAACAGAAAAAAAAGCTCACTCCAAATGTTAACAAAATATTTTCCATCTCTCTGAACAGTCACTACTACATAATATCTATCAAATAATTCCAAACTCTTTTAAAAGTTTTTTGTTGAGTTTTTTCCAAATTGCTTGTCCAAATAATATGGTATTTTTCTTTGGTAATTATACGTTAAATCTGTAATTTACTGCTGTGCACGGAAAGATTTTCGTGCCACAATAGTTTTGAAACTTCAGTGCACAGAAAGCATCGTCGTTAGTTAGAGCCGCAATGCAGCGTTTAATTGAAGATATAAATTAAAGGCAAAAAAGATAAAAGATAATATGAGCAGGGTTTTATATAGTTTCACATCCGCAGGTGCAGGTTGAGTACATCAACTTAGGCTACATATGCAATATACACATGCATGAATATAATGACACGGGGATATAAATTAGTAATTTAAGACGTAAATGATCCTTCGACAAGTACACACATCCAGCCGATTATGTCGCGAGATACAACGAGATATTCTACTTTACTTGTGCATGGCTGTTGCATTAATATATGCGGCAAAATAATGTATATCCTGTTACATGTTTATATATGTATATATCAAAATAATTTGGTGCATAGTAAAATATATGTAACTTATATTAATGTTTGATATATACACATATACATATGCTTATATAGAAATGCCACAAACATTGGTATATCGTAATATGATATTAGCAGCCTGCACCTTGTGTGCCGCCAGATGTATATAGCTTCTATTCACTGAGTTAAATACATAATCACATGCTTAAATATGTTTCTCAGCTATACTAATTTCAACTAGAATAATCAGCTCTATAAACCAAATTCAAAAGTTATTTAATGAGAGTTTAATTTACATTGAAAAACTCATTAGTTTAGGATAAATTATTTCCATTTATTCCATATACAATTTCATATTTAATTGTTGGAAATAATTTTGTTATTTGTGGAGAATCTTGGATCTAGAGTAGTTACTGTTCTATTTATAATTGATAAACTGACTTGGTTAGATAAATAAACGATGGTTTTTAAGTACATATCCATCTTTTGGAGCGGATAAATACATTTAATTTACATGGAAATGAAATATTTAATTTACATATCTTGTAGGAGATTGAGTTTTTTTTTTTTGGAGTAAGAAATATTATATTATTACTTTTTACGCATCCTTATTTTTCATAACTTGTGAAATTCTAAACTGCTTTCTTTTCTTATTGAATTTAATTGATCTATGAACCAAATATATTACGTAGGCTTTCATTTTTAATTATAATTAAACCATTATTGATTTATTCGTCATCAATATCAGTAATTAATAAACATTAATGATAATTGACGTGAATAGATGTAATATTTTCTTTTGATAAAATAAATTATAAAAACCATTCATCAAAGTTGAGTCGTGTTGCTGAACATTCCGATTAGATGTAAAGTGTATTTAAAAGACCTAGAAAGAAAATTAATGTGTTAATATTAATGTAACTTAGTAATAAGCTTACATAAATAAAGTTTAAATATTTATCAAATACAATTTGATTAATATTTTCAATATTCATTTTCAGAAAAATGCTGAAAAAACAGTGAACCAAGTGCTGACTAAATTGGTATGGCCATAAAATAAACCACTTACCAAACTTGGCTGTGATAAACTTCTTCAGCAGCTTAGTGGTATCCTGCAGCATCACTAATTTCTCATGGTTACTTTGAAAACAACACCTTCTTTAAATTCTTAAACAAAAGATCTCTCGAAATAGTTGCGACGATCCCGGATGTCGCGATCATCTTCGGTAGATGTAGTCAACACCATTTCTATTGTTTCGGGGTCATCAGCAGTTAAGGATATCAATGAAGTGACGGACATGCCTTCTGCCGTATCCCTTACAACAACACCACAGGTAGCTACAAGTCCTCCTCACAGCAGGATCACAGAAAACAGCGACTCTGCTCCAGATACTCCTGGTAAGAAACAAAAAAATTGTAAGGATGGGAAGTGATGTTTATCATATAAAATATACCATCTGATAGTTAATATGCTTTTAAAAGTGTTAGTGATAAAAAATGTAACGTTTAGGATCGAATTACATTAAGTTTGATCGTAATGATATAAAGTGAATAGGAAAAAAAAGTATTTTAATACCTCCGTATTTCAGAGCATGCCTATCCGTGCGAGCTACATATACATCGCGCAGGAATAGCGTACAGTAACTTGATACAATCTTGCCATGCCGAGAATAAATCGTTAAATATCAGCCAAACGCGCGAGATCATCGTAAAAATATTTTCTAAGTTCGTGGGATTTTCAGGGATGAACATAAAAATATCTCGGTGTGGTACTACGATACTTTTCGAGCATCATTTTCCATATTATGTATACTGATAAAGAATTTTACTCGATATTGATTCAATATAAACATACACTTTTAATTAATAACTGACTATTTAATGATTTATAATTAATTGTGATGCTGTGCATTATCATAAATAAATAACACAACAAAAAATGATCAATTATTTTTGCAAAATTTGTTTCACAATTTAACTTTTAGACTCTTAGTAGGTAGTTAGAATTTATTTATTTATTCATGATAATTGGAATGTTTATTTATAATTTTACAAAAATCAATGCTACGTACCAAGAAAATTATAAATAATTATTCAACTAAGAAAATGACATCACATCTCATTTAGGAATTGCATGACAGCTTAATATAATCATAAGTTATTCTTCATATTGAAGAAAAAAAAACATTTTTTGAATATTAATAAACCACCTTATAACTTTGAAAAAAGGATATTTTGTTTGAATATATTTTTAAAATATTGGAGAAATATTTTGGCACTGAAAATAATCCAGGAATTTTTGGAGATTTTTCGCAAATGAATAATGTATTAATAGATACGATTAATGAACACGATTTATCTTTGGAAAATTATCAAAATGTTTACGACTTGAAATCTGATTGAAAGTATTATAAATCTACTTGATTAAATAATATTCTGGCTAGAATTTAGTATTTATTGCTGCCTTTCCTAAATTAATGGTAGGATCTATAGCAACAATTAATAATATTTTCAAAGTTGTTACGTATAATTATTTCATTGGTTACCTAAAAACGTTGTTTCCTTATGAAATTAATATTAATCCTTGAAGATAAATCGTGTTGTTGTTGGAACATCCATCAGATCTTTTTACGTTACATAAACATAATAATACCCTCACGACTTTTACTTATTTAAGATTGATTATATAAAATTAATTTATCTAACTATTCTTCAACTTTATATAAAACTTTAATGTAATGATAATTAATTTTTTAACACATATATTTTTATATCAATCCATTTGAGTGATAATAATTCACATTTTTAATCATTTTCTTTTATTACTTGTCCATGTAAATGTTCAGAAAATATTTTAAAAACGAAAACTAATAATGGTTTCAATTTTCGATGTCATGTTCCTATAAATATTCATAGAACGACTGGTTTTAATTTCACTTCACTTCACCTTTTTCGATCTAAAACAAAAAAAAGTGAGAAGTTGAAGTTAATGGTTGAGTCATATTTCAAAGAATTATTTTTAAAAATTGATTAACAAAAATAAAAAATATTTTTTAGTATTTTATATAATCGTAAATGACATTGAATTGAAAAAAGTTTTCTACTTACAAATCCTTAGAAGATACTCACTTGTATGAATGAAATATACAGTAGCTCAGGAACTTGTATCGAAACGTTTATTTTTGGAGAGACTTGAATCGTTTATTTTGTGGTAATTTAAAACTCTTTGTCGGATGTTTATAAGCCGTAAATTCTGCATATTTTATGCTTAAATACTATATTTTATTTACTTAGTCATCTTTAGAGATGCAGATGAATAAGAGAGGAAAATACAGGACACAGCATGTTGATGATATATGTCCAATGTGATTGTGTGTTGTCTATATAGTAAGCACAGGGTAGCAAGCAACATGCAGTGCTTGAAATCCTAGAAGCTCCCGTTGCGATGAAATGGTTCGGATGGGCAAAAGGAGATGCTGCACAACATCCCAACATGAAAATGACACGTGATAGTTGAGAATGTATAGCTGGGTGTAATTATTTACGAAACGTGTGATTCTTGAGTTCCCATCGCAGAAAGACAGATGTACCACATATGACAGATAAAAGAAATTTATAAAAAAAAATTCGCACCAGAGATTGTTATTACTTTTAAATCACAAATACGACAAAAGGGTTTCTGTGTTTAATGAAGATGGAAAAATAAATTTCTAGCTTTTTTGAAATAAAATATATCAAATATTTTATCAAACTTAATTATTAAATCATTCAGAATATTGTAAAAACTATTGAAAAATTGATAAAAATATTATCATGATTATTTTAAATGCGTAAAATAATATCAAAGTCATTTTTGAGGTATTTTTCGAAATTTTCATATTAAAACTATGAAAGTACCCAATTTGAACATTATCTTAATTTCAAAATCACTTCCTTTAAAGATAAATGTAAGTTTAGAAATAATATGTGGATTTTTTATCCATGTGATATTCTCTTTCAGACAGTTCAACGACATGTTCTTGGTGTAGACGAACTGGAGGATCATGGGAGCCTGGAAGTTCATTATCCTGCACTGCAGGAATCACTAGTAATGCTGGAAAATTTTGCAGTGAGGCTTGTTTCGCTGCAGGTAGACGTGCAGCTTTTAAACGAGCTAGGACATGTGATTGGTGCCGTCATCTACGACATTCCGTCAGTTATGTAGATTTTCAGGTAAACAACTCCTTTAAAACTCCTATAAATTAAAAAAAAATAATCTAACAATAAAAAATTTATGATATCCATTAATAGGATGGTGAGAATCAACTCCAGTTCTGTAGTGATAAATGTTTGAACCAATATAAGATGAATATATTCTGCCGAGAAACTCAGGCATATTTAGCACTACATGGTCTAACAAGTATTTCTTCAACTAGTAATCAAAGTATCGGTGATGGATTAATTACTCCTGAGCTATGGTTACGAGACTGCCAATCACCCCAATCAAGTTCATTAGACGATGAAGCTCTAGTTGTCGATGATGAGCCAATGAATTGGTCAAGTGATTGTGGTCTCGATAATGAGGAAAGAGACCGTTTAGCTTCTGGAAATAATTCTTCAGTTCAGAACAGTCCAGCCCAAACACCAAATAATAAGCAAATAAAAAGCGAAGAAAAAGACAGTGAAGATTCATCAATGCAAGATTTTCAAGAAGAAACCATTAAACTAGCCATCAAGGAGTCACTCAAAGACGAAGAATATAGAAGATGCAAAGCGCGTAAAGAAGAAATGGATTCTTTCAAGTCATTTTCAGTTTGTGTAGAGTCTAGAATTCCACCAAGTAATTTACCAACAAACAACACAACTGTAAAGACTTGCAGAAGATCCAAAAGTTCTCCAGAAAGTTTAAAGGCTTCTCCTCTACATTCAGATAGTTCACGAAAGGGCACTATATTTATTAAAGATGTGAGAAAGTTGTTGAGAAGAGATCCAGAAAAAGGACGTAATTCAATACATCGTACAGAATGTCGGATTCCATCTAATAACACTATTACTACGCATAATAGTTCAGCTGCTACCAACAAATTACCAGTATCATTTCATCTACCACAAATTCATTCTTCCCAATCACTTCCTAGAGAATTTTTTCCTACCTTCCATCAATCATTTACACCACCTCATCAAGTACCATTGAGATTTAATCTAAACTCTAATAACACCTCGATACCATCAATTTCTTCACCTAACATAGGAATGAGGCCTAAAATTCCGGTCAATTCATTTCATACAAAAACGTCTCCAACGAATCCTCAGTTTAGTCTATTACCTCCTGTCACAGTTTTAGTTCCTTATCCAATTCCCATACCAATTCCTCTCCCAATACCAATACCTCAGTCTGTGTTTGAAAAATTTTTCAACTCCAAAAATTCTTCAAAACAATCTACTGAAAAGGAAAATGATACTTCGTCAAATCTAGACAATCCAACTTTTCCTCAAGATCTTTCTCAACGTAGTAAATTAAAAAATGCTCAATCATCAAACTGTTTTACTGAGCAAAATCTCTCTATAAAGGCTGATAAGTTATCTACTTTATCTGACTCATCAACTTCTTCATCCACTTCTGCACCTTCAACTTTGAGCACCAAACAATCACCTTTTAGTTCTTTTATTACTGATAGTCCTAGGGCAGCATCAGCTTTACCAGTACTTCCAATTACATTATCCAATGATATCCATGAACAAAGGTCTTCGAGAAAAAGGAAACACTTGCAGTCTGAAAGTTTGGGTGAACTTGATTTAAGACTTAAACGTAAAAACAAATTTGTACCAGTATAGATGTTTTTGTGAAACATGTTATAAAGTATTAATGTTTTTATCTGTAATTTCAACTTGTTTCGCTAAATAGATATTTTTTTCATAAATCAAAAAATATATTAAATACTTAATTAATTAATAATACAAATAAGAAAACTATTACGACACTGTTATGTATAAGTAATAAAAGGTGATTTTAATAGTCCGAAATTATCGAATAAAATTTCAGAGTTAAAATATGATTTTTACATTATGACTTCATTAATATTGTCTTTTGATTCACTTGATAATTAACATATAAAAAATAACCCGATTAATTAATTTTTTTTCTAATGAAAATTTGATTCAAATTGAATATACTTTTAATACAAGCTCTAAATAAAACTCATAGTAGTCGGTTATCAAATTTAAACAGAATAACTGGAAAACTATCTAAAAGATATTCCATTCTAAAAAAAATTAACAATTTTCGTTTAATTTGTAAAATATTATTGCATGCTTGGTTATATATTTAAATTGAAAGATCACACACTTTACATACTGACATAAATTATTTATAATATTTTAATATCAAAAATGAATTTTGGAAAGATTAGAGACTCGTTTGGTGAAGATTAGCTTTTAGACAATTATTATTGAAATGTACACTTTCAATTTAGGTCATTTATAAAAACTAATCGCAGGCGATTAGAATTCAACTGAAATTATAATAAATGTTAAAAAAGTCAATACTGTTTGTGTGGAATTTAAAAAAAATTAAGTTAATTTTATTTAAATTATTAATGAAAATGAAGTTTTTTAAAAAAATATTTCAATAAATGTATTAAAAATTGTCATTTTTTCTATTTTATTATTTTTATTATTTTCGTTCCGTAACAATACTTGAATAAAATCGTCATTTATTGATTGTAGAGATCCCAAAGAGACACAGTACCATCTTTACCTGTTGCAGCCATTAATGTTTTATTATTCCATGCTTGGACTTTCTCACTTGAGTAAATAATATCAAAAATAGTCGATCTGTGTTGATCAAGAACTGCAAGAGGTCTGAGTGTTTTCCATGAAAAAACACGAACTCTTCCATCCCACCCACCTGAAGCAAAAACTTTAGAATCTAATCTTGATGCAAGAGCAGATATACCAGAGTTTTTCAAAGTTATTGACGTCTTGTGGATGAGTTGATTTTTTCTATTCAGCTCAAATACCTTTAAAAAGATATTTCAATATAAAATTCATTTAAAAAACACATACATACAAAGTACCAAATAGTAAACTGAAATATACCTCCATTTTATCTGTTGGATTTCCAACTATACCTCTCATCCAGTATTTGTCAAAAGTTAAAGCCATTGGACATGATTCAGTATTTAACCAACTGATAGCTGCCTTTTCTTTAACATCCCACAAAGCAATTGCTCCACTTTCATATGCAACCAAAACGATGTTATTTTCATCACCACAACATTTTATTGCCATCACTTCACCCAACGGTTTTGTCTCAGATAATTGCGTCGGATCCAAATTGTATATAACTTTTTGAGTTTTCAGAGACAGTGCTCCGACACACGAATTAGGTAGAGGAATCAATAGTATGTCATTGTTTAAAATTTGACATCTGAAAATAGATTAATATATTTATTTCTATTTACGTTGAGAACTGTTATCTTATAAATACATTATTTAAATTAAGTTTGTTCAGTAACAGGTCTTTCGAACAGATTAATATTAATTCGTTATAAACCCGTTATAATTTTTCACTATGATTGTCTAGTTTGATTATAAAAATTGTTCCTAAAATAAATTTAAAACTTTTTTTAGTAAATAATTATTATTATTTATAAAAAAAATACAATTTAAACATTCGAATGTTTAATTGCCATATTAATATTGTCTATAATAATTATCAATCAATTAGTAATAAACGTAATAGTCCAATTGTAAACTCAACTTTAGTATTAATCAAACAATAAGTATGATACTAAAACAAATATAAATCAAGAGATACGGTAGTGTCTCGTGCGCCAAGCATAAATCGCCGCCATTTAGTCCTTACGTCACGACGAGGCACTACCGTGTCTCTATACAAATTATAAGATGATTTTTGCAGGTTATAATTTTTAAATTTAAAATTTTTTTCTTATTATAACATAAACATAGGTTGAAATTAAGAATTTACTAGGAAAGCGATCGTTGACTTTCGATTAAGCATACTATGAAGTATTATCATTGCTTTATTCATAATATACGAAATTGAAAAAATTTTGTTGCGCAAAAATTGAGTAAAATGAGAGTTTATTCATGGAGCAATCATACTTTTTTTTTATCAAGTTGGTGATCAGAGTTTTTAATTGCTATTCTCTCACTACCAGATTATAAATATGGTAACAAGTTAATTTTGCTCGAGCGCGAATATACAAATAATTAAAATATTTTCTGAACAGATTCATTTTTTTTAAATATTCCTTTTCAGTTTATAATATGTACAAAAAATGGTGAAATCTCATCAAAAACAGCCCCCTCCTTCTGGGCTGTACAAAAATGTGCGCCAAACATAAATAACGACAATAATGAAATTACAAAAAGTCCTAAAATCATCAAACGCCAATTATTCATTTTAAATATTGTTGATTTGTAGATTTAAATAATTGGCATTTAATGATTTTAGGACTTTTTGTAATTTCATCATTGTCGTTATTTATATTTGGCGCACATTTTTGTACAGCCCAGAAGGAGGGGGCTGTTTTTGATGAGATATTATATTACAATAAAGACTTGACTTTAAAAAAACAAAATACAATCTGATGAAATAAATTATTTTGATTAGATCAATAGTTAATTATTGTACCAAGGAAGGAATAAAAACTAAGTTACTTATACTGATGATAATAAAAACAACTAGATTACTTGCAAAATCCACAAAAATCGGTGTTAATAGATTTGTCAAATGTCCAGGTAGATCCATTCGGTCTCCAGACATCGAGACTTCTATCTTTTCTCTGGATTATCAGATATTCATCATCAAAGGTATGTAACGAAAGACACTGTTCTTTGATGGTCTCAAGTTTATATACTTCTCGGTGTTTCTAAGAAATGACAATCAAAGAGTAAGAAATAAAAATTGGAGAAATATTTATTCATCTTACTTTCAAGTCCCAAATGTGGATGTTTCCGGTTTCAGCACCAGCATAAAGGTGTTCAATGTACGGTGAGATTCGAAAGAGAAGACCATGGACAGGACCCATGCTTCCTCGTAAAATGTAAATTGGATCCGGTGGAAGAATTGCCATTGTTTATATGCTTGGCTTGAATTTTTGATACCAATTTCAATTATACTTTTTGGAGCTGATGCGTCGACACGTTATAGAAGACGGGAGGTGCACGACACTTCAAACGAGTATTAGACGCGAAAAATTCACTAAAGTAATTTGTGATACTGCATGCAATGCTCAAAGGAATAATTAAAAGATTACCGTTCACTTATCCAAACGGTTCAAGATCAATTCTTTACATATTGTTTAACTTTTTTTAAGAAAACGCGTCAGATGAACCTCCCGTCTTCCATTCATCAGACGTCACCGTTGGGCAAAAACATCGTTTCGTTCAACAATAATATGTACGCATACAATTGCGCACATGTAGCGGTAAATGGAGATTGGCATATACTATAGATGCTCGTTTATGCATATATCCATCGATTACTTCAACATTTGCATTATCAACTAAAAAAATATTTTCAAGTGTTTGAAACGATTGTTGGTAATACTTCTGTTATCATCAGTGCATTTTTTATCGATAATTTTGATTGATGTACACCATCAATTCAAATCAAAATGGCTGATTGAATGTCATAATATGTTTATAAGTTTCATTTCAAAAATTAAACATCTACTAAGATGAATAACTTAAAAATTCGTATCTTGTATTTGTTTTGTTTTATTTTTTTCATTAACAATGTCAACAACTAACATCGATTAATATTAATTATTGATAATTGTTAAATTTTAATACTTCAATTGAAGTTTCTAACTTATATTTCTATATTTTAACAAATGATAATAATATATAAATCATCTATAAACATATATCATAACTTGGATACAGAATTAGCAATCATGCTTATTAACCACAGCTAAAAACAATCATGTTTAATGGTCTGATTTCGACCTGATCGATGATTAAAAATTAAATAAAAATATTTACTGTGGTTTGTATACATTCAGTTGTTTTTAAATACTTCTAAACCCAAAATTTGGTAATGATCCAAAAGACTTGAATTATTTCATAAACTCATCACTATCAGGTTTGTCCTCCATCTGGTCACTATTTTCTTCGGAATCACCATCATCATAAAACCATTTCCCTGTAACTATTCCAGCACATGCGGGATTCTTAATCTCTGGAAAATTATCTTTAGCCGGAACTACTGAATCATAGATAATTGTCACATTTTCACGTAGCTTTAATTCTCCTGTTGGATTTTTTAAGACGGATAAAGTCATAGTTGTTTCTGTTGAAGAAATGAATGTTGAATGATCCGCAATGATCCTACTCTTCGAAGATTCCTGTAAGTTAATATTAACTATTAATAATACAGAAAAAAAATATAATGCTAATTTCAGATAAAATAAATTTTCTTTTTCACCATTTTTATCGACATTTTAGGCTCCTTTAACCAGCTTTCACGACTTTCGAAGAAATATGGTGCAGCTATTTTACAGTTTTTCAAATCCCTTATCTTGTCAATAATAACTCTGTTGTTAGGACTCCACATTTTATATTTTCCAGTTTTTTCTTTGTTAGTATGCTCCATCAAATCGTCCAATTGCACATAAAAATCAGTCAAACAACTACCAGTCGTAAAATTTTCAGATACTCTGTAAGCTCCATCAGGTTTTCCGACTAAGTTCATTCCAGTATGAAATTGGTTAATAATGTATCGTATCTTATCCAAGGATGATGGAGCTATTGAAGTCGGGACTATTAATTTTTCAATTCCTAATTCGTTGAATTTTATTGAAAATGTTAACCGGCTGTATTCATCAGGAGCTTCTGTGCTAGCAACATAAGTGTCTGTGTGTGTCAAGTTTCGATAACTGAGTATCATTTTAGATTTTTCTAAATGACAATTAAAATTGTCTGGCTTCTGATATCGGCATCTCAACTGTGATGATAAATTTGATGCCATAATATGTAAAAATTGTGTCTCGTTGGTTGAAGGAATCGCTTCAGCGTTGAAGGTAACATTGTAAATAATTTCTGGACCTAATTGCTTAGCTGAGTCATTGTGATCTAGATAATTCACTGCTAAAAAACAGGAGATTCAATTTAATTAGTATGATAAATTAATGTTTTTTATTTTAATAAAATATTTTATATAAAAGCTTACCAACAAGCAAAGGTAAAATAAGGAACTTCATGATGCTGAGTAGAATAATTTTTAAGATTTGCGGAGTTTCTTTATCTACAGTTCCTTTTATACCATCAAGTAAATTTGAACCAATTACCAAGATAATTCCATCAAACATAATTCTGAGAAATAAGTATATATATATAAGTATAAATAAGTACGTATATTATATATATGTACTGAAAATGCTTACATGAGAGCTTTTAATCCCCAAGTCACCTTGAGACGTACAATAATATCAGTATAATTCGCTGATTCATTATAAGGGTATTCATGAATTATTTTAACTGATTAACTTTTAATCAATATTTCATTTTCATATTCTAAATTTTTACTTTATTGGACAGTAAATTTGAGAAAATTCGATGTTAAGTGAATAACAAAAAAAGGGGTTATAATAAAAAATTATTTACCTCCATCTTAATTTATATAAAAATTGTCAGTGTGTTAAATTCCTTCTACAGAGAGAATTGCTGCTTTGGAGTTAATTCAATATCAATAGGCTCTATGGTCCACAGTGTATTGGAAAATGCCTCCATGCCTACCGCGAACTAATTTATAATTATATACTAATAATTTAATATTTTACGTATAATAATAATAAGTTCTTTTACATGATATTGAATTTACCTTCTTATTTTTTTCATTAAAAATGAAACTAAAATTTCACGAACGCTTCAACAAGTTCCATTGTCACTGGGCTAAAACTCTCATAGAATTTCCATTTAATTTGTGAAATAATTTTTTAAAATTAATTTTACAATCATCTTGGAGAGTAATTAAACATATAAACCTATTATTGTTCAATTTGAAAATTTCATTCTTGTTTAGAGCTTCATAGATCTTTCAAACTATTAAAACACTTGAAATTATTTGTATAACTATACATTTTTATCTACGAAATAAATTTAACAATGCAGTGAGATGAAAACAATCATTATCATTTTATTTATAATATGCTTATCTTTTTACTATCCATGTTTCGAAAAATATGTTTCATTAGAACGTTAAATACCTTCTTTAATTTAGCTTTGTTTACATTTTCAGAAATGTATGGAGCTTTTTAAATTAATCTTTATTAATAATTCAGCATATCATATTCGATACTTTTGTTCTATCATTTCTCTTACAACATTCAGTTTTAAATCAAATTTGAGTTTATCAAATCCCTAATCAAACTTTTCCGTTACAATATTTAAGCTGTCTGTAAATTCCTTCCAGTTTTGCATAAAATTTATTTTTACATAAAGTGAATTAACATTATCTCTTAACATATTCAATGTTCCAAAGTTAATGGATGATAGCACGACTTATTTTTTAATTTCCATATCGTTGAATTATATTTTCAACACAAAAAGATTTTTTAGATAATTTTAATTATTTTCTGATTGTAAATAATGTGAAGGATTGTTTGTGAACCATATTTCTAATTAATTTTGTTAAATTCTCAACGGAAAATATCTTCACCAAAAAGTAATTAATAAATAAAAAATATGATCGATTTTTAAAATAAATTTAATTTGTAGGCAACAATTAGTTAACTAATGCATATTAGTTAATACAAAAACAACCAGAAACTTTATGATGAAAAAGATTCTTGATTACTTTAAGATGCTTCTTCATAAATTACAACTCTTTTTATATGCAATTACTAATATAGTTTGATTAAGAGTAATTTAAAAAAATTTACCTGTCTATATTTAAATGACTATTATGTTACTATCTATGTCTATGTGATTTTTAAAAAATTAGTTAATATTAACTTGCAAAATATTTTATTTAAAAAAATTTTTATGATCCAATTTTTTTCCGATCATTAAATAATAAATTTATTCTATGAAATATTTGATATTCTAAGTAACAGTAAATAAAATTAATATACATTTTACCTAATAATGACCTAAAATTTTTAACAAGTTTATATTTATTTATTAATTATTTTCGTTCGTTTAATTCGTTCTAGTGTTTTAGTGCCTCTTCAGTAACACAATCTCGTGATGATTTGGATTCATCACATCTTATTTCTTCTATTTTCTGCAGAGTTACACTTAATGATTCGTCTACTATGTATTTGGTGCCAGTATTACTATTTGTGACTGAGAACACATTTTTCGTCAAAGATGTAAAATTGTGGCGAGAGATTCCAATTGAACTGTCTAAAGAGTGCTGAAAAATAAATAGAACATATTGAAGTAAATAAATAAATTGTATTATTAAATTCATGTATCACTCACCATCTCTATATTAACTCCATTTGCTTTCATTTTCAATTCCTTAACTGCGAAAGGAGAGTATCTGGCATAATTTTTAGCAGCACACTTTTCATCTTCAATTTTTCGTAAGATTTGCAATGGTTTATCAAGAGTTTCATCAGGACGAGAAAATAGAAACAATTCTGCTCCTAAATCGTTTGATTTGCTTAAAGTAGCTGATGATTCCATAACATAATAACTTGTCTGACATATTCCAAGTGTTTGATTAGCTGAAACTTTGAAATTTCCTGATAATCGAGAAGAAAAGTTCAACATAAGATTCAACGGCTCGAATAATGAAGCCATGACAGCTCGTCCTGTTGGTTCAAGACTCGCGCTAATCCAAACTATCAAGTATTCATTATTTGTTACTTCAACTTCTAATGACACTTTCACTAGACTTTTTTTCACCCACATGTCTTCATATAAGAATTTTGAATTAATTTCTGACTTGTATTTTTCATCAAGGTATGTTGTTTGAACATCAACATTGTGAAAATAACATTGAAGATTCTTGAACATAAATTGACAAGTTAAAAGTGCATTTAATTTGAAGACTTCATCAGGAAGATCAAGTTTCGATTCAGCAGAAAAAGATTTGATAGCATAATCTTGAACCAAATATGTCGCTTTAGCTTTGTCTCCATTCGACCAAGGCGTAGCTGAAGAATTGAGTCTAGCAGCTGAAAAAATTCCAAATAGATGAGTGCAATCACCATATAAATTAAAAATTTTTAGGTAATAATTTGAATTGAACTTATTTATAACTTTTATAAGTTATTACCAAGGAACAAAGGAATAAGATTAACAATCATCATCTTGAAAACCTTTTGATTTACTGCTTTCCTGAAGATCTGTCACTCTTTTATATCAAATGAGAACTCCACTTACCTGATTAATTCAATTACCTAGACTTAAGCTCATCGTCATCATACTTCGTTACAAATTCTTCACAGAGATATATTTATCTACTAAATTAAGGAATGAGGCAAGTTTTTATGCTTTAGTCACGTTTTCATCCTTATATCCTAATAATGAATCATTCATACAATTTGCAATTATTTTTTTTTTTATGATTGTAATATTTAGAATGCCATATTTTTTGTGAATTAATACTATAAAAGCCTTTCATATTATCCGTTTATGCACTGTTTTTATTTTTTTTATATTGTTTAAACATTAAATCAAATCAAATATTATTATTCAATTATTAAATATCTATTTTTAGCCATTTTCATTCGTTAATTGTCAATCTTAATTAGCAATTCTTTCATCAATGCAATCATCTTCATTTTTTACTTCGTCGCATTTTATTTCTTCAATGCTATAAAGAGTTACACTCAACGATTCGTCGATTAGATATTTTGTTTGATCTTGATTATTCGTTATTGAAAATACATTTTTACCATAAGATGAAATATTGTTACGAGTTATTATCGTAAACCCTTCAACTGAATGCTGCAAAATGATTTCATCATTAGATTCATCTCATGATAATGCCAATTATCAAAAAACAAAAAAAATCATTTAGAAAAAAAATTACCGTGTCAATTTTTATGTTAGTTGAAAAAGAATGATATTCTCTTGATACAGCAGGTGAATACATATAAAGATGATCATTAGCACATTTTTCATCGACTTTCTTGAAAATCTCTAGTGGTCTATCAAGAGGTTCCTCTGGACGAGAGATAAGGAAAAATTCCATATCAGAATTTTTTCCTTCATTCTGTTCAGCAGATCGAGTTACAAGAAATCTAGCTTTACATCTTCCACCAGCAGTATCACTTTTAGTTTCGAAATTTCCTGTGAGTTGTGATTGGAAGTTCAATCCTAAATTCAGAGGTTGAAAAAGTGCTGTTATAACATTTCGTCCGAGTGCTTCTATATCTTTAGGTACCCATATGACCATGTATTCTTGATTCCGTGTTTCAGCTAATACGTCATCTTGCTCTAGAAGTTTCTTCAAATAAGAATCATTGGACATAAATTTCATGCTGGTATTAGCATTTGGCTTTTCATCAGCAAGAATAGTTTTAATATCAACATCATGAAAGTAACAATAATATCCAGTTCGTAAAAGTTGGCAAGTCAATAATGCTTTTAAATTAAATACTTCATCAGGTTGGTTCGAACTAGTGAAGTAAGTTTTGATTGCCTGATCATGAATCATGTATGTTACTTTAGCTTTTTCTCCATCTTTCCAAGATGAGGCTGGATAATTAAGTCTCGCAGCTAAAAAAAATAATTGATATTTGTTTGTCAACAAATTATTAGTGGTATTAATTTGATTATAATAGTAAAAAAAAATTTTTACTTACCAAGAATCAAAGGAATAAGAGTAACAATAAGCATCTTGAAAGACTATAAATTTATAGCTTTCCTGAAGATCTGCGACTCTTTTATATCAAATGGAAACTCCACTTATCTGATTGATCCAATTGCCTAGACCTAAGTTCATCTACATTGTACTTACCGAAGACATATTTACGTATTAAATTAGCGAATTACTCAAATTTTCGTGTCTAGGTCACGGTTATTTTACTAAGTAAAACTAATAAGCTCTTCACGAAATTTTTTAACAGTTTTATTAACGCAGAAAAGTATTTATCTAAAAAGTGATAATTTAAATTTTTTTAATAAAAAGAAAACAATGATGGGTTTTTCTTTGCTTTATTTATTTCTTTATTTAATTCATATGATACAAATGAGTGAATATGATTGAACACTTTTCCTACCTCTTTATAACTATTTTAAATCAGTTCAGTTATTTTATTTTCTAGTATCTAGAATTATCTTCCATTCTATCTGGTAATATTTCTTTGTTCTTTTGACTGACGAATGTTGGGAGTTCAGTGGTTGTAGGATAAATTGATTCTAAATCCAATTTCATATGATCGATAATCTTTCCTAGCTTTTTGCGATCTTTATCGTATATTTCATTTTCATTTATTGTTTCACTAGTAAAGTTGGTTTTTGATAGAAGGATTTTACTTTCTGATGATAGCTAAAAATGTTTTAAAATTCAAATTAAACATAAATTTGATAATTTAATTCTAAAAAAAATGTTTATAATTAGCAGATGATTACTTACTAATTTGGTAACGGAGTCTTTTGGTATAAGTCCAAGTGCATAACGAGTTCCAAAGAAAGGTTCAGCAGTTCTGAGACAATCTTTAACATGTCTTCTTTTCTGTACTTCAATTGATTCATCACCAAATTTTCCAATCTTCTCCAAAGGCTTTAGTTCAAAAGACATATTTTGATTTGGATCACTTTTCCAGGGCATTCTAATAATTCTGTAGTCGACATCACATTCACCAACAGTGAAATTTTCTAGAGCTTTATAAGTAGGTCTCATTTCATCAGAAAGATCAATGCCAATACTCAATTGATTAGCAATAAGTCGCACCATATTCATGCCCCAATTCGCTAAAGGAGTTTTCTCATCCACAATATAACTTTCAATCCCTTTTTCGTTAAATTTGATTTCAAAGTCTTCATTAAAAACAGTGAATGGTCTAAATCCATCATCTTGAGCATTGTTAGCATATTTGATATCAAAAGCTTGAGGTTGAAGCTTTGTTATTTCAGTATTGTCCATTTTACATCGCAAAATGTCTGGCTCGCGGGGTCGACACTTTAGCTTGAGATAAAGGCCAGTACCAAGAAGTTTACCTTTGTCTTGGTCGAGAGATGTTATCATTTTTGCATGGCCTGAGAACAAGTATTCTGGTCCATACTTCCAGGTATCATTTGTGTTTGTGCTGACTTGAGCCGCTATTTTAAAAACATAAGTCATTGTTAGTAAATTTATTATTGATTTATTGTAACAATACAATACTTTTTGTAGTTGTTATCATGTGATAGCAAAAGTTTAAAAGAGTAAAAAATATTTTATACTAACCCAAAAAGTACGGCAACAACTGAAATAACATCATGGTGCTGTGTAGTCTAGTTCTCTAGTTGTTGAACTCGAACAAAGTAAGTTTCTTGCTTTCAGCGTTCATTTATATAGGCCCTCAAGTACTGTAACAAGAGATGTGGTTTTATAGACATTATTGATAATTAAATAAAGAATACAAAAATACTATTTCAGTCAACTTTTTGTAAAATGTTTCAATAAAAGTTTTCAAATATTCTTTGAAATAAATGAAATTTTAATTTTCTACCAAAAATTTCGTAGATTTTTTACTAAAAAATTGTCTATAAATCAATTAACCAACAGTAAAAAATTATGTTAAAAAAGGCTGTGGAAAAAAAAATAAAAATCTGTTGGCTTTAGTATAGAAAGGAAATAAATTTTCTAGAAACACTACTGAAAAATATGTTACAAGAGGAAATTCATTTATGTAATTCAAGTATAGTGTGACTTTGACAATGTAAACGTTTATCTTATTTGTACGATGTCATTTTATCATTATAGCAATGAACTAGTTTAATATAGTAGTAACTTGATGTTTTCATCTACAAATCAGATGATGTCAGACATACGTGTGATAATTTTTGATGATTCATCAAGTATTCGGCTTTTAAGGAGGTTAATGTTCACGAGTTTTGAGGAAAACACAGTAGGATGTACCGTTATGTTTATTTTGAATAACTAAGATAATATTTTACCACAATAACTTGCAATTTATTCTTAACAATGATAACACATATGTTTTCATGAATCATATCCTAAAAAAATAACATTTCGTTTTTTACAAAATAAATAAAACATTATTGACTATTATTTAACATTATTTTTGCAAATTTTAAATTCATTGAACTTTACTGTGAGTATGAGAATGTAAGACATGATAAATCATAGCAATATCTAATTTGCTTAAATTACTAACAATAGAATAATTGAATTCAAAGGAAACAATAGATCTATGTTGTTTATTCTAGAGCATTAGCAGGAAATTGTCCATATGTTTTATTTGGTTCATTGTTCATGGAGCTACCTGGTCAATCCTGATAATTTACCCTTGCATTCACTTTTAATTCAATGCTTGATGACCTACTACAGCTATTTGGACTTTCGTTATGCTATTCAATAATCATCATCATTTTAACCTCAACCAAATATTAATAAAAATGCTAGCTCAAATTAATTTGTATCAAAATGTTTAAAAAGAATATGAATGATTTTTAATAAATATTTATACTGTTGAGAATTAATGTTAATAACATAATCATGAAAATTATAATTGAAAGTTTTTAAATAGCTGAATATGTTATATCATATCATCATGAATTTTATCAGTTAAAAATACGTTCTGGTCTCCATCAGCCGGTCGAAGTTACCCAAGCATGGTGTCAACGATAGAGATAATCATAATAATGGAAAAACCGGACGTGCAGTTTACGTCCGGCTCCTTATACCGACACTATCTCTCCTGATGGTTGAGATACCAACTCAAGGTGATCAATGCCCAAGACCCGTGTCGAGACAATCTGACATCATGTTCAGAATATGAGAATTGGAGATTTAGACGATAAAAGAAACGTCAATGATACACCCAGTTTATGTCATTTGGTTTTATTGCATACATCATTGTTCTCTGCAATTTGTCTTGCTGTGAGTGTTTCCTGAATAAAAGGTGTAAAATTGAAGGTAGATGAGTGGTTCATTCCTGGTAATTAATTTACATTTACATGATTCCTTTAAAGTTTTCAACAAGTTTGTGTGCACTCTCCATACGTACAAGCATTCAAGTCTAAGTTAAGGATCTCAACAGGATTCACTTTAATTGTTTGACTTATTAACCATGAGTGTACATATTTTCCACTAGATTAGTAAGCATTTTATTCATAGATCCTTTTCTTGACTTATTTAAATTAATTTTATTTATGTAGTTTATTAAAATTTTTTAATTCAAATTAGGATTAGTAATCTAGAAATTCCAGTATCCTTGACATGTTTTTAATCAACTTTGTAAGTAGTTTATTCATTGAAATTATTTTTTTTTATTTTCGCTCTTACTCTAAAGATGTAGATAAACTTTTTGAATTATTATTTCTGGTTCTTCTCTGTTTTTCTTGTGCTTCATCTATTTTATTCATGACGTAAAATTATTTGATAAATATTTAATGCATGGCAGGATTCCATGTTGCATGCCTATGAATTACAATCAAAATTTCTGAATCTAATTTATGAGTTTTTCAACCCTGAATGGACAAAAACGGACTGTTTTTAACTCGCCATACGTGCAAATTATATTGGGGAAAACCCATTGTTATACTTGCTATTGTTCGTTTCATTAACAAAATCATCTTGCTCTTAGTCTTTCAACTTAATCACAGGTCACAGTGCATTGATAATATAATAAATTTCTATTTATTTTTTAATCTATTTCTTGTAAATGAATTATGATTATGATTTTTTGCATATTCTATTATTAAATTCTATAACGGAAATGTGTTCTACATGGCTCATTAATTATTTGACAAAAATCATTCAGTTTTATTGATTTGTGAATCATGAAGCTAAATAAAACTATAAAATATAACATTTTCTGAATGTAAATATTTGTGATTGTGACATACTTAGAGTTTAAGCAAAATTAATGCTAAAAAAAATAATTTTAAATTTTAATTCAACAATTACATGAATATTTCAGTTATCACATGAGATAGCTATTTAAAATAATAGATAATTTTAGCAACATTAAATATCATGAAAGTTCTGCTATTTGCATTGAAATTTTATCATTTTCAATATATTTTTAAATAAAAACAATTCAATGTTAGTTTGTGTAATTATAAAATAATAAATAAATTGATTGGTTAACAATACTGGTAAATCTTAGATTTCATTGCTGTAAATTGACTCTAGAAAATGTCAATCATCCTAAGACCGTAAATAATCAAGTAGACTCCTATGAAGTTTCCCAGAGGATGAGTCAACTCGTGTTGATAATAAAAAGGTGGGGAGAAAAAGACTTCAGCAGCTTATAAAACACGAACTAGTGTTCTGATCAAACATACATCTCTTCACTTCGCAACTAAATAGTAATATTGCAAATCTCAATCAGTGTTTTTATCTTGCTTTCATTAAAATAAAGTGTAATAATAGAATAGCATTGTCAAGTTTATCACATAAAACTACAATATAATCATCATGGTAATTAATAATTATTTATTTTTTAAGTCATTTTGGATGACACAATAAAATGTGAAAGTTGGCAAAAGTTTTAATCATGTTCTACTTTTCTTGACAAATTTTTCATACATTATTTAAAAATAGATAATTCAAAGAATCATTTCTTATTTTCAATTATATTTCTAATTGTTTTAACGATAAAAAATTTAGATCATGCTAATTCTATTTTATTTATTATAATGTGGAGAAACGCTGTAAAGCACACCATTAATATCAATTAAATTAATTAGAATTTTTAATAGTATAATAATGATCATTATCTTATGTTTAGCAATTTAGTTAATAATGAACGTTGATGATTAATTATCAATTTTGCTGTATTATTTAAAATTAAATGAAAACTTTTTTAAAAATAGCAATGGTTTATTAATTAGTGCAAATTAATAAACCATTGCTAATTAATTCGCCATAATTGAATTTATGTCTTCCAAACATTAAATCCTGCTGAATGTATATTTAAATCTCTTTTAATTTTTTTCTAGTACAAGTACTGTATGCTGTTATCCATGGCCATTGTTCTTACTCAATGCCAACGACCACCATATGCTGGTTCCAGTAATCGTATTCCAGCTGTTCTACCTCAGTATCTACCGCCAAGCCAGAGTACAGTAGCTTCTGCTTCATCAATTGATAACAGAATCAATGGTGACGATATGATTTCTTCTATTTCACCACAGTCATCCAATATTCCTGCTGATGCTCAGAGAGATATTCAGTACATCAACACCATCAAGAATTGGCCAAGAGAAAAACAACCCTTTGATTATCTTAATCGGCAACACATTGAGCAACATCGTGGTGGATCTGGTTTTAGAAGTAACAGACCGGCAATAATGAGCAGTCAACAACCATTCTTAATTAATTATTTTTAATTGTCAATTAAATGCGTTAAATGATTTTACTGATTCTATTCAAGTACTTCTTGGGAACTAGTCAGTCTATATATTATGTACTTATTATTTTTTAAATCACTTTACTCTTTGATTTTTGAAATCGAAAAATAGATGATATACAACTTTACTTAATTGATAAATGATTAACAATAATTAATTCAGAAAAATCTTGAGCATAATTTATACTTATTTTGAATGCAATATTGTTACAAATTATTTTGGAGTAAAATATTAATATCTCTAACTGCCATAATGTTATGGATAATGAGAAAATGGAAGTATTAATATTAAAAGTTAAAAATATTTTAGAAAATATTGTTACTAATGAAGATTTATTCAGATAAATAAATTAAACCAGAATATATGGATATTTCTTGTGAATGTATTATTAGATTGTTTAGATAAATAGAAAGAAAATCCCCCAAAAATGAAGTTGAAAATTACCATATGATACCACAAGGAAATGATCGAGGGTGCTTCTAGATCTTAGGGTGAATTTAAAATAGAAGTTGTATAAATGATTAGCAATTTGATTTGTTGCAAATATAAAAGTTACCACCACCTGGCCATTTTATCTTTAGTAATAATCGCAAGGGTGAAGCTGTTGAACGAATTATTATCGAATCGAATCCTTGTGTACGCAAGCGTGGGTTGGATATTCTTCGAAGAAGGGCTTTGGTCGGTCAATGATGCTTCGACGCAGGGCTGAGTGCGAAAAAGCCTCAAGGGTGGAGCTCTATTTTTTCCTCTTTCTTCAGTCCCTTTTTTCCTCCCTCCATGTCTCTTCTTCCCTTCCATGATGATTCGTACATGGTAATCCCTGGGGTTTTTCCAAAACCATAGCATCCTGTGCCAAGGAGAAAGGGAAACTAAGGGGGAGAAAGAGAGCACAAAAGGGATGAGAAAGGACAAAAATTCCCGGTTTCATATAAATTAGCCTTGCCTCAGTGACGCCAAGTCTCCAACGACCTCTTCAAGACGTTAATTATTGATTTAGGTTAACCTCCAAATCATTCAGTCTCTTTTAGTCTATCCAGTAGACACCATCATTTATTTGCTTGAAACATTCAGTGCAACGTGGTCGAACCGCGTGGCCTAAACTGGACAATCTGGCTTATAACGACATTTAAAGCCATCGCCACGGCCAACACAAGCGCTGGCACGAGTAATCATTCATTCACTCGTAAGCGCCGCGGTAATGTCGGGAAGTGACAGCCCAACGTTTTTTCACGGCCAACCATGGTCCAGCTGGATCGAAAGAATTGGTCGAGACAAACCATTGAGTAAGTAAACATTACTTGTGATTTTTTGAATATTTTCCATTGTTTTTTTCAACTTTTCATCTTGATTTTACCACCTGAAAATTACCATCAAGCGTCGAGCGAACATAACCTCCACCGGGCTTGCTCTTTGTCTTGATTCATCAGTTGTGATTTGACATGAAGTCTTGTGATTTTATCTATTTACGCTTTTGAATTCTATTAAATATTTATTTACATCATATTATTATCGATAGTATTTTCTGTGTGTACCAACATGAGTTTGTTATGTAATTTGGAGTTTGGAATGTTTTGTAGACGGTTTGTTGGTGTCAGTGTAACTTTTCTATTATTTTGATGAGCAGAAAAGTTGGAATAGTATAGTCAACTTGTCATTTAATTGATGTTGTTTATAAAAACAATATGTTTGAAAGTGATTTTACTGAAATAATTGATTTCAATAGGTTATGAAGATCATTAATCATTGCTTTCATGTTTTCAAAATAGAACTGTTTAGTGAGACTACAGTGTTTATGTGAGAATAGACATTTTATGAAGTAAAATAACTAATAATAGACTAAGCCTCTAAATCATATTAATATTAATGATCTGTTTTTAATAAAATAAATATAATTTTGCACAGAATGAGTAATTTCATGTTATCAAATGATTCAAATAATTTTTTATTTCATATTCCAGGTGATGAGGAACCAGACGCGGAACCAACAAGCTCCGTTACACGACTCTCAGCCGATGGTAACAGTCCATTTTATTTTTTATACATAAAAAATAATTTTGAGCTTTATGAAAATTCCGAGAAAAATATCTACCTCTATTTACTATACATCTATCAATCAACAAGTTTACAAGATTCAAGATATTGTTTCCACTTTCAGACATTGATCTCTATGGATTTTGCCCTGAAAGAGATACCTTCTATGGGGTCGTTTGTGAAATTTGCAATGCCATTGTTAAGCCACAGGCTCTTATCCAACATATGGGTATATATTATTATTATTTTTTTATTTTAACAAATAAAATACGGACGTTTCAATTAATTTAAACATTTTTTAGAGAGCCGGCATTCATCCACAGCATCAAATTTACCCCCACCATCCACACCAGCTTCGAAAACCACCGTGAAAACCCCATATTGCAAAGTTTCGAAGCTCACCAAGAAAACACAACCGTCGTCACAACCTTCCTCAACAGGAAGTTCCAGTTCTGGGACTAACAACGGCTCCAACCAATCAAGTAGCACAAAAATTAACCACGCGTCTATCAAAAGGAGTGCTGAGCAAGCAAACGTCCAGCCACTTCTGCCCACCTCATCACCGCGTTCTCCGCTCGAGTCAGTCCCTGTCTCATCAGCAAATTCTTCAACAACAACAGGGGTCCCGTCGAGTCCTGTCAAAAGTCCCGGAAGTAATGGAAACGCCAGCGGGAATAGTAACAATGGGTCAACGAATACGCAACAGCGGAGGAAACGTCTTAAAGCAGACCGCGGGCTCCTCAAAGATCGGGAATACGATCCCGATCGTCACTGCGGGGTTTGGAATGAAGAAACGGGCAAACCCTGTACCAGATCCCTCACCTGCAAAGCACACACGGTCTCGTTGCGTCGGACAGTCATCGGTCGGAGCAAAAGCTTCGACAAGTTGCTCGCAGACCATCGTGCTGCGAAGGAGTTCCCGAATAGGACGTCGAAAGTAACTGTCACTGGAACTGTCACGGTCTCTACAGCGTCAACTGGTTTAGGGTCTACTGGTTCTCTAGGAGCTGAACCCGATGCCCCTGGCTCTCCACCAGTTCTATCTCTACCAGATTCATATCCACTGCCAAAAGTAAGGTTACCATTATTAATATGCTCACAGCACTGATCGAAATTGTTATTCACCTTTTTCGTTGTTTTTTTATTTATTTATCACGGATTATTTTTTCTAAATTTTTTTATATTAATATTGTACGTGTAAAAACACTTGATGTGGTATTAATCATTACAATATTACGAATCATTTTGTATACATTTAATATTTATTTTGCTATTTCGTTTTGTTTTTTATTATTTAATTGAGAACATTCCATTAAACATGGAACAAGTAGAATTATATTATTGACTTGATTATTTAAGGCAATTGAATATATATATTGAAATATTGATTGATTCAAATTGAAATAGAATATTAATAATAATTGTTATTGTTATCGATCTAATAAACACGAAGCAAGTGTTATGATGGATTACTTTATTATAATATCAATAAATCATCATTAGTCATTTTTTGAACTAATTATTGTTTTTTGAATTTTTTTAAAAAAAAAATTGAAATGATTTATATTCATCATTTGATATGATTCAAAGTAATTTTTTGTCAAAGCCTTTATAAACATTAATAGCGGCTCAATAACAATTAATTGGAGCCATTTGGAGTCCCCCGTAGTAGTTAAATAAATAAAATAAAACATTATGAGAAGATTTAAAAATAAAAATCAATAAAGTAATTTTTTTTATTTCGGGTGTCAGTTGATTTTTGTTTTTTGTCATTACAGGCTGTTGATTTGCTTTATCGGTGTCTGGCCCCGCATGGCTCCACTAAACCTGTAAGGCATGGTTCCTTTTTGGGTCATACTTTACGACCCGACAATATAAGATACTTAAGCCATCAACAATCACCAGAATCCACGTGTCTCAAGTCTGCGAAATCGCTCGTTTCTTATTTTTTAGACTAAACTGGAAGAGGATTTTGTGAGTGAGGAAATGAGACTGGAAGCATCATTGTCAGGCCCGCCAACATCATCATCATCATCAACAACGCCCTCATCATCAGCTAAATCGATGATGGCACCGATCTCAGTCGTTCTACCATCGTTATCACCAATTTCTACCAATGATTCGCACGTTGCTACACTCATTCCAGTCACCTCAACGACTTCAGTTGCTTCAACACCACTGCCAGCACCAGCAGCTGAACTTCCAGCTACGGTTCTTGAAGGAGAGACACCAGGAGATGTTCCAGACACCAAAATGGGTCTTTTCTCACCAGTGTCGATGTTTAAAGACTCTAAAACATCAAATATTATTCAGATCTCACGATCTAACCATTTAATCCAATCTCCAGTGTCTAGGAGCTTTCAAACTCAAGCATCGATGCCCAGTCTGGTTTTCGATGATCAGATAGACCATCCAAAGCAGCTAGCTAATGGGACAAGATTCAATAATCATAACAATCTTTTATTGAGCCCAATTGGACGGCCCATTAAAAGGAGCAAGCACGACTTTCAACCAGAATTCTCAAAAGCCATTCAAGTAGAAGCTACTACAACTTCAACACCTTATCCACACTTTAGCGACATTGCTTGGTCTAATTGTCATCCAGAACCACTTGCTGTTAGTCGTTGGCTTCGTATTACCTCCAGCCGTAAGCAGTACAACTTCAATATTCACTGACATAAAATCCCACCCACTCCGGGCTGAGGACTCGAACGTGTAGCTGATGATGATCGAATGCCTTGCTTGCTTCTCCGCCAGTTACTTCAATGTCGAGTCCAAAACCCGTCGAGTGGGGCCACTAACAGTAGCAACTAATTGTCTAACTCACTTTACGTATCTTCCAATTTACGTAATTTAGTTATAGGTTTTTTTATTTTTAATTCAGTTATTGTTATTATTTTTATTCTTTATCACACTTATCATTTGTCATCACTGATATCATTACTCATTTATATCACCATACATTTTTCACAACTACTCTATGAGTTTAATATTCCATTTTTTTGGTAATTTTTTTTTATCAACAAATAACAGCATGATTCAAAGTAGTGTACAATAATTATTTCAATTTTATCATTTTTATCTTAATTTGTAAATACTCTGATTCTTATAATTAATACTACTTTGGCTTTTTTTAATAAGTCAAATTATCACATAACTATTTTCAATCTTCTATTTTAGAACTATTATTATTATATGATATTTTCAAAGTCGTTTATATTTTTTTATGCTTCATGATCTCTTTCACGTTTTTTGTCTCTCTTTTTTCTTGAATATAAATACATTAAATTATTAGTTATTTTATATATTTGACGATCAATGATTATTAATAATTAAACAATTATCTATTATTCAATTGACAATGTAATAGCGTAAATTAGTACGGGTATTCTTAAAAAAAAAAATATTAGATTGTTTCAATTACACTCCAATTGTTTGTCGATGTATTTTTCAAATTTTAATGTTTTAAATATCACTTTATTTTTTTTTGTTTTTTTTATATTTAAATGTAAATAATTTTAAATACTTCTGATACAAATAAGTAGAAACTTTGCATCGAAAAAATTGAACTATGCCTAATAATAAAGAAAAATAATATAAGATTATATTATAATCTATGAAGAGAAAAAAAAATGTAGATTACATTTTATTAATATAATCACAAATGCCTCTATTGAGTGCATTCATACAAGGCCTCTTAATTAATACTTGACATTCATTTGGATGAAATAATCGAACAAAAACTAATGAAATTCATTCGTATATACACTTAAGAAAATATAGTTTTTATAAAGAAAGCAATTAGATAGTCAATTAAAATTATAAAAAAAGTAAATTTATCAAATAGCTGAAATTTGAATGATAGCAATATAATAGTTATGAAAAAAAATTATTTACAAAAAGAAATGAATAATAATGATGAACAAATTATTATTAATTTATTACCAGATTTAATAATTGTTTTCTTCTTAAAAATTGCATTTTCTTTATATTAGAAAAAGAGTATTAGTAATAAATAATTTATTAATGTGCTCAAGAAGTGTAAACGAATGTTAATAATATAACTAAAAAAAAAAAAAAATGAATCCTGTGTAAAAAGCTAAAATGAACAAAAACAAATGAAACAAATTGGAGTTAGAAATACAAATAAAATAGTTGCGGTTTTAATAAATGAATCATTAAATTAATCTAAGACTGCTCCTGTATGTGTCTTTTATTCGCAAAGACACTAGTATCCGTACGCTTAAATAAATGTGTACTCTTACTCCAATAAAAGTTGGAATGATGATGATGATATATAAATGAAAATGAGAGAGTGTGAATTAATCTAAGCGACCTTTGGGTTACAAATACCTCGTTAAACTTTTGCCTCATTATCTACCTGTATTCCAAAAGCAAGAGTGAATGATTAAAATGATTAGACATGATGAAAAAGCTACGGAAAAAAATTAATGTAAAGAAGAGTAATTAAAAAAAAAGTATGAGTGATTTTATTTCCTCATAGATTGTGATATTTAACGCGTAATAAGTAGGATATTGTATAGAGGAATAGGCTCAACATTGATGTCCTTGCGATTTTGTATTGCTTATGTTTATTGATTTTCAGAGATTACTTATAAGTTTTATTCAATGTGAAAAATTCTTTTTTTTTTATGTTATTGAAAAAAAAAAGAATTTTTTAAGCTAAAATAAAATTGAAAAATGTTCAAGAATTTTTGTGCTTCCTAATTATTTTAAAAATATATTTGAAATTTGATCGTAATTCTGAAAGTTAGGCAATATTTATTGGAATAGTTTATATGAGAAACAACCAGGAAAGCTAAATACTTGCCATGTAACTAACAGAGCCTCGCAGGACAGCTTTATTACTTAACAAATATGACAATGAATGGTCATATAAGAATTTTTTATTATCTCACAAATAAGTTATTTAATCATTTAATATTATGTTTGTTATTTTTAATGTTCAAATTTAATTTTAATCGTAGAAGAAATGATTAATGTCTCATGTACAATGTTAAGCTGAGTGAGATATCCCAAAATATATGTCTATAGTATAATAGAGAAAGACATGAATGAGTAAATAAATGTGTGATTGATTAAAACAAAATTACACAAAGTGGGTAGGAAAAAATTAGAAATGAAAAAAATAGAGACAAAAATGACGTAAAAATGTTTACATAATTATTAAAGTCGTAATTAAACAGTTATGAAGACATGTATTAGGTATATTACATGATATGATTATAATGGATAATTATTAGCTATTAATGATATATAAATTTCTGTACATAGACGTTGAAGTGACGTGATATTGTATAAATTTCAACTATGTACTAGGGGTTTGTTCTTGTGGAGAAAAATAGGAGTAAATAAGATCAGATATAGAGTCTAGATAATCTACAAAGTGATGTCATTTATTTTTTTACACTTCAAGGTAGAAAGCTCTTCCGTATTTCAAGGATATTTATTATTTTATACAACGGGATTCAAGTTCCCGTGAAATGAATGAACAAAGTCACATTATTATATAAGTTGACAAAAGTAAATTTTTTAAAGGAAAGAAAAATCACCAATTAAATATTGAAGACCTTCTTCGATGTTAGACGTTTGCTATTTAAATCACTGCCTCAGTGTAGGCTGTTTGTTATTGATATTATTTAAATGTTAGTTAGTATATTAAATTTCTTTCTTTATACGTAATACCGTCAATTATTTTATTTATTGACTCAATTTTTTTGAATTACATTATCTTTTTTAATCAAAATTGTGTATTGAAATTTTAGGATTTATAATTAAAAATAATTTTTGATTAATGACTTAGTATTCACTTCACGGGATTTCATTGTCCATAAAAAATTGACAAGTAGAAAATTTGTGGCATTTAATTTAAATATATGTTTTATATTTATTTATAATTAAGAATTTTCATTTTTTTTTTTAATCCTTATCAATTGTTTCCCTTTCATGAATATTTTTAAAAAGAAGAAATATTATTATAATATTTAGTAAGTTTAATGAATGAATTTATTTAAAAATTTTTCTTTTTCTTAAAAATATTTTTTTTTTTTTGTAAATGATAATTTAAAATTTAATTAATCTTTGTTTTGAGAGTAAAATAGTAAAACCAAAAAATATTTTGACAAATTATACCTTCATTTGAAGGTGATTTTCCTTCCAAGGTAATGAAAAATCTCGAAAATAATAAATAAATAAAAGGAATATTGAGTCGTAAAAAAAGTAAGTTATTATTGATTAATATTAAAATTACGAGCTAATTATAATTTTCAATGGACGCGTAAAAAAAAAAAAAAATTTACATAACGAAATCCTTAAAATAAAAAATATGTTCCTTAATTTTTTTATAGCATTATACTACTCGTTAGATATTAATTAATGATACTATTTATTAATTAATATATTAATTTCTAATATACGATTTCTTACGCCAAATTATTAGTTTTCAAATAATGAGAATAATGAATTATAGATTGGTTAATAATTAAAAAATGTACAAGTAAATTTTTTACACGAGTGAACTTTGTGTATTTGTACTTTGCATATCATCAATTTCGTCTATTTGTACTTTTTATTGTTCATTAAAATTCATCTTAAAATTTATTCATTAATATATATTCAAATTTGTTTGTTACATTTTTTAATATTTATGCAAGCAATGGAGCCATTTTGTTGGACTGAATTTTCATATGATAAGTAATCATTATAAAATAACTGTAGTATACGAAATAATATTTGCAATTTTTCATTAATTCATTATTTACCTTATTGAAAGGACAAATTAGATAATTATCATCGCTATCATTCATTCTTTATATAATACATTAACATTTTGTCATCAAAAGTAAGAATTTTGAAAAGAAAATTTTATGAAAAATATTTCAAATGAATAATATATGCATTATTTTCATTGTAATTTATACTAAACATTGAAATTTATTCAGAACCTATTAATTATAAAAAAAGAGTTTGGAAAATGAATGAACAATATTTCTAAGAAGTTCTTGGAAAAAAATTGTTAAGCCTAAAAAGTAGCTTACAGTCATATTTTATTCTTCAAAAAAAATTTTTTTAAATAAATGGTATTGTAGAAAGTTAATAAATGAAAAAAAAACATAAAAATAATCGCTCGAATTTTCTGCATACAAGTGAAATAAAAAAATAAAGATATAAATAAATGAAAAAAAAAATTGGAGAAAAGAAAAAAATGCTTAAAAAAAGCATCTCTGTTGTAAATTACGTATATATATTGTCACGGTGTTGTATACCGATTACCTCAAAATCAATCAATATCAATTTATTGTTATACAAGTGATCGTTATTTAGAATTATGTGCACTGGAGCTTTTGAAAATATATAAAAAAAGCCAATTCCAATAAATATAATAATAAATACATCATACATAAATTTGAAATTTAAACAAATTGTTATCATACTTGTCTCCCACTGAACATTTAAGAAAATATCATTTTTCTTGAATAAATAATTCCAAACAATCACTTACTTCACGAATAAATACATACAATATTTAATATAATATTTAAATTATAGAGTTGATGCTGAATGAACTGGTCAGACCCAGATCTTCCACTTGAGAAACTGGTCCACCCACCACAAATTCCTTTTATACTATTGACCATTGACGGTTCAGGTAAACTGCTGCTCCACGTATTTCTTACTACTTATAAAAATCTGATAGCTCATGTATTCCATTAACATTTTTTTTTCATCAGACTCCTAACTGTTGTAATATCAGCGACTAATTTTATTTTCGCAAGACTGTTGGAAACGTTATTTTGATCATTTCTATATACAGAATACTAGTAATCTATCATTATTTATACTATCAATCACACTTACAATTTTTAATATCATCATTCATGCTTCATTGAAAGTATTCAATCTCGCAAGATTTAATAAATGGACTTTGGAGAAGTTTAAAAGCGCAATGTTAGTTGATAAATCATTGTATATATGTGTAGTTTATAAATGCATGTGTGAAAATGATACTGTCAGAGGGTTGTAATCTCTATAGGGTCTCTAATGAAA